AAACCTTAAGGTCCAGCTTAGTTATAGCCAAGATAAGTATCTCTGCTTCTAGAGATACTGGCTAGAGGATTAGTGTCACGACAACAGGAAATTAAAGCCAGACGAAGCCTCAGAAGCTGCAGTCCTTCTCTTAGGAAACAAAGCAGCACTTCAAGGTCACAGCAAGGTAACTCCTCAAGCGTCTGTGACCAATGTAGTGAAATCAGAGCGGAGAGGCTATCGGAGTATTTCATCCAGATAATGAGCGGTGCGTATGATGGAAGACGCTCTGAATGCTCGTTTGCGTAATTGTGCGGTGGGTTAGAACAGAGCTTATGTGATGCTGCTGCTCAGCTGATCGACTGAGGCACATGCAGAGACAGTGTGTGTGTGTGTGTGTGTGTATGAGAGAGCATGAAAAGGTTGTAAAAGCCAGTATTTGGTGTAAGCAAGGAGGATCAGGCGGCATTGGGGTCATCTGATTTGATAGTTAAACGGGCAGCTGGATAGAAAGAGCTCATTTAATGTTTGAATGTGATTAAACAGCATGGAATATTAATGCTGACTTCTATTTCAAATAATGGACGACTGAAATGTTTTAGTGAGACTCATCTTTTTGTTGTGACGTCAAAAAATGTTAAACATTATTAAAATATCTAAATGAAGGGTGTAGAATAAAATGGTATGCATAAATCAGGTTCTCATTCTTGGTCCAAAATGAATGTGTGCATCAGTGTAAGTTTGACGAGATAAATATCTGCGGTGGAAGAAGGTTTCAAAAATAAAAATGGCAGAGGTACAAAATAATATAAAAGCTCCAATTTGAACTAAGAGATGTAAACATCTTAAGAGGTGTGAGGTTTTAGCATGGTTCATCAGATGCTGCTGTGTGTGTGTGTGTCTGTGTTCAGCCAGTGTGCTGCAAGCCATGGCCGTGCTGGTCTGTGCGGAGATGTACCAGGTGAAGCGGCTGCAGCATCTGTGTGAGGTGTGTGTGTGCGCCTACCTTCAGAGCATGCCCAGCAGAGAGCTGGCCTCGACGGGGATCAGCGTGGTTCGACTTCTCCGCAGAGCAAAGGTCGGTGCAAGCACTCAGCAAGTGTGGTAAAAAGGGCTAGAGAGAACATCTGAGAACGGACTTCTGGCCACCTTTGATGGTAGAAAACTGATGACTTAGGCGCTAATCACTACCTTATTATAAATTTTGAATAATTTTTGCAGCAAGAAGATTTAAAGCAGTCAGTGTTCATTAGTGTTTGAGGATAAAGGTAGAAAAGCAGCTGGCATAATGGTCTTTGTTGCAGCCTCTGTCTGAACACACTGTGTTGTAGAGGAAGTGCAGCAAACAAAGACCTCAGTTCAGTCTCCCAGTAATTCACTGTGAACACAAGTTCAAATCTAGAGGTATTCACACTTATAACGCAGAGCTTCCACCTTTCTGTTGAATCTCAGTGTCACAACGCAGAGCAGCTGTATGTTTGGCTCCTACACTTCATCGCCAACAACTACCTGATCTTCAGTCATAAACCGGACTTCCTGGAGCTCTCAGGTCAGTGTAAACCGTATCCAAGTTGTCCAACTATAAAAGAAATTGATCTTAAGAATTCATTGTTTAAAAGACACTGAAATGATGTGTAACCACTGTGTGTATCCAGCACAGGTGACTTAAACCTCTGAAAGCATGCAGATAGTGTCTCCTCTTAATAACTGTGTGTTTGTTGAAACAAAGTGACCCAGTGCATCATTTTCAAGTAGCCTAATTGAATAGACATAGTGAAAATGACCCTAGACTACTTATGTTTTGAACCTATTAGCTGTGTTATTTCTGCTTAGCCTCATTATGACATGGACAGATGGGGATCCGACATGTTTTTGGTGCACTTGTCCCTTCCTACCACCATAAACAACTTTGAGCAGCAGAGGTCAGGCTGGACATTCAATTCTGCACCAGAGGAAAAGGTGTGGGCAGACAGGACATGTGCATGGCACCATGACCGCCCCTGGATAAAACCCAACAAAAAACAAACACTAGCTGACAAGTTGGCTCAAAATTTGCTAAAGAAGAAAAAAAAGAAAAACTAGAACCTGGTTAAGTTTGTTTTTAGAACTGAGTCTAACAGAACAGCAAATGTAACACTTTGAAAAGCCTCTGCATTACTTGGCATAACAGCATACATTTTCAGTCTGTGCTTGGATTGTTTGCAAGGTTTGTAGGTGTTATAGGCAACAGAAGAAGCAGATAAAGATGATTTATTGCTGAGATTAAATACATCTCAGACACATTTTATTGTCAACATTAATCAGTTATACTTGACTTAATGTCATTGGACGGGAGCTGAAACGGCACAAGTAAAACATCAGAGGCAGAGACATCACAACTGAAAAGGACAGATCCTCAGAAACTCGTTAGAAAACTAATTCTTTGATGTTTTCTCCCTTTTTTAGCTGTGGTTATGGCAGCAAGCCAGGCAGTTGTTGCTGTTTGTGTATGTGGGAACACAGTGCCAAGCAAAATAAATCTATGTAAAGCTTATTGTGATCAGAGTGTAATATAGCAGATTAGAGTTCTAAATCATAGTATCTGTGTTGGTTCCAGAGGAGGAGCGTGAACAGGTGGAGAGGCTACGCTGGCCGTCCAGGGGATATCTGCAGGAGCTCAGCGAGTACCAGCAGCGCCGCCGCAAACTTCGCAAGTCCCGCTGCATAATCATGTGACCGCATCTGGACACCAAAACCCTGTGGACAGGGGTGGGGCAGAGAAGGGAATCCAAAGGGGAAAAAAAAACAAACATGAAAAAAAGAAAACACAAGGCAGGGAGGATGGCCATTAAAACGTGGCTCTGAAGGACAACACAGCTGAGGAATAAAGTTCAATGGGCAATCAGCCCCTCCACGTCCAGAGGGAGAACTGGAAGAACTCTCTCTGCTGAAGGACTGTTCCACCATAGGCCATACAAAACTATCCATCCTTAAAACAGAGTGATCTTACAATGACCGTCTGGCCTCTGACCAGAGGCTCTGTGATATAATAATTTTTTACTGGCTGATGCAATATAGTGGACTTCACTTTAAAAACTGGCTATATTATGAGTGTAACAATGTCTGGGATACCCAAGCTTGTTGGGCAATGAAAGCCGCACGCTGTGCAAAATTTTTCAAGCTGAGGACTTTGTGGGTAATATCCCTTCAGGCTGAGTAAGAAGGAGCAATCTACTTGCTACACGGAAATGTCTATCTTTTTGTATAATGGACACATGACGGCCATGGTGGCTCGCATCCTGTTGAAATGAGAGCTGATGAATTAAAAGGAAAAGACGCGTATCCAGCTGCCACTGAAGTAGCAGCTGGGTTGGAGAAGTAATCGACAGAGGAAAAGAGCCACTTGCAGACCTGTTAAGATGCTTGTAGCACCATGCTAATGGTTTCTGTGCACAAATATACACATTTAACAGAGTAAATATGCAGACATTTAAAAATATGCATCATCTACTTCCTATGACATTGAAATGGGTTGAAAAGTAATAAGGACTGGGGGAAAAAACAGCAACATCAAAGGAAGGGTGGAAAAGCCATCCAAATGTGCCCTCTGTAGTACCTGTGCTTATTTGTCAGCTTTAGCACGACTGATGGTGTGATTCTGGATTGGGTCTTTACTATGGCAGCTCTGTACACAGAAATCATTAGTCTGAATGAGGGGCCGGGGGCTCAAAACGTCACGAGCAAATAATACGGGAACTCTTTGATGTGCGGAACGCCGTCCTCTGTGAAGCGTGCTCACCCAGCATTTCTAAAATGGAGGCAATTATTGAGCCTGGTTTGCTCAGAGACTCCGTCAGCACTGCAGTGGAGCATGGAGGGACATGAAGGAAAAGCAACGGCTGCACAGAGAACACGCACACCATCCATGATAGAGCAGAAAGGCCTACAAGCAGGACCTACCAAATGACTAAATCCTTTATTACATCCCGTCACATCCATTTTGGGGCAAGCCCGAATTCAACGAGGCCATTTAGGTTTCTTTGAAAACGTCAGGTAGGAATGAAACCTTTCACATGAATCGACATGTTGTTCACTGTGAACCAAATCCAGCACAGGAGTCAAAATATTTGACATTCTCATCAATGACCTGCTGACCCGAAGTTCTGTACCATTTCTTTGGCAAGTTCACAAAAAAAAGTATTAACACAAAATAAAGATCTGTCTGTCACAGAGAGGCAAAAGCTTCATGTAGCATTTACAGAGGCGGGGAAAAAAGGATGTAGAAAAACCATGTTATCATGAACATGAGTGAGTACATTAAGGAAAAAAAACCTTGCTGCCTCTGGGCTGACACAGCATTTAATCCTGTTTTTGGCTATATTGTTTTAATCATAATGTGATTATGATTTCTGGTGCTGCAGTTATTTTTGTATACAACAATGTGTGGACTTTTTTTTAAACATCAGGAAAGCAGACAGCAGGGTTACGCTGCTTTACAGTCTAATGTTTCACTGCTATTTACTACAATGGGAAAGCATCTTATCAAGTGACTGTGCTTTTAACTATCTTTTCTATAAAAAAAGTGATATCAGTGATGGTCATCTATGGCAGGCAGGTGATGGTGCTCACCCTGCTGCCCACAGCAGAAATCAAAGATCTGGGAGGAAATCATCAGGCCATGATCAGTAAAAAAGCAGGTGAAACCCTGGACTGTAAAACAAAGCAGTCAGAGCTGTATGGACTGTAGATAACGTGCTGTCTCACTTTAAATAAAAGACGTGTGTTGGAAAGAGCAATCTGCTGGGACAGCTGTGCCTCATTTATTCCAAAACTCTACATCTGGTGATGCCAGTCCTGGCTGGAAATAATGGCTATAAAAAAAAGAAAAAGGTGTGCATGTGTGAGGGAAGGTGTGTGTCCTGTACCTGATCACTGCAGGGCCCCGATAGACTGCAGCATGCCTTCCAGTTTTCCACTTTTGGCCAGGGCCGCCACGTCACTGCCTCCTCCGATACACTCATCCCCGATGAAGACCCGCGGGACCTGCGGCACAGTCAGCTTCAGCTCAACAACCGAGGCTGCTGCGTGTGAGTGGAGCTCATGATAACAAACACCACACACACAGAGCCACAGGTGATGGCACCAGTGTCAACATCCGGGGTATTATTAATTGGTCATTCTGGCAGTTTGGGGAAATCTAGACGGTGTTGGGAGTTTTCAACCCCTTTTCAGGTTTTACAGAAACACGCAAACATCCCATCAATACCGCCCCCACCCCACCACACACCCACACACAGTCAGGGTGGAATCCATTCAATACCACTGCTGAGAAAAACTGCTTTCTGGCTGGGACTACGTTTACACCGACTGTAGAATATTTCCTGTGCAAGTGACACACCAGCCATTTAACAATTAGCATAATTGGCATCTAGTTGGGTGGCAGCACTCCCTTTCCTACCCCCACAAAATGGCTCTCATTTTTGAGAGCCATTATTTAAAAAATAAAAGCAGTAACAGGTGGGCGGTGCAAAGAGGAGAAGCCACGGAAAAAACACCGGTAAAACCTCTCGGAATAGCTTTAGCTTTGCATAAAGGCAGCTGACGCATAGAGGTCCCGGCTGCCCTTCGCCCCTTCCGGGAGAGTTAACGAACACGTTCGTCTGGTTCGTCTCTCAGTCTGTTCACAAACACGCAACTTTACCGCCACCATAAACCAAAATGTGATGAGGGAGAACCCCCCCCCCCCCTGTGCCGGTGCTGGCTTTACCGTGCGGGCTCCGGTGAGCTCCAGGAAGTAGTCCTGGATGCTGCCCATGTCGCTGCGTCCGCATATGTCGATAAACTCCAAATGCCCCGATTTGAACTTGTACTTTGACAAGACGTCTTTGGCCGTGATGCAGTAGGGACATGTGGGCTTCATAAACACCACCACTTTGTCGGCTTTAATCTGAGCTTTTACGAACTGTTGCGCCATTTTAAGTCAGCAGGGCAAGCGCTCAGAAGATATCGAGAAGTATTGTTGAAGCGGGACTTGAAAGACGATATTTGAGCACGTTTCAAGTAACATCAACGACGTGTGACGTCAGGGATTGGCCACAGTCTTAAAGAGACAGTACTTCGGTTGAGAGCGGGTACGTGAGGGCTCAACACGTGATAGGCAGTACATTTAGCACGTTGCCTTTGTTTGTTCTTTTTTAAAAATCACTTTACATTTACCGTAATCGTGTTTAGGCTTTGGTGAACAGATCGGAACAGATTTCTTGTAGAATAAATAAAAGAAAACAGCGAGACATTTAACAGGTAGAACCAAGTTTATTTTTATTGAAATGTCTTGTACATTTTCAGGATGACATTTCAATCTAAATTCACTTGACTTCCCGTAGTTTCTTGTTTCTAAATGCTGCTGGGGCATTTTCAGTTTTCCTCATTAAGACTGATCACACCGCTTCCCTCCTTCGTCCCAGCACAATGAGTCACGTTGTGCATCTTCAGACCAACCTGGAGAATGTTTCTATGATTAAGACAGGAATCTTTGGAAGGCTGAGAAGAAGATGTAGGTGATGGACTGTAGCATAAAGGCTTAATGAAAAGCTCTGATCTCCAATGTCAGTTTGTTGAAGGGCCCTTTATAGTTCTAAATGCTGACAATTTAAGTAAAAGAGAGAAGAAAAAAAAAAACCTAGACATTTACTTTGGGGTCCACAGGTATATGACATTGAAGCGGTGGTATAACAAGTGCTGGGAAACAAATGAAATCAACCAAGTTTTAGAATGAAGCTAAATAGATTCAGACAAGACAAACAGCCAGTCCACTGCAGAGACCAGCTGTTTGAAAGCATGCCAGAATCAAAACATGGATCCCACATTTAACCCCCAAAAAATAAATCTCCATTCTGAGGGGGGAGCGTGTTCCCCAGGAATAGACCAGACTCATCTGACAGCACATTTCAGTTGGAGCCCTTCTGTAGAGGTGGAGTCAACACCTCAACGCCCTAGATTCTCTTCACATTTGAAAACTTGAGCATGTGTTCAGTATTCTTCAGTGACTGCGACGTTTAGGTCAGCATTTACGTCTCATTCCGCTGCTTCTGTCACAAATGCTACTCCATGGAAGCAGCACCAGAAAGGCATTTAATTTTTGGCAAACACTCTGACAAGTATGTAAACAAACTTTCCCTTGAAATAAAGAATAAACCAGAAGCCATTTGTCCATCATGAAAACAAATCATCAACATGGGAAACAAAAAAAAGTGAAATACTGAAAACTTTCACTACTTTGTGGAAGTCAAACTTAGACTCCAATATATTAAACACCACAGTAAAGGGAAGTCCAGTCCTCTGGTGGATGACAAAGTGGCCTCTTTTTTTTTTCCAATCAGTCTGTTTGCTGCTGGATTAAGCTCAGGAGGTGGGTGCAGTCCTTTCCAGGGTCTAACTGATCTGGAAAAACAATCTTCTACAAAGATCAGGTACTTTTACCCCAGCCAGGTTGATCCTGAGTGCTCTGGCTGGTCAAACACTATAGCAGCTTTTTTTTTGCTTTTTCATATTTCTAACTCTTCTCCACTTTTCTATTTTTTGCTGTTGCTCAACAAACGAACACTCACTCACTCGCACAATTTGTAACACTTTTGGACTTCCTTCCTCCACCAGTCTGACAATTTTTTCAGGTCAAACACACACACACTCACTCACACACACACACAATAGTTTCCAGGCAGCTGTAGTTCCTTTGCATAGCTTGTGGACCCCTAAGATCGCCCCAACTACGTTTCCAAATGTAAACGCCGTAAGGCACCAGGAACTTAAAACATCATTAGGTGCAAGGAATACTGCTCCCCCCGCACACAAACACACACAGGATCAAACTCCTGTAGGTGCTCTAACCCCACCACCACTTGTGGTCATTACAAGTAATTTCTAACCATGCACACACTGTCTTTTCATCTCACCATCCCATTTCCTTCCTCTTAAACCAGATTTCCAGTACAGTTTAGCTTGAAAAGAGGGAAATGAGGCAGCAAAGATTTTGCCAGATGATGTAGCAAATTTGCGTGCAAAATGGCTTCACAACACATAAGGCCTGTGGTAATTTTTTTTCCTTTTTTTTTTCCACGGTAAAGAAAAATTAAACATCTGCAGACTCTTATTTGGACTACGAGTCTCAAAATAAATATCTCCCTCTTTTTAATGTTTTACTTAAATACAAGTTAATATTTTCTCTGGTGCTCAAAAATACTTTTTTCTGTCTGAAGAGTGTCCTTCAAAAGTTAGAGTTGACGTTTTTCTGCACACCTTGTTGCTCATGCAGGCGGCCCCCTTCATTGGTCCAGTGGTATCAAATTCCACAGGAGCTAATTAAGATAAAGCATTGAGAAACCAAAAGGATGGGAGCTAGGTCCACATGAAACTCTCAAGACTGCAGGCAACATAGAGGCCTGTGGAATCAAAGATCACATAGAAAGGGAATGAAGGAGTAAGGGAGGAGGTTGTAGAGGCAGGAAATGAAGGGGTGTTAATAAATAAGAGCGGTCACTCTCCTCCTGGTTTGACACTCCGTTCAAAATACTGATACGTGAGGATGCCCCATGCTCTCAGCACCAGCCCTGGGCCCGGCGCTGGTCAAAATCAGCTATGAGCCGCTTGATGTGGGCCAGCTTGTTGTGCAGGTACTCGCAGCGCAGCTTCTCTTCATGGTAGTTAGGGTTATGCTGTAAAAATACAAAACAAACAACACGATATATGATTTTAGGCCACCAATCTCAGTCCGATAAGCTCTATTAGGCAAAGGGAACATTACCATTCACTTTCTCTAGCATCATTCACACTGGGGCTTCAAACTTTTGCTACCCATACAGCTGCCCTCTCCGTTTTAGACAAGTTCATTTCCATTAAGCTTACTGCGTCAGAATTAACTCTGGCTTAGGTCTGTTCACGTCTGAAATGTAGCAGCAACTGTCGCAGAAGATACTAGTTTGTTGCCTACAGGGAACAATTTGGTCTAGAAGGAGACATCAAGGCTGTGAATCCCAACAGAAATTGCAGTCGTCACAATGATAACTCCCTAGAGAGCAAAGAAATCCTCAGAAGACACATTTGCCTTTTCTTGTTTACAGAGGATGCTTTGACCTTATTCAGTTTTACATATAACAAAGGCAGTTACAGAAGGACCGGCGCCGCCTTCTGTGCTTTTACTTTGGAACAATTCAGACCTTGGAGGTGAGCTCTAGAGAAAAGCTGTTTTCATTGAAAGTGCTTAAAAAAAACAAAAACAGAAATACTTACTTGTTTCATCTTTTTGTACTCTTTCACTACTTGTTCTTGTACTTTCTGTAAATTAAGAAAAAAAAAAAGTGTAAAACTTAAATTATACAGTGTTTTTGGTGCTTTAATGCCTTTATATCTGGTAGATACAAACTTCACTAAACTCTTTAATTCATTCTTTTGGTCCACAATAATTCCGAACCTAAATTCAAATGTTTAAGCTTAACGTTGGACATCGGACTGTTTAAATGCTGAATATCATTGCTGGGATTAACATGTAGGCAGTGTCTTTAATCTGACCTGGTACTCTTTGGAGCCAGGTGCCAGCTTCCTGCATTGGGCATCCAGCTGGGTAAAGTGGCGTGTGATGCTCTCCACACGGGCGTGCAACTGGCGGTATTCATCATACTCTGCATTGAAGTCATCCTTGTAGCCCTGTCTCTGGTCAAGGGAAACCAGAGGGCTATACTTTCTGTAGGAAGGAAAAAACGTCTTCCAATTAGTACATTATCTTATCTATGCCTTTTTTTTAGGTTGACAACTTTCTACTAATGTATGGGCTATAGATGTATTCTGCTCCCCTTGTGTTACTGGAAAACAAATCCATGAAGTCATTATTGATGTTTAAATGATAAAAACAGACCAACAACAGGACTGAAGTGAAATGTATGAATAAAACAGCTGTTCACTGATTCCCATGTGTTCTAATAATCTGACCCTTTTCATTTGCTCTTCTTTTTTACCCCTTTAAACTTTGGGTGATGTGAAAAGGTAGGACATATTGTTGAAACATGGTATGAAGTTACTCACGCTACATAGTCGGGCATCTCAGCTTTGGATGATAATTTAATGGTCTGGACCGGCTTGCCCTTGTCTGGAGACAGATGTAAAAAAACAAAAACAGCAGCATAAGAATGGAAACACAGCACTGTTTATAATACATATTAAACTGACACACCTACGAGGAATATCTAACCAGTTAGAAAAATCTATAATCTGAAATAAGAATAGTGACAGTTTTTGTCTCGTCAATGAAACAAAGAAGGAGGAGAAGAAATTTTGAATTGGAAACGTTTGTGATCAATTCAGCCTATATGCACCATTTTAATTTTAAGTAACTAAATTAAGTCTCAAGTGCAATTCTTTTCTCATCCTCTCCTCTGAACATATTTTGTTCTACTCCATCATATGAACCAAAAGCAAAGAAGAAAAGGCAAACATGCAAGGTATTATTTCGGACTGTAATTTTTTCCCAAATCGTGGTTAAACCCATATATATCCATATCCATATTAAATACCTATCTAGAGCCAGAGCTCACACTGGACTTACTCTGTCATTCCATATACATTATACTGAATACATAAATCTAGCATGATCCTTTAAGTCTTTTGACATTTGACTCAGCTGTTCAAATATGAAGGATGCAGAAAACGTACTTTGATCTTTGTGGGAACTTTTGTCCAGAACTTCATTCTCCTCCTCAACATTGCGCTTCTTTTTGGCCCGGTGACTCTTTTCAGCCTGCTCAGCAACAAGGGGGGGACTTATGCTGGCTCTTTCGGTTTGTTTCTCCTTCCCCCTCTCTCTATCCTTGTCTTTGTGCTTCTTTGATTTCTTTTTGAACTTCTTATTTGTACTGCTGGATAAGGGAGGACTGCTGATGACAGTGGAGGTAACTGTCAGGGTGGTGCAGGGAGGAGGGCTGGGTGAGGCCACCGGTCTGGGGACAGGGTGCTGATAGCGATCCGGCTGGGTCCTATCAGAGGAAAAGGGGCTGGGGGAAGGGTCTCTGCAGGAAGAACTCTGGTCAATTGGCAGGTCCTGGGTGCCACAGCCTTCCGGGGTGCTAGGGGAGTTGGAGTTGGAGGCCGGGCTAGGCTGCTGGTGAGAGGGTGCAGGGGGATGAGATGAGATGGGGAGGTGAGTGGGAGGGCCTGAGGAAACATTGAGGGGGAGGGACGAGCGTTTAGAGCTGTTGATGCCCTCGTCCTCACGACGGTCAGAGGAGGATGAAGACGCAGCTAGCCCCCGGTTGCTGAGGTGAGAGATGCGGGCCTTCTTGGGTGCCAAAGGATCAATAAAGTCAAAGTCAGCCTGGCGCTTCTGTAAGAAAACAGAAAAGAAACAAACCTTAAGCCACAAAATGTCCCAGCTCTGTGGGAGCGTGCTGATGTACATTTGTCCTACCTGGGGAGATGTGGGGACACCGTCTTTGGGCGAACTGTTTGATGATACAGTCTCAACTGGAAGACCTAATTTCCTGTTTAGAAAGGAAGGAGACCCCATTAGTCAGGAAAAAAACAAACTAGAAAAGCAGAGGGAGCCCACTTCCAATCATCATTACTCTAGTATTTTTCTAAAAAGCATTTGTTTATAATCTGAGATGTGAAATCTTTGGCTCATGATTACATAGTTGACTATGACTCTCTAATGTTTTACTTACAGCCTTCTGTTATGACCCCTCATTTCTTTACTATATCACTGATAACCATAAAAAAATAAAAATATATTTAAAAAAATAAAAAGAGAAAGCCACACAGGCCCCTTGTGTACCGAGCCAGGATCCTGTCAACCTGAGTCTTCTCATCTTCAGAATAGCCAGGCCAGTCTCGCTGGACATCCCGATACATGAAGTCCTTCAATGAGTAGGTGTTGTCTTTAGGATTTAGGTTTGCCACCTGTTCAGCAGAGACACATGTAACGTGTTAAGGTTACGCTATACCAACATGAAACCTATACAACATATCCAGAAACTTCATATTTCCCCTGCTGGCCATCTGTGCATGCAAATAATGTTTAACAATCTGGTGATTTCTTAGCAGTTTCTTGACAATAAGGCCTTCATCTGTGACCTGGTTTTCTCAGGCAAATAAGCATGTTTCTCTCAACCTGAAGCAAGGTTAGAGCATCTCTGGGATCAGCAAAGCTACTTAAAGGCCACTTATGGTACCTTCTCACAGTGTTAGTCCTGGTAAAACTCAAATATTTGTAGTTGTTCCCTGTGTAACCCAGGATGCAACCTACAGTATATCACTTCCAGCCCAACTACAAACAGTTTGTGCATGTTAACCACAACAACTTCAAAACACAAAAAAGTCAACAGTTACTTGTTGCAGGGTGGTCCCCAGTGAGTTTCGATCCTTCTGGTTGATGCCGTCCCGTTGCAAACGGCCAAGCACCTCCAGTTTCTTGTAGGACTTAAGCGCCAGCAGGTGAATGATGCGGTCCCTGAAGGATCTCTGAGACACCGGGTTGCTGGAAAGGCACTTTCGTATGGTGTTGGCTGGGTTGATTGGTGTGGAGCGTTTGCGCTCTGGGACCACATCCGGAGCAGACAGTGCAGGCTTACGAGTGTGCACTTGCTTTCCTAAAAAATAGGGCAAAAGGTCCCATTAATCCCTTTGGTGGGAGAGATCATGATCAAATTGCCATTTCAAGACTTCTAATTTTCAAGAAGTTATTGTCTGCTTTTTCGCTTACTTTATTTCCGTATTTCAAAGAGTTTAGTCAAAAATAACGCTATAGCTAACTGTAGTTTTATATATAACTTAATCTTGTCAGCATGCTCCTAAAACAGGGCTCTATAATGCTGGGCTGTGCACCATGCTGCCTGCACATTCCCCTAAACTTCTCCATGGCTGTTATGAAATTCTAAAGCCCTTTAAGAGATTAAGGTTAGAGAGAGGAAGAGAAAGGGGGACAACTCCTCCCTCCCTTCTTAATAAAAAGTGGACTAGAAGCAACATGAGCTCACACTTTTCCTTATCCAACAGACAAAGGATTGCAGGAGCTGTCTCCTTTAATTTCTGCACGCAGACCTGGAGTTTCAGAATGGTTTCCATCATAATGGCATACCATATCAGTCATTACGATTAGGATTATTTTTTCAATAACACCAAAAGTCAAATACATAAGAACTTCTAGATTATGTGTTCATAAACATAGAGCCAATTCAAAACCAGCTGCTTCAAGATCCTGATCCACCCCTTTTCTCAGTGTGGCTTCTCTCGTTTCGCAGTTTCTGTGCGAGCCTGTGTATGCAAATCTATCCCCAGGGGCTACGTTAAAAGTGACATAATGTATGCTTTCTCAAAAAGTAAATGAATGTTTCAAAGTCTGTATTCTACGTGTGAAACGGATCATTAAATCTGCCAAACCTGTGTACACCCTGGATTTGCAGCTGCTCTTAATGGGCTGTTTCAGTGTATGAGAGAAGAAATATATTCTGCTAAACTAATCTTTCAGGTTTTTAAGAAAGTGCTACATTGCCAGAGGCATAAAGCTCTGACACTAAAGACTACTAAATACCACAGAGCAGTATGGCCTTTTTTAAGAGTTTCTTTTACAGTTTCTACCCAAGTGGTTGTTCAAACAGTGAAAGAACCACCTGGAGTAGCACTGATGTTCAAACGTAAATAAAAAGGCAGAGTTTTTGGTTCCATGGACAGGGGACCACATTGTGGCCTTTGTGTTTGTTGCTAACAGAACTCAGCTTGCTTGGCTTAATACTTTGGCACCTTATGATTTGCAGAGGCGCCTCCGGGGAGAATCTGGCTAAGTGAACTGCTGCTACTTTTTTGGAATTTAAGAGGGTAAGTGTACATTCTCTGGTGATCCTCAAAAGGACCTTCTTACTGCCCAGGGCGAAACTTATCCCTGTTGGGCATGGTAAACCTGAATAACTTGTTCCAATGTTTTACAAACAGAAGAAAACAGAAAGTTGATTTTTGCTTACCTTTTGGGCTTTGCAAAGTTACAAAAATAAATATAATAAAGCTGCACGACAGAAATAGAATGTATACAACAGAAATAAAAAAGGGTGAAACATAATGTCTTTTTTAAACAATTTTTTTGTTTGTTTTTAATTTTTTATAGACAGGTATCCAATGAAATGCAAAACAGGAAAAAAATGTTTAATTCAATTAGTTTTCGTTTCGTCACGCTGTGACCACATGCCTAGGCCCTGAATGGTCATAGTCTGTTCAATTCAGGTGCATGGTAGACAGTGAGAAGAGTCTTAATGTTCTGCAAAAGAGGCTTGGTCAACATAAGCAGTAGGGGCAAAACAGCACAAAAATGAAGCCCAGGTTTTTTCCCCAGTCAGATGCCTAATATGTGGGGGGTGGGGGGGAGGCTAAACTCTTTATTCGGTTGAAGCAAAAGGTTTAAATAGAGTTATTATGCCAGCTATTCAGGGTCTCAAAAGAGGCCAAGTCTGTAAAGAGATCAGAGTGGCAATGGAATGGAAAGCCATGGCAGCATGTGGGAATCCAGTTGCTGCTACAGATAAGACTGAAGTGAGAGCCTTACCTCTGTACTGGCCCCCTGGCTTAATTACTTTGGTCCCACGTTCACGTGTGTCCTCCACAGCCTGGGTCATACGTTCCCGTGTCACCTGGTACGAGTCATTGGTGGCACACACTGTGACCTTGTCCTGTACCGTCGCCAACAATGCCAGGTGTGAGGCCCCTGAGCTGGAGACAAAGGGGGAGTAAAAGAGAGAAATGTGAGGCAGAGAGGGATTACCCTTCCAGCAACGTGTAGTAAGACAGTAACAGTCGATTCAGCTGAACGGTGATTACCATTACCTTGACGCATACTGACGAATGCACTCAAAGCTTCCCTGAGGGTTGTCTTTGCCAACATTAGACAGGTAGAAATCAAAATTGTGGGAGGTGTTTGATGAGGAGTCAGTCTTGGGAATTTTAATGCGCTGTAAAATATTCAAAAGGAAATTGAGGAAACTGTATTTTCTATATTAAATTAATTCAACCATGACACAGAGGGGTTCTAAATATTTAAATATAATTTTATACATTTGAAAAAGATGAAAGGCTTAATATATTGATACTCGTTAAAAACTGTTTAAAATATAGACATGCACTTCGAAACAATGGCACATGTCATTTTCCCAGGCTTTTCACAAAAACACAAAAAATAAACTAAATATTAAATGTATAATATTTATTAAAAAATTACCTTCAAAAGGTTATTACAAAAGATAACTGTTGATCTTTTAGGAGATTTGATTCATAAGGAGATGAATGGGGAAAAAAAAAAAAAAAAAAACATTTTGGCAAAATTGGTGTGGTCCTTTATTTTAGGAATCATGAACCTTGTAGACTTCTATTACACATGCTTGTTTTAAATGCTCAAAATAAACAAATGAAAAGTCTGACAGTGAACCACTCAGAATCAGGACTGCTGAAGCAAGGAAAAATGTTCGGGAAAAACATAGTTTTAGATGTATGTGCAAATGTAGGATTGAGACTGAAAAACAATGTTCATGTTAAGCCAAGTTTATGTTCAACTAAGGAGCCCTATTTGACCCATTAATGAGGGAAGGAAAATAAAATCATAATCTTACCCCTTGAAGTCCCTTGAATTGTATTGTAGGCCGCAAGGAAGGTACATTCTGAAAAGGAAGGGATATAGATTGGTAAAACAAATGAACAGCTATTTAACAAAGGAAAAATAAAGAAAAACAAACCACAAGTTTATCAGTAGATTTGAAGGAGGTATACAGATACCAGATATGGAATTAAGATGTTCTGCTCTAAAATCCTGAATATGTTCAATGTGTTTCTTTGGAAAAAAGAAAAACCCAAAACGACAACAAATACACACACGTATCTGAGTGGGAATGCATGAAATGAAATAAAATATTATTGTAATAAACACTTTTTGTAAAGAACTAAAGATAATTTTAGATTTATTTACAGATTACAACAAAACAACAGAATTCCTCATAATTGAGGTAAATGAGGAAGTGGCTTTTTGGCCGTGTTGCACATTCATAAATCATAACCAAATTAATTGTAGCTTAAATGATCTAAACTAAAAAAATGGAACTCTCACATGTAAACTAAACGTATAGAAAGCATTTTTGTCCTATGTAGGTTGGACAGGGTTAACTCAAAATGGAGCTGAAGGCCACAAATATGCAGCGCCTGTTCTGGAGCAGCATATATGCAGTTAAGATAGCAAAACACTGAACTCTCTTCACATAGCTTAAGCACACACAAGAACCAGTCGGCCAGACTTCTGAAATGCTGTATCAACTGGTCGGAGCGGAATGTGCATTTTATCGACAACAGACTCTCGTCAACGCTGGACACGGACCGTGCACGCCAACTCCTAGCTAGAAGAAATTACAGCTGGATAAAATGGATATTTTCATAGGTTTTGTAGGTATTGAGGCAATATCATGCTTGTGGAAGCTAAAGCCACTCCAGGCCACATATTCCCTCCCCCCCACACACACAGTTCTGATCACATTTCACATCACCACAGAAAGACAAAGATAGCCAGCCTCCATAGTTCGATGACTGGTTCAACTACAACACACATTACTGAGAGCGAGAGAAACAAAAAGCAGGACGTTTTGGCTGCTCAGTCAGCAAGAGATGGCAGGCTGCCGTTCAGTGCAGACCAACACACCCAGTAAGGTTATAGTGTTGGCAGTTTCAAATGAATTCCTTCAACTTAATGATAATTTTGTTCAGAAACTAAGTGAATAATCAGTTAAAGTTGTGATTCACATGAGTAGAAAAAAAGGGGAAAAATTGTTTTCTCTCTTTATTTCAACATTATGTGGCTGCCAGCCAATCACACAGATATCAGGTACTTTTTCCTGATAAAAATTGAACTGTTTAATAAGTCACAAAGCAGATATGAATTTGATTAACTGTTTAACTCAACATTATGTCTACATAGTTAACTTGCTTGAGTACTCCCATGAACTGAATTACTAAATATCCAGAGCAAAAAGGAACAATTTAACCAAAAATCTCTTACTTTATCAGTAGAGGAGCAATGAATTTTTGACGACGTATAAAAATTAACAATAAAGTTTCACTACAGTCTCAACTTTCCAATTTACTACTTTATTTTCAGATATCATACAAACATTTGTAAAAGGATTAGTGGCAAAGAGCCAAAGTCCCATATACAATAGGGTGTGAAATGGGTGTAGGACATACAGATAAACATTGTGTGCCAATCACAGACCTCTGATCATGCTAAGCAATATTGAGTTGGACCAAGGCAGAGTCGTGTGTTATGTAACTGAATAGTTGTTGGCAACTTGGCAGAGTTAAGGTCAAGTAGCTTGGCTATAGGCACCTGCAACACATGACTGCAGAGGCTTCTCCAGATTAGTTCACCTGTGTTCACCTCAACATGATTACATCACCTGAACAGTTCAAGATTAACATGTTATATATAATCTGAACAGGTATGCAATGCACTTCAACAGCCTCAGCTTCTCATGTTTGTAAATCAACTACTGTTGTCAAACTCTGAGGTGAAGTAAAGTAACTTTAACCAAGTAGTTTACTAAAATACATACATTGTGTTCAACACTGCATAACCTTATATATTATTGCTATTAAAATAGCACTAATGTGCAACTGAGCCCTCATTCCTAATCTAGAAGGTAATAAAGATACGTTAAAAAAAAAAAAGGTAAAAATGGTCTAACTTAAATGTTTTGGCTACGCAAAACCGACTTATGTGATTATATACATTATTCATATCCCATAAAAGTAATTCCTACTTTAGAAAAAAGAAGAAAAAAAGAGTACGTATCCCTGCCAGGTTGCGGTGTTAGGTTTTCCAAGCTAGCTGAAACTTGTAACCATATGGTAAGATGACCAGTCATCGACGAACGCCAGATCCTCGAAATATAATTAAATTGTGCCTTGTGCATTTTTATCCTGTGCCCAACATAACTACCACCTCACCGAATGAAACTTTAGGTTAGTGAAGCAAGGTTTGAACATTAGGCGAATTTTAACTTAAAAACGACTGTTGACTATGGTCGATATGTTTTCACTTTCCAAATTTGGTAAAGATGGTTAGTTATGTTGACGAGAGAGAGAAAAAAGGGACTTCATGAACAGCACAGGGGGTTTACACAAACGTAGGGCCAACACTAATCAGTGTCGAACTTATACAAGTTTTCTAAGTGAATAAAGGTTTGTCAGTTCGCAAAAACAAGCATGAGCACTAGAAGTAGGTCTCACCTATAGTCTCCAGGTGGCCAAATTAAAGACACAAAACTAATTAAACACGAAAAACAGGCAGAAAGTCGCTCTGTCAACAGCTTAGCTAACTTTGTAGCCATAGCTATGCGTGGCAGTTGGTCTTCCTAGCTAAGACAGCAGTGTCAACCCGAGTCCTGGCTACTTTCAAGAGAATTTAAAACGTTTTTACTCACCATACAATTTTGGTAGCTTTCTATGGCTCTTATCGCTGTCTCAGTCAATTTGACGTGTAATACAGTGACTCTTTCTGCGATATGTTGGCCACAATTTAATCCGTACCTCCCATCCTCGGAGAGAGCCGCCATCTTTACCAGCCCTCCACCATCGTCCCTCTGAGGCAGCAGCATTTAGCAGCCCAGGCTCACTTCGGTCCGGGGAGGGATTATGTTGTTGCCTGAAGGGCTGACAGTTGGATTGGCCCTAACTTGCAAGGCTGTTAGTTTGTTACTTTCCTCGCAACGTAAAGTAAAAAAGTGCACACGATCGCGTTTAGTTTTATTGGTTTTTATGAACAGTTTCAGAGGTTGGTCTACCTCTAATATGAGGTTTTATTTCTCAGGGAGTTTACAGAAAATTGAATGGTGTCACGATTGGTCTTTTAAACCCTGATTAGAAAAATATTACGCTCATCTAGTTCCTCTTTCCCTGTAAGCCTGTAACCTTCCTCCCAAACTCTCACACACAAACACAAACCACTGCTTTGCTGACATGGTAGAACTAATTCCAGCCTACTGAGAATGTTAAAGGAAGCTTTTGTGAGCACACTGCATTGGACACTCACTTGATATGTTTTTCATGCCATGCAGTGATTTTAGCCTATTTATATATGGCATACTCTAGGATTGTCTACTATTTTTTCCACAATGATATAAACTTACTAATATAATCTTTCCATATTACCCTTCTGACACCTTGATTTCTCAAATAAAATACCTAACTTGGTTCACATAACAGTAATGAGTACTTGGCAGTAGTCCTAAAGTTTTCATATATTTATACATTTAAGTTGGACAAGAAACAAGTCTTTTATTTGGTTCTTCTTAAAAAAAAATTGGTATTTAAAGTGACAAAAGCACAATGGACACAAGTGTTTCCCTTGTCAGCTGGACAGGGTGATTAGCGGCGTAGCCCCAGGCAGGGTGGGGAAAGCCTTGTGTGAATCCAGCAGATTACCATAGCTCTCCACCCCACCCAACCCCTGACACACTTACCACAAGTCTTACATTTTAAACTTCTTTCCATCAACAAATGAGCTTGTCCTGTTTCTGAAAATGAACACATTTACATTTGATTCAAGGGTAATTTACCATATTTACGGTAAAATTAAACTTGATTGAGCACTGGCTGAGTTGACAGTTTTCTTTCACAGTACTGTTTCCTGTGGTGCATCCTGTGTTTCTTAGAAATCATGTAAATTATAAGAATTTAGTCATGCCTAGTCTAACATTTTATCTACCATGGAAACAATGAAGAAAAGACACTGAGTTTTATGACTCATTAATTTTCAGTTTTAGACCTTCTTTCTTTACAGGATTCCTAAAGGCGTCACCAAGTGAAGCCTTAAGAATACTTTAGAATGACGCCCTATGCTTAAGGCTTATCATTAAACATGAGCTGTTAATGAGTGTTGCCAGCATTACAGTCCTTTGTCTTTGATGTTGCTTCATTTTTCTTTTGACGTGGTTTATGATTAATAATTATTCTTTAATCATTTTCAATCTGTTTTAAGGATCAAAACTGATGATCAAAAATGTTCAAAAACTGAAAAACAAACAGGATGTTCTATTGTTATTTGGCCAGGCAGGTTTTATTCTAATCAAGGGAATATGCTGGGGCTTGTAGCTTAGAATCAGCAACAGTGATAACAATGTTTTTCCAAGGGTTAACATTTAAAGGTGTTGTTTTCCCACTCAGAATTGGATTTTTCCTTTCCATGTGATGTTTCACTCTATTCTTATGTAAACTCTGGTAAATAGTGTAAACATCTCCCAAATATCTTCATGGCCCAGACCGTATCAGTTTAAACTAGAAAAGGTTTTCTACGAAGTTGTATCTTGGAAAAGTAGCTTTACTGAGCACAGATGATTTTTACGACATCTTAATCTCCAATTTATGGTTGATGTTTAGATAGACCTAAACTTGATTAGCTGTAAAGCAAGATGAGGAATACATTGGGAAAGTAATGAATATAACGTGTGATTTTTTTGGTCTTACTTTTGCAGTCCTACAAATGTCTACAGTAGTTCAAGCCAACTGATGCTCCCAAGCAAGCGCCTTAATAGATAAAAGAAGCACACGTGGCTGTAGATTCCAAATGGACTAATGATTTGAAAGGTCAGAAATAGACTTTGCCAATCTTGGCAAGGTTTAAAAAAGCATCTGACACAAAATCACACCTGCATTCTGTTTCTCTGCATGATAGCATCTGTGATACAATAAACTATTCAAATGAAGTTAGATCATCATCATCATCATACAGAAAGCTCCAAATCCTTTTCCGCCTAAATTCAATTTTTCTAAGGTACTAATCTTTAAATTTATACACTTAAATGTTTTTCACAAATATTTACTCATTTCTAATGTGATGTCTGTAACACCTTCCCAAAAAGCTGTGACAAGGGCATGCTCATGTTGAAAGCCTCCGGGGGAAAAGCAAGGAGAAATTAAAACCATTGCGTTCTTTGTTCTCTCTGAAGTCTATTCACAGATTAAAATACAAAGAATTAGGAATGTTTGAATCATTGAATTCTTATTTCTATTACAAGAATTAAAACAATAATTCTTTCAGTGTTAGAGATTTATCTCTATTTTACTTAATGCTGAGTCAAGCAATAGACTTCCTTACCACCCATAAACCGCATGACAAGGATTAAACCAATAAATCTTTAACCTTCTTTGCATCATGGCACTAAGGGGAAATCTAACAAGGATCAGACCAACGCACTGAGAGAAACTCAACAGAATCGGACGCTTTGTATTAGTTCAGGTATGAGCATTTTCTCTTATGAATGTAAAAAGGCAACTATTGAAAATACTTGCCTCATAGAAATCTCTAATGGACAAGTGAGAAGTGAATGACATTGTCTCTCGATAATGAAAATGTGAGACAGATTGTGTTATCACCATGCGTTTACATGAGCACAGTTATGTAGTTACCTGTGAACACCAGAGTCTTCTCATTTTTTACCTACCGGATCTATTGGCTTGTCTTTTCACCTGTGTTGAAATATTGTATAGAAATCATTTGTGAAAATACCAGGGGACTATCAGACTCTATGTATATAGTCTCCAGTCTCCAAAATCTCACCTTAAGAAGACTATTTTACCACCATAATGATTCAAAGTTCACCAGCAAAATCATTTGTAGTTCCAAATAAGGAGGAGATCAAAGCTTTAATTGAAAACTGAGTAACTTAAAGAAAACACAAAGTCACCAATGCCCACCACTGACACGCACCCAAAAAATGTCTTAAAATCTATAATAATAAATTTGAGTTTGAGTAATAAAAGATTAGGTTTTCTTTTTGAAAAAAAGAAAGTAATCTTGGCACATTTAACAGATTTTTCTTACAATAATGTAATCACAATAAGGCCCCCTTAAGAACCATAAGATTAACACTAACATTTAGAGGGGTAGTACCCTTGTGGTAGTATCACATTTCCTCTGTCAGTTTCACAGGGTGGAAAATTCTGGGAATGCAACCAGCATAGGCAGAGCGGTGTGCAGTCTTCCTAATAGCTAATAGCCAGTAGAGATACTGCAAGTAGGTCATATGCTGACTGGTTAAAAGTTTTAATCAATTAGTTTACCACGTGGAAGCAATATTTTTAAATTGAGAAGTGCATTTGCAATGCCATGCAAAGCACCAGTGCAGCAACTCACTGCACCAGCTACTGCCTTGGCTGGACTTGGCCTGTCACCAGTACACAAAAGCTTTCAATCCACAGGATGGGACTGGAAATTCCATGGGTGTCTGCTTCTCTGTGTTTAAACAGCCACCCACAACTTTATAAAGTTCCAGTGAATAGACCTTTGCATTCAAATCGTTGCACCAGTATTGCGTAAACAAGAGTAAAATATCTACTACAACACTATATCAAGGAATTTAGTATTCTTAGTCCTTGTTATTTATTGATTAGCTGGATTAATTAATTGTTTTATCAGTAATGAATATACGTCTGCACAAAAAAAGTGCAAACATTTCAATTTTACTGGATAATCATAACCATTATACTAACTTTTCAGACAATTCTTCCCAAAGTATAAAATAGTTTTTAGCATTATTACACAGAAACTTTACTTTCATATTCTGTCCTCATAAAGTAGCAGAATGACAATGCTAACACTATGTGACATCTCAGCTGCTGACCTCGATCTTAAGTAGTGTCCTTTTTTGAATGAATGGTTACTCTCTCATGACAGACATAAGGCCAATCAATTACCAGCGCTGCCAATAGATATCTTTCACCAGTAGTTCAATTTGGCCCTTTTTTACTCTGCCATAACTGTACAATGTACAGGCAATGCAATACTGAAAGTTTGGGGAGATATGATTTTTGATATACTTAAAGTTGAAAGGATTTATGACAAACTGTTGGAGAGAAGGGTTTCAAAAATATATTTCAAGCCCAAAAGTACATGTGGGAAAGTATTATCTTCCTCTTAGATGGCTGAATGTTTCTAAATGTTCATAATGGGTATATTTCCATTTCATACAGTCCTTTGAATCTAATAAACTTGTAGCTACCCTATGTCACTAGTTACCTCGATCTGATGAGCTTTCTTTTTTGTCAGAGTGGTCAACCTTATCAGACTTTAAAAAAAGATCAATATTAACAAAACGCAAGAAACATTTGTAGAGCTGATGCATTTAGTTCCTTCTAAAATGTGTCTACTTAGATTCAGGCTCTATTACAGCCCACCATGTGAAACTGCACATAGAGTTTAAGAAACATCTGCACATGGCGATCATACTGTCATTCATGGTTGTGCTCATTTGTGAAAGCTGGCTGTTATGAGACAGAAACTTCCAGTCCATTGAGCACGTCTGTTCAAATTTGAATAAAGCTTAAGAAGAAAGGCATGCTGGTCATGACTCTAGAAGTAGAAGCACAAAGGTTTCATGGGATTATTTGAAGTTCACCTCCAACTTCTCTCCACGTGGCGATCTGGCCCTGAGGACAGATTTTGTTGGCAGTGAGAAAACAACATCTGCTCGTATTTAACCCTCCCATAAAAATACAGCACACAAGGAGGAGAAAGCAATGTGTGAATGTGGGAGCATCTTTGTGTTTGTGTAAGAAAATGGAGCCAGTCACACCGAGAATCAGTTCATTTGGGTTTGCCTTTTATTCCAACTTATAAATGAGATAAAAGATATTCATAGAAGTTTCAGGACACAAAACACTTACAGAGCACTTCTCTCTTCCCAATGCTCTAATTTTTTAAACGTGCAACCCAGGAAAATAGCTTCCTGTTAGATTTATTTTTATGCATGTGGTCTTTAAAGACCTTGAAACAGCAGCTCTTCCAGTTAATGATTAGCCACTGTGGGGAAAGTGTGCACTTACACTGTTGACTCTTATCGCTACTGACCACAAAGCCACTGGAGCAGTATCTCTGAGGCTGACATTAATGGAGAGGACACTGTTCGCTTAAAGAGACAGGTCAATTTTGTTTTGTTTTTTTTTTTCTGTGGGGGAAGAGATAGCAAGCATACAAAGGTGCTGTTGACACAAATGGATCTTTAATTCAGTGCAGATTGTGCAGTTTGTCTCTGCGTGTTTGCAGGCTCTATTTGTTGGCTACTAAACAAAACACCAAGATAAGCATTCTAAATTTCAGGCTTTATTAAATTACTGCATTATATTCTTTTTCATTTGTTCTCTTTATCTGGTCTCTTGTCATGTCAAAAATCAAAAGTTGAATCTTTTCCAAAATATTGAAGGCATTCTTCCTTCACAAAGGAGTGAGATCTATATTTAAATCTGGGTTTAGTCTGCAGAACACTTGGGCAAATCCCGTATAATTTCAACATTTGAGCTCCTCTCGCTTCTGAAAATCATAAGCAGCGCATTGCCTTCCTTTGGAGACTAACCTCCGTGCAGGCACTGGAGCAGCCAGGGCTGAATCCCACCAGCTGTATTCTGGGGACAACACACATGTTGGCCTGTGGTCGATCAGGAAGCGGTTCAGGTAGCTTTCCTCCAGGCCACTGGGTGTAAACCTATTATCTTGGTCTTGAAGAATAAGTAAAGAGCAGGCATGAGCCAGACTGTACATCTCAGATACCAACCCACCATACAACTCTGATGTGTAATAGTAGTCCCCTTCATCCTCCTCAACACAAGCTGATGAGATTTCCTCAACTTCATAGGGGAATGTCATTCGTGCCATTCCATAAAATTCTGGGTGTAACGTAGCTACCAGATCTCCAAGAATTTCCTCTCCCACTGGGCCCACAAACTCCTGGTCAACGTCGGCACAGAAGATGTACTCAACTTCACTCCCGATCGGGCCTTTGATGGCATCAGCAAGCAGAACCATCCGACGAAGAGCCAGCCGGTCCCACCCGGGCAGCTCTGTGACCTGGAAAACCTTCATCTGACGCTCAGGCCCCAGTTCAACAGGGGGATCAAGTGCACGGGGATTATCTGTGTGAATGTAATAGGTGACCATCTGACCAGGGAGAAAGTGGGTTTCAGCAGAGTGAAGGAAACGTCGGACAAACTGGGCATAGGTTCCCACCACGAGGACAAACAAACCTATACGGATTCCCTGCTCTGAGAATTTTGCCCTGCGCCGTGCTGAATTACGGTCGTCACCCCACACTATAGGGGCACCCCATGGAGTCTCCACCGTTTGTGTTTGTGGTCCTGCAATTCTGACCCCTTTTGTGTCAGTCAGCGTTTTGCCCCTGTCTGAATCCATGCCATTATCGATGGGGAGGGATGAATCCAGACCGATGGCAACTTTGCGTCCTTGAAGAAAGTCTAAATAGACAAAATAGCAGTCTTATTTTTCAAGACTAAATTTATTTTCTCACTGTAAGTCTTTTTTCAGAGCAAACCTCCACAATGAAGGAAAGTCAAATATTTCAATCCAACTAACTTCATGTTATTCATGGAACAACTAGAAGGTGAGATGCAAAATGGGCTGAGAAGGACTGGAAAGGAAAATTATAAGTTTTTGCTTACAATACAGCTTAGCAGTGGTGTTTTTTTCTATGAGTGTGGAAGAAAAGAACATATTATTATGTAATACTTACATATGATAAGAGGCAGGAGAAAGCAGCACAAAAGCAGTTGTATTCTTACTGTTCTGATAGAACCTGTTCGAAAGAAAAACACATCAGTCCAACTGTTGCAAGTTGCCATACTGTTTAAACCAAAAAATATCCCCCCCAAACCTTATAAGGAACAGCCTCATCTCATAAGAAATATCAAAATTGATATCTTAAGAGAGATCTCCATTTAAAGGTTCCTCAAATTGCACATATCGAAATTTTAAACTGGAATTTAAAGATAATATTAAAGCATGGATCATTTGTTTTTCCATGCCAGTGTATATACGTTTGTTATGATTTAGAGGATGATAAAAGAGAATATAAGAAACTAGTGACACTCATGTCCAGTTGGTAAAACACAGGAAATCACACGCATAAATCTATAAAAGCCATATACTTTGGAGGGACATCATTATGTCCTTTAGACAGGATATTCATGACCTTTTGTCAGTTTTTTTTAACAATTGTTCCGCTTTTCATGAGGCATTACAGTAATTAGGCTGTTTACTTATTTTGTTGACTACAGTCAATTCCGATTGGATCAGTCCAAAACTCTTTGAATCCTTATTGAATGGAACTCGCCTTTTAGACAGGATGCACACTTACAACAGTCACTAATGAGCGACAGCTAAAGCAAAAAGACATGACAAAAGCAGAGGAGGAGGAGCAGAGGCTGAGAGGATTTTACTAACCTGTAGTTATCTTGCAGAATGGGAAGTGTGCCATACTTTGACTGATCGGTGTATAAGCACACAGCTTTCTTTCTGAAGATGCTATTTTTACCTCTTCTTATGCGCTAGTGTTTCTTTATAGATCACGCCATCCCTTCCTCGAAATCCTTCTCTAAAGTTGCTCTTTTTGGTAATTCATTTAATTTACTAGCCTCCTCTTTCTCTCTCTTTTGATTGTTTTTGTGTTATTTCCCACTCCCTTTCCCTCACATATCTGATTTCCCTCTCCCCTTTCTCAAATTCCTTCTAGTGCTTTTGCAGAGCTCACTTTTGGAGCAAAACCAAAGGAACCAGATGTGTGGGGAGGAGCTGAGGAGAGAAGAATAAAACATAACTACGCAAACTCTCTAAAGCTATTTAGACACTGAAAGCAAATGAGAATAAATGATCTGCACCCATGACTGAGGTATGAACTTGAAATGACAGCGAAATAAGATAAGATGTGCACATAAAAAATATTTTTAGATTAGCTGTTGTCAAACCCATTTTGACCACAAGATGGGGTTAGTAAATCAAAAGTAGTCCTCTTAGAAAAGTGACAACATAGTTTATGTCGCTGTTCTTCAACAGCAACATAAACGATTATAAACGGCTTTGCAGAAACTCTGTAAAGTTAGAGGTCTCCATTACAGTCCATGAGCTACTTCTGGGATACTAATACTTTTTCAAAGCATCCCGGGTCACACCCACTTAAATATATGAATCAACACATAAACACATAAATATGTGGGAGGATAAGGGGCAATCAGCCTTTCAAAACATTTACGAGCACTTTTTGAGGTCAGACACCATAAGTCTAAGATTTCTTTCTATTTCAGGACTATTTTTCATTCTCAAGTGAACCAATGGACAATCTGTGAGGTAAGCTGGACTGATGTTCAACCTCAAACAACCTCTTATTACTGCAAATGTGTGCTTTCACATGAGTACTTGCATCATAAAGACATGATTGTTTTTGAGTATCCATGCATATTAATCTTCTCCATCTGTATTAACATGCTCAAATCAGCTAATTAGCATTTGACACAAAAACAAAGGTTGGTAGTTCATATCAATTTGGTTATTGAGTGTTCGTAGCTGAGGCCTAAAAATTTAGTGATCTTTTAAATATATGGATTATGCACAGAAACAGTTACTTCCTCCAAGGTAATATTTACTACACTTCTTACAAAATGTAAAATATATTTTCAGTTTTATGCAGGTAAAAGCCCTTGTACAACAGCACATAGTAAACAGCTTTCACTTCCTTTTGTTTACCAGAAGATGCTACTGTCAACGGCCAAAGACCCAGCAAACTCAGGTTCTCCCTTTGCAGTTTATTTATATATATCTTCTACTTTTTTATACATCCATACAGAAATCGCAACATGATTTTTGGTTTGTGTAAACAACTTGGGACTGAAGACTTTGTAAAAAAAAAAAAAAACTCACAGAAAACGTCATAGGCTACTTTAAAGTATGGATAAATTACAGGGAACACGCAAATGCTTCTCCCAAACGTAATCTTTTTCTGTCTTCTTGTTGGCAGAGAAGTGGGCCAGGATGTTTCCAGCTGAAGAATAGAGGCTCTGCATTGAGGCTTCACAGTTCATGTCCTAAACACTTGTAATAGCATCTGTAAACTGATCTACACCACACGGAGAAGAGTATACACATTTCTTACAGAATAAATTAAGGCGTTCAACATGAATGATTGATTGTTTCAGAACAGAGTCCCTATTCTACAGCGCTCACAGTCAACCTCTGAATGTGATAGATCAATTCATAATAAATGTGGAAAACCATAAAATTTCAAGAGGATTCACAAAAGTAACTGGCATTTGACAGAAAGTGAACAAAAACCAAACAAACACTATATGCACTTGTCCAGTCGGTGTGTACAGACAGTCCGAATATGTAGAAGCTGTTTTGAACTTTTGTTTTTGGCAGTGTTTGTATGTAGTTCAGTCTACTCTGATGAAAGGGTTTGATGTTGTATATTTCATAAGTTATCTTGGTTCCTTAGAAAAATATTTCCTTTAATGCAGCATTTTACTCTTACAAAATGAAACAAATTGCGCAAGAACTTGAATATCTTATTTGGATGTTCATTTAATAAATATTTTAAAAGAGAAGTTTGAATTGAAAAGTGTACTGTCATTGATAGCTTCTTAGTACATCTGCATACTAAGCATAAATAATCTTTCACAGTAAATGTGTTTCCCATGGTACTTGAGAGCGGACAGAAAATTATTGTTACTTTCTTGAGCTTTGTTAACACCCTGAGAACAGTTTCAATATTTTCAATTCCGTGTTGAAGTTTTAGACTTGTTTTGTATCACTTTATCCCCATGGTGTAAAAGAAACCATCCTGTTATACTGTTTGTGAAGAGATGGGGACACTAGATTGGTGCTTACACCATATTACAATCATTGTCTGAATAATATATATAGATATAGCTACTTTTAAGAAAACATATACTCTGAAGGTGGCATGCTTGAGCAAGCAGTAGAGATATGAGAGGCACCACCACCGTAACACCATCACCCCTTTTACTTTGAGTTAAATGCTTGTATGTTTAACACATAAGGATATTTTTTTACAGCTGAGAGGCTTTAAATAACTTCTTTATATTGAATCACTTTAGGTAACTTTGCATGGATAAATGAAGATATGAAACAATCAATTAACAAATGGTGATTGGCAAATAGATCAGAAATGCAGCATTTGGGGTATTTCTTATCTTCTCTTCTTCTCTTCCAGTAATCGTTTTGATTTATTTCCCCTCCACCCCCTTGTTCCCCCGCTCCCAAACAAACACCGCGATTCTTCTTCTCCCCACAGGTCATGACTCTCACTTTCGATCGTCGTCAAGCATCTGGAACAGGGCCTGCAGCAGTCGGTCGTCCCTGTGCCTGTACGGCTTGATGCTGTAGAAGCCATCACTGTAGTCACTGTAGATGATGCCCTCTGGGCCCTGGTACTTGTTGATCAGGTCCAGAGCCTGAAACAGCTTTTGCGGTGGGAGTCTTGTCGCAGGAATGACCAGCTGGTGTTTCCTCCAGGCAGGGGAGGACCTCTCTGCAGTCGAGGACTGCTGCAAGGCCTGGCGGTTGAAGGCTGTTTGCAGGAGACGCAAAAGAGCCAGAGAGGGGGAGTAAGAGGAGTTTGAAGACTTTCTGGGCTCCTTCTCTGGAAGAGAGGCTTTTGCAGGCTCAGTTTTCTGAGGTGGCTGGGCCGGAGTGGGCTCCTGTAAGAAGAAGAAAACAAAATGTATTGGATCATGACGAATAATGTGAGGCTATGTGAATTCTCAGCAATGCTGAATGGATTTGTGTTTTTCTGGTCGTAAGTGAATTAATGACTAAAAAACAACCTTAAAGCTCATATACGGGGAACATAGATTGTTCATTAAAAGTGTTCAACACCTTTAATTTAACATCATCCCCAACATATAGTAACACTTAATTGATTTGATGTCTGATTATTAGTTGGAGGTGTAAGTTACTTATATGTTCACTTAATAAATGACTGAAAACTGTAGGGGATTAGGTTTGCATTTATTTCTACTGTTTGTCAGATCTTATTGAAAGGAAACTACCACAGAAACTCTATTAAATGTTATTTCAAACATCTTCTTTCCCACTAAATAAAGTAATCATTGTCAAGGATCTGAAACTCTTATTAATTTCTCTTCCATCACATCAAGGCCAGCAATTGATTTTGTGCTCACCTCTATCAAGTCATCCATGTGTTCTACACCTCGGCGGTCATTCTGCACAGCGTTGTAAGCAATGTATATACGAGGTTTCTTCATGTGCTCTGGCTTTTCTGATGTACCATGGAGAATCAGCTTCCAGTTTAAGATCCTTCCCTTATTCTCCATACGTCCTGACTGTGAAACAGCATTAAGAAAGGTTTAATCTTATGCTCGGGAATGCCACAAATCTGGCATAATTTTTTATTCGGCAACATTCATTAATATTCACTAACAGACCCTTGTGTAAAATCCTTTCGGCAAATTAAATGATTAACTTTAGCTTTGTATTTAAACAAAACTGGGCAAAACTTACAGTATCTGTAATCTTTAGGGTCCAGGTACCAGCTGGATCTTCTCCCCATGTGTGGACAGACATGAAGGCCCAGTTTCTGAAACCGTTAGATGATGTGTCTCTCTCTCGCTCTGCCAGAAGCACAGTAGTGGTGCCTGCAGAAACACCAAAGGAATAGACCACTTGATAACTTTGGTCTTATGCTTACATGTCACATGCTTACATGTATATGAGTGTGTATCTCTAACCGGCTGGGGAGGTGAGGGTGATGTGCAGGTCCCCTCTCCTAGTGTACTCAATGCTGGCCTCTACTTGCACATGCTCCAATGAGCGAACAGCATTTTCCTGCCCTGCACACGCTTTGGTTGGAATCTCTATAGTGATCTCCCCAGCTGCTTTGAGTTCCCTGTGGGATAAATGAAAATAGCAGTAAACATGACACAAACAACTTCTGAAGGAAACAGAACACTGCCAAATGGGACTTCATATAGAGTGCTTTGTTATTATAACTGCAATTAACAAGAGCACCGAGGCAGTAAAGATGTTTTACTGTCTAACTTATTTACACATTACATTACGGTGTGTAGTATCCCCCCCATTTGGTCATTCATTTGTAAAGAAGCTAATCCTCGATTCTCCCAGACATGAATGAGAGGATTTCCATATTCAAGTGGGTATACAGCTGGAGAGGATTGAAGACCACTAAGCACTGAAAAGTACTGAGCCATTTTTTTGGAATTGAAAAGGGTTGTTTATAATGAACAGAAGTAAGAAGTAAGAGAAACTGGGTGTTGGTCCTATTGAGGTACATAATCCAAAGTAAACAGCAGAACAAGCGCTTAAACTAATGCTTCCTCAGGTCTTTTGCTTTTTGGCTGCTTTTGGGTTCTGGTGTTTAAATCCTATGTTTAACAGTTTGAAAGATAAGCTTTGTTGGTCCTGAAATATCAAGACAAAAGAAAGTGAAAACAGTCCTTGCTTTAGATGCAATTTGTACTCACTGGTTTGTCATTGATCAGTCAGCAGAAACTTCCAGTGCAAAGAAGACATTTTCTAGAGAAGGGTAAAAATCAGGAAATCTTCACATACCTTGGCTGAAATGAGTCATCTCTGACAATACACAGTTTTTTCTCTGGCACATGCTTCCAACTGGCTGGGTCAGCAAGGTCCACCAGGGCTTTGGCATTGAGAAGACCAAAGCCAAAACGGCTGTTGACCATCAGCCCTGCTCCGTTTCTCTTCCATCCTGGGTTATTGGCCAATGGGTCATACTCTGAGGTCCAGACCACAATGTGCTGCAGATCTCTCCAAGTAAGGTTAGGACTATGGTGACAAAGACATGGAGGCAGTGCAGCATGAATTTACTGAAACACTCAATGAGGAATGACATTTACAAGTGTCTGATTGAGAATTTCATACTTTTGCTCCAGTGCAAGGGCAAATATTCCAGCAGCCAGAGGGGCAGAAGCTGAGGTTCCAGTGTGGGTCTGAGTGCACTGGTTGTGCAGATCAGCACTTGTCTGAAAGCAAGCAAGCAAAGACACCAATTGAACAAAACCATCAGGATGTGATGTGAAGTTTAAATAGCACGATACAATCAAACCTAAAACAAGCGTATCTACTTACAATCCTCTGATCAGTGTAGTCTCCACTGCTGTACGCAGTAGCCAAAGTGGAGGAGCACTTCTCAGCATACCAAGGGGAGAGGCCCTGCTGGGAAGCACTGCTGATTGAGATTGTGTAGATGCTGTCTGTGTAGCCATCGCAGTCACAGTTATCACCCTGTCGGCCTCCATTTCCTGATGCCCAAACAAAGATAGAACCTTTCCCACCCCGGCCCTGCAGAAGGAAATACAATGTGCGTTTACAAATCAGTGTGCGTTTGTTGTAACAGCTATTGTCTCGCTGAATGCACAAACATGTCTCATTACAAGCATTGGATAATACAGACTAAAAATGGTTTGGGATAAGTACAGCTGATTCAGCTGATAAAGAACCAACATTAAAGTACTGTTATGATATAACACAGACACATTTTGACAGGTCAGGGCTCATTGAAAACTACAATTGCTGACGACAGTCTATCTATTAGAAGCTTCATTCTGAGCAGCTAACCACATTATCTGTATTGATCCTGCTCTATCTAATTCTTGTCACTTCAGCAGATAGTTGCTTCCATCAAGAGATCACACCAACAGAAATTAAGTGAAAGCTTTCTGTTTTCAAATGTACCTTCTGAATACCGTATTCAAAAGCTTTCTGGGCGAGACGGCCAGGACCCTCCACTGTCTTGCCATCATCATTTGGTCCCCAACTGGCACTGTAGATATCCACATGGTTTGGATTGAATCCAATGGAGCTCGCCTCAATGGCATCAGTCACAACCCCATCCAGCATACGAATCCCTGGAAAGTTACAGGAAAATGTGAAGATGTCACAGTGTTACTTTTTAACCAAACCTCATCATAAAAAAATGATAATAATTTAAACGAAGGGTAAAACAGAACAAGAAACAAGATTTGACATAAAGATATTAACACAAGTAAGATATTATTAGATTACTAAAACAATTTATTTAAAAAATGAGATTAAACAAAAGCCAAAATGGTAAAAGCATTCAAATATATCAAATCAAATGCAATTTATTTTTTTTACAGAATATTGAGGTGTTCTGTGAACTGTAAATGGGGAACTATGTTTTTTTCATCCATTGTTACCCTACATACATAAAAAAAAAGGTCAGTCTGTTCTTTTTCTACCAGTGTTTAGTTCAAAACAGGATGGAAAGGTACACATGCAAGCGTGCGTGCCAGATATTGACGAAAGAAAAACAGTCTTTCTAATCCGATTAAAAAGATAAAACAGACAAAAGAAAACCCCTCAAACAATTCATCAGGTAACACAAATATTCTCTAGGGTAAAACACACAACTCTTTCATGCGATGCAACGTGACTGAATTTGCAACCAACAGTAGATACAGAACAAAGTGTGCGACAGTCTGAGGTGAAAACTGTTGGTTAAAGATTCTACTGAGAGTGATAAGGCAAATGGGTACCACTAGTGAATGGGGGAATGGGATTTCTGGTTGATATAATAAGAACAAATCTGACTTGACCAGAAACTAAAATGTACTAAAACATTGTGACAAATCATGTAAATGTTGTATAATAAGATACATGGATAATTAAGACAGAACTCAAGGGAGCTCTTACCTCCAACCTTTGATTTGTATGCCACCCCAACTCCACATTTATTGTTGTCTGCCAGCATAGCAATCTCCCCTGCACACCTCGTCCCGTGCCTAAAAAGAGATGGTGTGATCATTTGATCTGACTGCTTGCGCTCATTTAACAATGAAAAAAAAACATTCAGATGTATTTTTTTGTATGAATAATATGTCTGCATAGTTTAAGCTTGTCACAGCATTAAGACAAAACTGAACAAAGACTGAACTAAAAGCTGAAATTATTCATTTTGGAGAATTTAAACTCAGGGAACTTATGTGTGAATTGGTGTAGCAGCTTTGATGCTGCCAACTTAAAATCTTCAGGACTAAGATGAAAAATCAAGGCTCAGTAACTCAACTGTTAAAACTCCCGGGGAGTTTCAAATGAATGCAGTTACTTACTTGTTTTCATTGGTGGAGTCATATCTGGGAAAAGGGTCTGGGTCGTTGTCGTTGAAATCATAGCTGGCTGCTGCATCCTTTAGGAAACACAAAGAAAACTTGTTTAGTCCCTTTAAAAGATGGGATTTCGTTAGAGGACGTTGACATCAAAATGATAGAGAATGGTCATGTCACAAAAATGAAATGACTGGTGATGAGGGGGTACTTGTCAGCAGCTGTCATTTGAATCACTGAGAATGAAAGTGCATTTTTTGCCAGGGGATAAAATATATATAAATGTTTTTTATCATTACATCCTATTCAAGTAATACTTGATCTCTGTTTTTTTTTTATCATGATATAATCTACAGATACCACTACAATTATATTGAAAATGAAAATAGAGCCTTTTTTAAACCATCTCCACAGTCTCCATCTCACTCCAAACGGATTTTGGAAAACTAAATCGACCTAAAGGTTTTGGACTATGGGACATAGAAGCCGCACAAACATGGGGAGAGCACGCAACCTCAACACAGAAATTCCCTGATTTGCAAGGGATTTGAATCAGGAATATTCTTACTGTGAGGCAACAGTGCTGACCCCCCACACCAGTGTGAAGCCCTTCCTGTCAATCTTGACAGATTTAATAATGAAATCAAAAGCTTGGGAATTTGATTTCAGTGCTTTTTTATGCTACTATATTCTCAATAGGAGAAACTATGCCAGCATGAAAACCTAGGAAACTCCCATCCAGTCATCTCCTTTAAAGCTTTAAGAACATTGTTGGAGGAAGGATAGATATCCAAATTCTGCATCCCCACATGCAAAGGGTGGAGCCATTCACACGAAAAAGTATCTTTTTCATCTTGTAATTGGAGACCTAGAGGCCCCACAGAGATTGGGGAAATCACATGCCAGATTTATAACTGGCTTTCTAAATCATCTTGGAAGGTGTCACCAGCCGCGTTGCTACGGCAACGGCAGCCCCAGACGATGGAGGCTGTCTCCATGGAAACGGTGTCTTACGTAGTTGGAGTAGATGTCTGTGTGGTTCCACTCCAGCCCGTCATCGAGGACGGTGATGACCACTCCTTTTCCTGTGATGCCTTTCTGCCACACAGGGATCACATGCAGGTCCAGCTTGGGCAACGAGGAAGAAGTCCGCGTGTCTTGCTGTAGGACAAGGCACAAATTAATATGACTGAAAATCTGTAATTATCGTTAACCACTTCATCTAAACAGGCTGATGAAGTGTAACCATATAGAACCTTGAATGAAGTACCGCCCTCCTCATGCTCTGAATCTGCCAGTGACCTTTATGGGAATTAATTGTCAGCGTTTGCTTTGTTGTGGCTTTTGTTCACTCCCACTCTACGGCCACTTGCGGGCAGATTGCTACTTGAAGGTCATAATAATTCAAGTGTTGGTGTTATCTAGTGTAACAACTCCACTGATGGGCTTAACCTTCAACATTCCTTGCAGAATTCAGATTTGCACAGAGGTTCCACCTCAGCTTTTCAGACTCAACATGCATTAAAATCCCACCAAGCCGCTTTATTCATAAAACCGTGTCTGAGGCTGTCTGGTGTTATGCCGTACAGGGTGCAGCAAGCCTGTTTTAATAGCTGGGATTAAATAAGAATAAACAGGGCCTGATGCTTTCTTGCTGCCTGCTTTTGGAGAGTGTGAAGCAGCACTGGAGACAACTAAGACTAAAAAAAGAACTCTGCTCTTTCACTCTCAGTGCTTTATGCACAGACACTGCAGAACGCCACTCAAAGATGTGACTCATCCCTGTGATGTATTGGCCTTCACTTAGAGTCCCTGTTTTTACCCAGTCCTCTCTCTCTCTCTCTCTCTCCCCCCCAGCCAGTTCTTACTGATCACAAACATCATCCAACTGCTGTTCTCCTGTTGTTATGGAACACCAAAACTCACTTGTTGGTGCAGCTAAGGGAACTCTAAATTGTCAATATTGCCTATGAACGTCTCAGCTCTGACTTCATGTTAGCTGAGGGGAAGCTATTACAAGAGGAGAGACCCCGCAATGCACAATCAGCACAGGCTCCCATACACACACAAAGAGACGTGAAGGCAGCAGGAATTTCAGACTAGAAGGGATGACTCATTCCTAAATCAAATTCATGCAGTCACCCACTTGTAGTAGATAAATATCACACTCTTGGCCCCACCTCTGCTGTCATTACTGCCCCCCTGCCTCATTCATGAAACTCCACCCTAAGTCCAACATTTGTGCCGACCAAGCCTGTAGACGTCACTGCCTTGTAATCTGTGGCATCTCTTAGCGTTACCTACATAGCACAGTCTCTGAACATCTGTGATATCTACTTTAATCCTTTCCCCTCATTATCATATGTGCCCTCATTTACTAATGCAAGAGGTAAAAATGTCAGCATGACCGTGGTGGCAGATGTGAAAGGGTGACACTTGAGACTCGACATTTTTGCCCTCCCTGAATGGAGAAGGACTCTCAATTACATCGCGTCCGATGATGTCTAACTCTCCCTCCTCTGGTGACACAGACAAGGGCTGATGTGGAAATGCAGTAAGCGGCACTTTAAGGCCAATTCCATTAGTGTCATCATCCCTCATCGGCAAAGATGATTCATCTCAATTTGTTTTCTCATTCCCCACAAGCATGACTCATCTTCGGTTAATGCAGGTGCAAAAACCTGGAGGCTGAGAGAACAAATATCTCTCTCGCACACATGCTGATGTGACACGCATGCATACAGCCTTCCCATTTTTCCCTCAAAGCAGTCTTACCTGGTAAACCCTTTAATCCAAAGGCTGTAATATGAACTAGGCAATAGCAGAGATCTCATCTGTTTCCTGCAGCTACACAGCTGCTGGTAAACGCGCTGTGATCTCTGCCGTTTGCTAAATTATAACTAAAAGCCTTTGCTGATTGTCGTGCACCCTTTTCTTTCCTCAGCTTTTGCCGATTTAGATGATTAACGATAATTACATGTGTGCCCAATGATTACATAATGCATGGGGAGTTTTCTTTATTCGAAAAAAAGCGGTGCATTCGGGCATGACAGATTCAAATTCAAATCAGTTTGAAAACTGTGTGCTCCACTTTATATCAGTCTAAAGTGTATGCGTTATAGCACTGGATCAGGAATAGGATGCAAAACTGTGACAATGATGTGTGCTTCCTTTTTTGCCTCAGCGTGCTGAAATATCAGATTCTGCATAAAATGGGACTTAATGCATGCTCTACTCTGCTCCATCCGGTTGGATTATAGTCTCTCCACCCCTCTCATCTCCACAAGGGACTGTGTTGCCAATTAAGCAAATGGCTCTTTTTGGCCTGAATGGCTTGATAGCACTGCATTGTTTCATCTGCTTTACAAAGCACGTTTCCCTTCTCAGTACATGTGTTTTCTGTTTGCCATTTGACTTTAATACTGTAAGTATGTCCCCGGGAGAGATGGAAAGGCAAACAGGAGGCAAAAGCAGGTCCAGGGTAAACAACATTTGACCTACAGGGTTATCATTAGCATTTTCTAGTTTAAGGAATTGAGTAAATAGACTTTAGAATATTTTCTTTGAGGTAGGCTATTTGGTGAAAGTCTTAACTTCGCAGCAAACATTCAAGCTTTCTTGAAGACTCACCAGATACCACTGCTGGTTCCACATAGGATCATCAAACAGCTTGTCCACAGTGCAATCTCCACACTCTCTGAGGGCTGCTCGCTTGCTGCGTCGCTTTTCATATTGCTGCTCTGCCCACAGCACCTGAAAAGACCATTGAAAAATTCTGATTCCAGCAGTCCTCTTAAAGATGAGACAAGGTACCTTAGCACAGATCAGAGGATATTCTCCTGAGAAAATTGAATACTTAAAAACACACAACCTACCCGATCATCCTCCGACAGCTGCCTGGTGATGTGATGGGCACTGCGCTTCATTCTGCGAGGATGATTGCGGTGTCGGAACAAGAAGTGGTCTTCCAGGGCCCCAATCTGCAGGGAAACAATCAAGATGTCAGACAGGCTGAATGTTATCCGGGAAATGACTAATCCGGTCATCTGTTGACTGAGGATTGTCACACAAATGAATTTTTAGCTTTTAATTTAACATAGTTCGTGGTATCATACCATTGACAAGAGATCTTCTCATCAGTACACATATAGTATTCACAGATCTTTTATTTTAAAGCAGAGAAATCATACTGGGCCTACTGGCGCAAGCGCCATAGTGGTATTAAAGCCTCCAAGAACCAGATTGATATATACAAATAAATGCATTTGTTTTTGTGTCTGCTGCCATGTCAAAGTGCTGTGGGAAACGACTGCATATTGCGATCCATCTGGAAAATGAATTTGTCCAATGGCTATTTTGTGGCACTTTTGTTGTAAGAATTTTTTAATTGGCTTTGGAATTCCTTTGTTTGTTTAGGCAGAAGTCTGCATTTGTCAAGCTATATTACAGGAAATACAGGGTGGTAAAACACTGGCTAATTCCAGTCAGGGCTTATCAGAAGTGTAAACAGTGAGTCATAGCTTATTTATGTCCTTGCCCTTTATTAATTTTTTGATGCTGAAAACGAAGGTGAAAATGGTTGACGAGTTTGTTTTAAAAAAAAGGGCATTTCAAGCAAAGACTGTACTGGTTACAACACAACCTACATGAAGCTACCATGTCTTGTGATTAAAATTTCATGATACATTTTGCGTAACCACTGTTTCTTAGATTGCTTTCAAAGCAGATGTTTGAAATAAAATTAAAAAATCGTGACCACGGATTACCTCGTTTGTCTTCCAGCTATGCATATCTGGAAAAGAAATCAGTTGGTGCAGACTTGCACACGAATTTGGATTCAATTTCAGCCTTTTGTCTCTAGCGGCGCTTTGCTTCTGGGCGTTGGTGCCATACCTGTCTGACCAGCTCGTAGTCCAGCTCCAGGGCGATCGCCTTCGCCGCCAGCAGCCCAGCAGGGATCTCCACTGCCCACTCGTTCAGGTACTGCCTGTCCCCGTAGGGAGAGCCCAGCGTACGGGGAAGCACGGAGAAGAGGACGGCGAACGCACAGCACATCACCGCTGGACGACATGCCACTTCCATGTCAGAGGTAATTCAGCCAGATGAGAAAAAAATAGATATTTACAGATAGTCTCGCTAAAAGCAGCCCAAACCCCCCGAGATACAGCTGCCGTGTGGCGATGATAAAGAAGTCTCCGTTATGTTAAGATTATTCCAAAGACTCCTCTGGCTGCGATGGAGGGAGAGTGCGCCTTATCGGTTCGTCTACGAGAGGAAATACTGTTGATAGGTAGGGCTGGTGTGTTGTTTGTGGTCGCGGGGGGTGTTCACACGTCAGACTAGTGGTGCTCTGACGTCAGTCCATCGTGTACCTTTGGTTAGATAGAGTTCCATCCCCGAGGAGAAAGTCTGAACGGGAGGAGGTGGGGGTGATCTCACTAAAAATATCTTGCTGTTTATCCCTAAAGGAGGAGAACACAACAATCAAATGCATCTTTTGTGATCCCATATGATTACTTACAATACATTCCCGATGCGGCCATCACTGTGAGGAGGAGGTTGTGCATCATCTCTCTCACATTTCCTTCAAATTATATAATGAGTTGAATCTGCAAAGCATCCTCCGTCCTCAGGCTGTGGCCGCGTCATCAGACGTTTCAGCACCCGGGACAGCTCCTCGCTCACGCCATTCAATCACATCAACACTTCGAGACCACACTGACCCAAGCACACGGGAGAGAGGAACAGCTGGCTGCTGGCAATACCGTCATAATATCAAGAAGAAAGCAACAGATTCACTGTAGCTGATGGTTTAAGAATAGAATTCAAGCTCTGTGGAGAATGGCTCATAACAGAGGTGCACTGTTATAAAGGTCCAAGTGGAATTTAGATAGTGCTATGCAGCTTTGGAATGTTATTGATATGGAGGTGGACCAAGTTAATAACTCTAAGTGTGTTAAACATATTAGTTTGAAATAGTGTAGTATTCAATTACATGTATCCATATCTTATTTGTTCCCATTTACGTAACTGTTCGGATCATCGCTGTATTTGATCAACATGTCAGCTGACAAATGCTCCTCTGGCAACTGTCTTAAGAGTGTTTACTTTGAACTGAGTTTACATAAATGCTCCTTTTGGTTATTGTTGTAGTTGGTATGAATGTTCGTGACAGTAAAGACCAATGACTCATGCAAAGCATATACACATGCCAAAAAAGACAAAAGTCAAACATATAGAAATGTTCTTTTTCTCCTTTCAGAAACAGCTTCAGAGTGTCCAGTCTGCTGCAGCGAGGCAGCTGTTGTAATAAGACTGAGAAGTGAGTATTCCCTTTCACGTCTGCCCTGAAGTATTTTAAGCAGCCTTTCCAGTAGACAATGAACACCACGTATTTCAAACAGTGACATTTGATACTTGTCCACAATTACTTAACCCAAAAGGGGTCAGTAGAATGACATTTATTTATCATGCATAAATGGACGTGGTGTAAAAGTCCCACTGTTTACTGACTAACTTTGGCTATTGAATAGGCAAGTACTTTAAACATTCATTTGTCTTTATGCATTATGGTAACTGATGGGAAAGAAAACAACGAATAATGATTCAACTGCAATCTAAACCTAAAAGTTCATTTCATAAATTGTGTTACTTCAAAGTATATATAGTCTTTGTGAAATGGTTGATTGTTATCCTCTCATCCCTTGTTAAACACAAATGAAGGTTTCTGATTGTGCAAATGCCAAACAGGCACTTATGTTATAAAAACATACAGAATGCACTGAAATCATCAGTCCTGTGGGTTGAAATCGGTTAATGTGGTCATGAAATAAACACTTTATCCATTGAACCATTAGTTTGAAAATGAACCCATTTCTTGTCATTATGTAACATTTTCTCATGCTGATTAAGTTTGATCTATAAATGCAAACAAACAAACAGAAAAGAAAGGGAAAACATAAAGAGGAATCACATACATACCTTTATCGTTCCATAGAATGGCACAGTATGTAGTATTAAAGGTTCAGATTCAGAGCTTGTTGTGAGCAGTCCTTCATTTGGGTGCAAAGAATTAATAAAACACAAGTAGAATGAATGCTACAATGAATTGATTTAAAAGATTCTCTATCCTGATAGCATACGACATGTCGGAAATTATGACTAAGCTTTTGTGATTTCAACTCAGCAAATGGATTGTAAATTTTTCCCGCACAGCAAAAATCAGCATGCTTCTAAGTGTATTTAATTACAACATGTCCCTCCTTTTGTTGTCCTATCAAACAATGACCACAGAAGCCTATCGATGGAAACTATGTGACCTGTCTCTGATGCTGGTCAGGCAATCTACCCATGGAAACTGTGTGTAAGTGATTTAATGTGTGAACAATGATTCAGAGATAGCTTTGCTGTCTGCGTGGGCAGATTTCTTCCTCTTGGATGCGGTAGAAACAGTTCAACTACAGGTCTTGGGAGAGAAACTGTATGAATTTAGGGGCAGAATACACAACAATGACAGCACTACTGTAGTAAAGGACCCTTCAGTTCTCATTCCGATGAGCTGTAGTTTTTTTTTTTTAGAGTGAGTTGTTAGTCATTAGCTCTGGTCATCTGGCCATGTGTAAACAGGTCTGCACCATATCTGCAGTATAATCCTTCATTACCTAGCAACAACTGTTTGCTCTGACCAGGCACTCAGTCAGGCGCACGCAGCCAAGAAGCCGCAGAAATATTAGTAAGCCGAGCGACTTATATCAGGAGATGCTGCTGTCTTTGCGGATCACTGGATCTTTGACCATGTTCCTCTATATCTTCTGTCTTTACCTCTAAAATGTCTGTTTGTTTGTTTGGTTGGACGGAGATCACTCATCCTGCCTTCCTTATTCCACTAAGAGAAGGCTCGCACCTATGCACATTGCACAAACATCCTTCCCATCAAATGAGCTCAGAAATCTGACTGTGTTTAGTCTGCTAATTCTTTTTCCAGTTGTATGGACACACGGCGTGCAAGGAAGCTTTTAGCTGGAGGGTGACGCAGATGCAGACGTGGAGGTTGGAAAGCTGCCTCAACACATGATAATTCAAGCAAAATCAATTGGGTGTAGCAAATAGCAAACTTCAACTGCACTTCCGGCTGGTTAATTGATGGTCAGAGCATTCTGCATTCACTTCATTCTTTTCACTGCTAAGAAAACAACAACTCTCACTACGCCATTGAGTGGGACAGATTCACTCCTGTGAATAAAGTCTGCTGCCCTCATCTCTGGTGCAACAACGCACCAATGAGAAATGATGGTTGCCATGTCAACCCACTCCTTTTTTCATTTATTACATGACTATGGCAAACCATTAAAGACATCATATCAGACAATTCACAAAATGGACAAAGAGGAAAAGTGAGCTAATTAGTTTTTCAAAAATACATTTGTGCTTAATTATTTTGGTTATTCACATCTTCAGGTTGTTGACTGAACTTATTTACACACAAAGCTACTGACTCTACTCTTGGGAATAGTCAAAAAGTCACAAATAAATATAGCTGAAAAAATATATAGAGAACTGAAAAGCTATTTCAAGAACTAATCTAAAAAAGTGAAATTAAATAATTTTTAAAAAACTTTCTTTACTCTTTCCAAAGCAATTTCAGTGACTCGGTCTTCTGCTTGTTTGAGGAGCTTTTGAGGCTCTGGATGAAGCTGCAGACTCGAAGCAGTGCATTGTTTATTGTTTGAAGAACTTGGTTGACATTTTAGCTGAAACAATATCAGAAAGAAAAGAAACAAAATCAGAAGTGGCTTTCAGTCATTCATGTCAGGAAAGTTCAAGCGGAATTGTATAAATGCCACCTGTTATCTGAGTGCTCTGGGGTAATGTCACTATGGTGTCAGCGAGATTAGCAACACTGTGCGGGTGATGGACTGAGGAAATGCTTAATTGATCTGAGGATTTTGTTGGGGTCTGCACTCTTATCAGGACGTCTGACAGTCCAGCATGAATAGGAAAAGCTGACATCAGAATGGTCATTTTGAGCAGATAAAGAAAATGAAAGGTCTTTGCCTTCACAGGAGGCAGATTAAACCAAACGCACCCCAGAGCTGGTTTATTTTCATATGTTCTGTTTATACCTTACCATTTCTCTAAATGTCATTCAATGAGGGAATACACTGCAGTACTGAAGCCATATGTTATATCTGGTTAATTATCTTTGCTTTTAAGTTCATCGTGTGCATGGTAAGTACAGAAACACTCACTGGCTATGGAAAGAAGAAAGAAATGTGAGTATTAAGTAAAATGTAGACTAAATTACTGAATCGCTGGCTGTATTATGCTGTAATATTTTATAGTAATTAAAATAAATAGATGAACGTGTAGAAATAAGCATTGTGTGACTTGAACTGATTAGTCAAAAAAGTCTGGCAACTTATCTAAGGGAAAATATTACAAAAATTATGACGATTATTATGATAATGATAATGATGATGATGGTTATTATTATTATCATTATTATTATTACCTAGCATGTATTTAAATCAGCTGTTTTATTGAGTCGGGCAGTTCATATCATTGACCAGAAGGGGGGGACATCGAGCTCTTATGTTGGAGATAAAGGGTGGAATTTATGAGTCAACTCTGCCATGAGTGGCCGGGATTTCCAGACAAAAATCCTAAAACAAAAGCATAGATTGATTATTCGTACATGTCCACATATCTTCAACTGTAAACCAGATTATAAACTAGATTATAGACCCACAACAGTATATGTTGAACCTGTTTTAGCGAGTTTCACCTCAGCATCCCGATATATTTGTACAAAGTACTAAAATAAACAATAAAAAAAACAATTAATCATATTGATTTCACATGAAATCAACATGTAACACAAAGTGTTGCCCAAGTTACACAGCTACATTTCATTTAGGATTTTTTTTCCTTCGTCTAATGGTGTTTCATCAATCTGTCAACGAAGACATTTCTCAGCGGGAGGGGCATCTCTGGTGCAACAACGCACCAAAACTAGGATATCCAAAAGTGAGCCGAGGACGCAAAGAGAACATTAAAAGTTTGACCAGTTGGGTATTAAAGATGCCACATAAGAGGAAAAGCCATGGCCATCACAAAGACGCAAAGGCGGTAAGGTTGCCTCTTCTTCTCTTCTTTGCGGCAGACGCACGGAGGAAATGAATAGCTATAATCTATCATGTACACTGAGACTTCTTTTTTTTCTTCATCTGATGTTGTAATAGTTGCTAATGACGAACAAGAAAGTTGTGTATGGGAGACTTTAGGAAACTTTGGGCGAATGGGACTGGATCTATAGGCTCATGCGCTGGACAGCCAAACCCCTTCGTTTAAATCTGCTGCAGAGAGTTCACTCGAGTTGAGCGGCTCTTGTTGAATATCAGCTCAGAATGTGTGTGTTTTTTAAGTAATGGCAGAAGAATTACACGGTGTGGTCTATCCTGAACACAAACTATTTGGCCAAACCCCCCCAGCAGCGCCTGTTCTTACTGGAAAACAATGCAAGCTGTGAAGTTCGTGCGTGTTTGCGTTTATCCGTGTCCATGGAGCACAAAGGGGTGGTGCTAAAAGATTATTGGATTGATTATGCGGGTTTGTGGGAAAAGAGTGAAAGATAAAGTAATTTCACTTAGTCAGACGAACAAGAATGTGCAGAGTGCTTGGTGACGAAATAGTCTGAGTCTGGCAGGGAGTGGCACACCTTTTGGGTTAGGGATGGGGGAGAACATCAGGCTGTAGGGACGGGAGAGAGTGGCTGGGCTAAGCCTACATTCGGTTCCTCATGGCTTATGCTGCGTACTGGAAGAGTCTTGTGAGTATTTTGTGCTTCTTCTTACCTCCTCCTGCCTCGCCTTTTAGACCCTGTGGCGACGCGTTAAATACATTTTTATGTGAAGCTTGGCACTCGTGTAGACGCTTGCTATGCGCCTTTATGGCAGAAAACCAGCATAACTTGTCTTTAACAGTCTTGTGCTTCAGCTTACTAAAAAAGTTGGCGCAGGCTCCACACAAGAAATAAAAAAAAAAGAATACTGTAAGGGCTTATCCTTCATTCTATCATTCCACACTGTTTATACAGGAGGGCGTGAGGCTGTTGAAGTTGAGACAGGCTGTGACACACTTGATCTTTGAGTTAGTCACAGACTGTCTTGTGTTGTGCTTGTTTCACCTATAACTGAATAGGCTCTTCGATCATATTGATTGTATTTTGAAATATAAAGGCAAATGTCAGTTTAATTGGTTATCTTGCTGTTAATTTGATTAGTGAGTAAAAACAATCCTAAAAAAATGGGAAAGAACAAAACAATGAATGACTCACCCAGACAATAGGATGATATAACTGCATCCTGTTCACTGGTTCCAATCAACTCCCTCAAAGCTTTGGACTTACAATAACAAGCTGGTCTATGTATGTTTGTATGTGTGTGTTTGTAGCAGGGAGGAGCCACTGCTCCCCCACTGGAAGTCCACACTAACAAATCTCCTGCAGGCTCCCGTTATGGACAGGTATTGCTATCACTTTTACTGTGTTTGCACCATATATAAAATGTGTACACACATATACAGCTCTCTCTCTCTCTCTCTCTCTCTCTCTGAATATATATTTTAGTTACAATATCTATCATTGCCTGGTTATGACAGAAATATCAGAAACTTCAGAAACTGTCTGTAGATGTTTTTTGGGGTAAGCGACTGCAAAGCTGCAGCACTCACAGGAAGGAAACACTCCATGTGTGTTTGTTTCCCTCTGCTGAGTACACTCATACTTAGTCTAAGCACTCAAAGATTGATACTTGAGTCTTCTACACTGGCTCAAGAGAGGATTGATCTTATTACTTTGTCAGATCCTCTCCTACAAACAGAGAAAATAATATTTTATAGAAAAATATTTATAGTTTTTTAAATAGTTTTAATCATCAATCTTCTTTTTATGTATCTTGACAGACTTTAGTGATTGAAGGTAGACAGTACAGAAGTTCTGCATACAGCTAATGTGGATTTGATGAGACATCCGGAGTTGTTATGGACTGAATTTCCCCCTTTAGTGGAGACAGCGATGACCTAAGCCTAGTTTGATTCTAAATATAAAGATTGACCCCAGCTTTGCCATGGAGTCCAATTACGTATTCTGCATATAGTCATGCACATACACTTCCACACACACATGTTGATAATTGCACATCTTTTTTGATCATTGTTCATTGTCATATTTTGACTTGAGAAAATTATTTAAGAAGTTGCAGCTTAAGATCTGATTTTCCCACAGTGCAACATCGAGTTTTACAGGCTCGACCAGTCAGCATTTTGTCCTGCTGAAGGTGTGGGCCATGCCTTGAGTTATGTGGAAAAGAGTTGGAGGTTTGCATCTGGGAACGCCTATGCTCGCTCATTTGAATGGGTTTATGTGAAAAGCAGAATGGGAAATATTTATAATTCATCTTTAGACTTTTATATTTGGAGCCACACATTGACGTATTTTATCAGATTGTCTTGTTTTTTCAAATTCCTGTTGGTTTGGGGTGGGATGGGGTGGGGTTGTTAGCAAAATGGATAAAAATGCATTACCCCACACTGAATCATAATAAAACACCTTATGCATTAGCGATAGTCAACAGGAAGATGAATAATGCGGTTAAAGGGAGTCAGTGAAAGTGGTAAGGGTTTTAAAATGTTGCAGCATGTATCCATATTGTGATGCTTTCACCTACATTTTTGGCACATTGGAGTAAGTCCAAGTAAGTTTGCTACTTTTATGATAAAATCCTATTGATTTCATGTGGATAAATTCAAAGTATACTTTGAAATCAAAGTTAGTAATTTTGATGTTTTGTGATCTGTCATAGTAATTTTGTTAATTTCTACAAAACAATTAAAGTATTGAAAAGTATTTGATTATTTATTGGAAGAAAGCCTGATGCCTCAGCTTTGACGCAAAGGCAGCCACACATTAGGTTGTGTGGTAAAGATGGTGGTTTTGGTGAGACGATGATAAGCTTCTTATAATATGAACTTGTGATCTTCTTTCATCTCAAATATGTTGTGCCTCTGCTTTGTTGCTGCAAAGCAAATTAATCCTCAAAGGGTTTTATACTTTTTCGGGGGCGGTGAACCTTGTCTTTTAGATGTAGTGATTCAGCCCATGAGCAGAACAAACTTGAGTTTCATATCAGGCTGGTTGCAACATGCTGATTAGAAATTCTTTCCAGCATGTGCTGAGGTATTCTTCTAAAACCCTAAAAACCAATTGATGACTTAGGTGTTTTTTCTCTCACAGTGACTTACTCAAAGGCCGTATTGTCTGTTCACTCCACCCATGAACTATCCAAAGGCTTTTGTATAGTTGTAACTGAAGTGGCTGAATGGGAAACTTAGATTGCACTTTGCACTTTGCATCATTTACTTTAAATGATATATAACGAAAGAGATAAAAGTAATTTACTTAATATGATTTTATTTTGTCATACTGCAAAGATATTATTATACTTAAAAAAAAAAACTAGGTGTGTATGTAAGTATATCAAATTAAAAATCAATTTTAAATTAAATATGTGGGACAGAGAAAAAAAGCTAATTGATAGGTGAAAGCCAACACCCAAGCCTTAAGCATCTGCAAATCTGTTAGTCATGTGTTCATAGAAACACTCCCTACATTCCTGTTTGTGAAAAACAATTTTGCTTGTGGAACACAGGGTGATCTGCTGCACCAAATCATACTGACACCCGAATAGACCCTTAGAGTGGCTTTCCTTTGACAAACCAGAACTTGATAAAAAAAAAAACGCTTTGTAATCCATATCTGTTCCTACTACAATTATAAAGTGGTTATATTACTGTAAGAGGGAATATGGTTCAGGGTTTCCTTGCTTGCATTTGTTTGCTCTGTGTTAATTCGGCAACCAGGGAAGTTGCACAAGCATGCATGAGAACATGAGCGTCCAGTTCTTGGCTGTGATTTAGAATGCTTTTGACCTCACCTCAGACCTTAGTGCGTTGTTGGTAACAGGCAGAAACGTCCACCCAGATGAAACTGGTGGTGTTTAAGTAGCTGCAAATATTGCTTTACACATCCACAGATGTTCCTATTTTTACACACGTGTGCATTGGTGTGTGTGTTTGTCGAGGGCGTATTTGTTTCCCTGGGAAGCGGCTCACTTGCGTCCCCTGATCAGGTGGCTGTCAGTTCACGTTCAGCTCACTTCTCTTTATAGCTCAGAGAGTTAGAGTCCAGCCTCCCTCTGACTTCCTCATCCGATCCGTCCTTGCTGTCCGACCACGCCTCCCATTCCTCCCTTTTTCCACGCTCCTCCCTGTCAGCCCTTCTGCCCTCCCTTTTTTTCCCCTCTTTCCCTCCCAGCTGGTATCATGCTCCAAGCTGACAGAAAGGCAGAGCCCCGACAGACGTACACACACACCGACATACTGTCGCAGACACATTGAGCCAACATGGGCCAGATACTGAGCTGGATCCGAGGCCCAAGGGACACTCCGGCCCTGCAGGATGTGGCCGTGGAGGAGCAGGTCTGTTCCGAGTGTGCTTATTTTTGTCTCCTCATGGCATGTTATGTGCTGAGTAACAACTCCAGAAGTACTCACGTGTATCTTGTTTCTTTAATGTTATTCGGCAAATACTAAAGTAAGTCGCTGCTTTATTAGTCCTCATAGCGCTGTTTGTACTGAATGTAACAAAGGACTTATAGGGGAAACACCAGTCAGACCTTGTTCACTCCCTCTCTACTCTCTCTCTTTTGGAATGTGTGAGGCTCCCGGTCAGTCTCTGAGAGTTCAGTGTATGCCTTTTCAGAGGGTGATGATAAACCAAGACAGGGACAAGGCCTACAGTGTTTGCTATGACTTGCTTTAGAAATCTAACAAGAAAAAATAGGCAAAATCCTTTCAGAAAAGGTTACTTGAGGTCTGTTACTGTGTGTTTTTGTGCTCAGACTGTGTGTTTGTAGAAAAAGAACATTTGGTTCTATTTAGGATTTTACATAAAGAGTTAGGTGTTTCTCCCCCACCCCAAATAGCAATCCCCTGTGATAATCTGCAAGAGCAGATGAAGAAATCTGACAGGGTGTGTGACTGGAATGAGCTTAATGGTTCAACTTAAAATTGCGTGTTTTTCATGTCATGTCCTGGAGCAACGATCCGTTGCATTTTTAGATGTCAGGCCGGGAATGCCATTGCTACACGCCGAACTGGCTCTCTTGATGTCACTCCTTCCTTATCAGGGGTGTGCTCGTTTGTTCTGAGTCACTATATGTGTTAAAGGTTGAAGATAAATGTGTCTCTGGAGGAGATCTGCTCACAGAATGCATTGAGGGCACTGGTGGGCGGAATTAGGTTGAGTATTGCTGTTAAACTTTCCCAGCTCTGGACTGCAGCAGTCTGTTTTCTTTCCACTTATCTTGCATGGCTATAATTCCTCTGAAGTCACATGTCGCTGCTCAACACATGCCTAAATACGATAGGAAATATACTTGAAAAGCAAAATGACTTGGCATTAAATCAGATCCTGAAAAAGTTGCAAAAGTCACTTATGATATTGACACTTTTACTGTTTCAATGCAGTGTTAGAATTTAAGTCAGGTAAAATTCAGGGCATAAAGGAATTAAACAAAAAAGGTTAACTTTGGAATTGGAAGTAATTTCTAGCAAAATTGAATTGTTTGCTTAACCTTTAGGGTCAACATCCTGCTGCTTTGGTTTGTGGTCAGACTTCTCCTGGACCAATTTCACCCAAAAAACTGCTTTCTGCAGTAGCTCATCCAGTAATTCAACATAGTGAAGACATAATCCCCTTTTTAAAGAGTGGTTTGTGGCCGATAACAGATAGCTAAAAAAAACACATTGAAAGGTGGTTTGCTATCAGCATTGGTCAAGGCTATGTTTACTAACATGCAGTCATCTTCTAAATGCTATCCCCACTTGTCGATAAATGGATTTGTGGGACATTGTTATCAGTAAGAAGTTTTGTTCATCATTCATTGTAATGCAAATTAGACCCTCTGTTTGAGACAGCACTCAATAGTACTAACGGAAGTCTATAACATCACAGGGAAACTTAAAGCTTACACTATATACAGTAACAAATCACAGAATTTATCAAGAAAGACATCTCAACATTTTAAGCAAGCAACACGTTTAAATGAGGTCTTCAAAGAGTCATACTGGGCTATGGAACTAAATTCTTTCTCTAGAATGAGATGCTACTGACATATTTACCTGAATGTTAGTCTAATGAAAGACATGTTGACTTCCTCTGTGGCAGGAAATTGCGAGTTGAATTTCTTTCTCTTGTGTTCTGACATAGTATCTGCAGCCTTACTTTGTTGGCAGCCAGAGCCAGTCATGTGAAGCACACTGACATCATGTCATGTGCCGTCTGGGTACACAGGTTCAAGTGTCATAAATAATCTTACCCTCTTTGAATCTACCAAGAGCCGATATTCCTGAATTAGGAGTAAAGCAATAGTAAAAGGAATAAGCAATCGAATAGACAGTGGAAATGTTGGTAAAATAAAAATGAAAATGCTTTGTGTGAAAAAGCGTTATTGATGAGTTGTTTTACCATGCAGAGCGCTGCACTACATCCTCAGGCTGTGTGTGTGTGTTGGCCTGATAGAAGAAAGGAACATTGTCCACATGTTGCCATAAATACCCCAATGACACGTGTCCTGCCCGGGTCAGTGTTGCCCTTTTGTCCTCTCTAAATGCATATTAAAAAAGAGGTTTATCCCATCATTGTTGGTTTTTTGACATTTCAGGTCACAGGTTGACAATTACGCTTTCAGATTTAGCTTGTTGCGTGGATTTAGCTTGTTTCGACCCAGATGTTCTCCGTTTGGTAAAGCTTCCAGGCCGTTGGGCATTGCTGAGAAAATTCTTCAGCAAGGTGTTGAAGTTCAGTGTCAAGCTCTGTTTGTTCATGCCCTCCTCTGTCTGTTTACATCTGCCATGCGTGAGAAACATCTTACGCTTGTGGCCACATTATATTTGTTCCTAAGGGCAAGTATGAGTAATGATGACCCAATGGCCTCATACCCACTAGGGACTGTAACGTGATGCAAATAAATGATCACTGTTGTTTCCTTTAGAAATGCTGACTAATCCCCGCTACTGTTTGATATCACCGTAAAGCTGGTGGTGCATTCTTTAATGTGGCTCATGAATCTAGTCTGGTCTGCAAAAAGCCCGAGCTAACATAGGCTTACAGATCATGCTGTTGGCAAGTTGCAAGCACAGTTATTTTGCCGACAGCTAAATATCTGTGCTTTTGAATAAAACATGGGCCAACAAACCAGTGTAAAACATGGTTCGCTAAATTTAGAGAGCAAAGGAGATCTACTGCTGACTGTGAGTGTGGGGGGGCTGTCAGGCACATGACAGAACCAGAGAAGCACGGTTACACAGCGTCACCTTTTCTGTGTACTCGTGTACCAGTAAACAACGGGTTAAAAACTGTGGTGCAGTTGGACCACGTTTGTTTCTTCGGAGGACCTCGACTTATTTAGGAGTGTGAGAACGTTGCTTGAAACGTTCTATTGCATTTAACTTTAGCAGTCAGAAAGTCAGGATTTTATTAGAGAAAATATTTGAATAACAGCAACTTTACTGGAAAATGCAACGTTGTTAATATATGCTGGTGCTTTTCCGTAGAAAAATCTGTAAAAAGATATAATTTTGACTGAGGCATATTCGTGTATCATTGAGCATACACACGCAGGCTCACAGACTTTATGATGCTGGTCTATATAAATATACCAAAAAAACAGGTGCACTTGTGATTTTGCAAGTTTTAAGTTCAACAAGTGGTTAAACAGACCAAACCTGTTAGGTCATTCTCAGTGCAGAGTTCAGGCTGATAGTGAAAGGGGCAAACAGACAGTTCAGGATGGTGTAGATCAGAGGTGTCCAAACGACTGAACCCTTTTGATTTCACACACTCTGTGGTCTAGATTTCTGTGGTCTTATGACACGCAAGCTGTCCTACCTGCCATCTGACAAGTGGAATGGTATTCCCTGAACTGGTCACCAGTTCATCACATGGTGAGCACATAGACAAACAAGACGAGCAGCCATGTGCTTGATTTACACAGTCAGTTACAAACCATCTGGTTGCATGTTTTAGGACTGTGGAGGAAGTCAGAGTTCCTGGGAAAAGAATGCCCTTGTCCAAGCAGAACAGGCTAGCTGGCAAATTAGGCAACTACATTGCTGATTTGAAGGCATGTTGTTAGGAAACTGATAATAGCCCTGTAAACCCTCAGTGCTTAGATACTATCTTTACTTTTTGGTGATTCTGAGTTTTTTATTGTGAGAGGAAATACCAAAGTTCCTTTATTTGGGGCGTTATCTAGCTCAGCTATTTTAGAGAGAGAGTTGTTTTTCTATTTTGTTCTCCGCATGTTTCTGTTTGCCTTCCTTACACTATCTGAGAAACTACAAACTTAACAAAGTGATTGTTTACTATATCACAGATTGTCTAAGAGAGATGGCCGGTGTTCCTGAAGGGTAATTCTCCTTGTTGCTTTTCTCCTCTCTAAAGTTGTCTCTTACAATGAATTCTTCAACTTAATTACAACCACTGAACACCTTAAAGAACCCCTATAATTTAGAATTGCTAATAGATACGATTGGTAGATTGCGTTTATTCTTACACTTTAAATTTGTCTCTCTGCCAGTTTTTCCTAAAAGTTACAATTGTTTCAGCTGTGATCTCCTGCCAGTGAGCATTAACAATATCTGAACTGAAGGACTGCGCACAGCTTGACAATTTGTGAGAAGACTGTCAGACATTACCACATTTTCAGAGTCTCTTTCTTTTCCAGCTTTATGGTTCTGACCTATTTGAGTGGGTGGGTCTGTTGCTGCTTAATGGTGGACAACAAAGATTAGTGTTACCAGGGTTTACACGTTAGGCATGTGGATCCAGAACAAGCATGTTTTCTTTTTAAAGACACGCTCGATTTCTCTCCCAGTCACACCTAAACCCTTAAAGACAGAGAAGCAGAGCTCAGGCACTTTTGTTCTTTGAGGACCTCAACAAGGCCACAGCCATTGGGAGAGATTTATTTTAAAGGAAGTCTAAAAAAAGACACAAATATTTATGTCTTGGATGTTGCTCAACAGTGTGAGAACATAAAAGTCTGCATGCTTATCCTTTTGAAAACACATTTAGAAAATGGGGTCAGAAGAGATCAGGAATTGGGCAAAAGAATGCTAAGTCAGATAACCATAACTCACTTGAGCTAAATTTGTTATTGTTGCAGGTGATAATGCCTGGTCTAAAGAATCCCTTTGCTTTAGTTGATGTTTAAGCAAGTAAAATACACATACATTTACTGAAATAACATATTAAATTTAGGCTAGACTCATGCAGAGGGAGAAAGTTGGTCTGTGTCCTTCAAGTAGATCTTAGCTCTCAGTAGATCTTACATCAGGTCCACGGAGACTACACAAACATTTGTCAGCCTTGTCTTTGTTCAGCCAAAAGCAACAGGCTTATACATGAGCTGACGGACATTGTAAGCACATACATGATCAACATGAGTGCAGCCACCTTTTATTTTCCTCTATGTGCCATGAGAGCTTTCAGACAGGAGGGGGAGCTGCTCCTAAAGCCCTGCCCTCATTCACAGGGTTGACACGTTTTGTTCGGTGGCATCTTTTTCCTGTAAAGATGGTGAATTCTTTTAATTTCTAAAGCTGATACTGGACTATTAACTAGGCTGCTTATATGTGTAAACAGTATGAATAGGTTTAGGCCGTTGAGGTTCTTTAAAACTCTGACATAATCATTGGCTGCTGTCCAAAAGCTGCTTCCTGTCTCCACCTTTGATCAGAATCTGCTTTGAAGACCAGAGAAATGAACCCTGAAAATGGACTGCACACCCGTGTTTTGTTTTCTTTCTCATATACACTTTTCTCTGTCTTAAATGTCAAGTTTTTGAATTTCTCTGCTTTGGGTGTGGTTTGAACGCCACATGTGATATTGTCCCCCTCCCTCTTCCACCCCCCCAAACACACGCATCCACTCAGTCTTTGTTGTTCAAGTGGCTCTGCAGATTCCTGAGGAGTGAGTCAATCTGGCACACCCTGTCTCTCTTCCACATAAGACTGCGCCAGGTAACATGCGTGGGTCTGATCCCTGTTTCAGCTTTCAGCTCTTCGTCCACCTGAACTCTTTCCTGCCTTATTCCGACTGTCACGTCATTTCAAACCGAAACACCCCTCCTCACTGAGTGCTCCCTGGCCCAGCCCAAAGTCTGCCTCAAGCCGGCCTGTTTAGTTTCCCCTACAGTCAGCCAGCAGTGGGTGGGCCACGGATGTCCAATGTGACTGAGCATGCCCTGCTGCTTTTGCATGGAGAGGCGGAGTCTCAGCTGACTTAAGAGGGTGGAGCGGCAGGTTTTTTTGACTACTGGGTGTGTGTGCTGTATGTTTTTTGTATATGTATGTATGTGTATTGGTGTGCATGTGTTTTTGCTTGCCGTCCTTTCTGGACCTAAGTGTTTCCAACACGGGTGTCCCACCGTGAACCAGCCTTAGCAGAGCGTTTTGGCAGAACACACACTCAGTCAAACCTATGGTATGTATCTGTGTGGTTTCCCTCTCTTCTTGCGCTTTTGTAATTGCCCGTGCGGCAAACCTTCCTGTTAGAGTGATACCATCAGAGCTCTTTGATGGCTGTTTTTTTTTTCAGATCAAACCTCACATGACAACATTTAGCAGCTATCCTCCATGTTGTGGTGAACAAGTTTGCTCCCATGTGCATGTCAAGTTAAGAAAAGTTGGCAAAGGACTAAAGTCTAGGCCACAGGGTTAGTGTTGTTGTTTATGGACTTTGAGGGTAGATGTTGCTAAGGTAACAACTAAATAGGATACAAATAAAAAGTAACTGGTTGTGCACTGAATGATACTGCACTTGTGTTTCTAACTAACTGAATATGCCTTCAATACAATCCTAACACTAGACATACTTTATCTTGTCAGATGGAACTTGTGTAATGAAAGAAAAACTCCCTTTTTGCTTTGTGATCGTAGAGCAGTTTCTATTTGACGATGTGCCTAATATGTTGATATGTTGAAATATAAAAAAGTGAAAGATGTGAAAGAGGTACAGTTTATTTCTTTCATGTGACATTGAATTAACAGCAACACAACAGTGGATATAGTCTACACCAGGAGGTTTTACCAATGGCATCACTGCTGACTTCACCCAGCTGCCTGCCTGCTCATGAAATTTTCCTTGCAGCAGTCGTTTTTCTTTCAAATGCGGGCCTATATGGAAACTTTTCCAGTTCTCTACGAACAGGCATGAGTGCAGCTTTCCACTGTGTTGGGACGACCTACATCATCTCAGCAGATCATTTAAAAAAGTTGCCAGGGCTATTTTAAAACAGAATTAGCATCGAGCTAAACAGTCCTTTCCGGCCTGTTTGTGGTGTCGGGTGGGGCGCAGCATTAGTCATCAGTTTTTGTTACAGGGCCAAGCTTTATCACCGTTTTCTTCTAAGGCCTTTATACATATTGCATCGTCCTCTTAATTTTGAAAGACAAATATGGCAGTTTAAAATGGTTTTAAATGACACTATGCCACCCTGCTGGTCACGTGACATTCACGCCTGGTTCTTCCAGAATGACCACGATGTTGACAGAAGTGTCCTATTATTAACCGTGTTGTTCAGTGTTGTCCTCACCGGTAACTCACATATTCATATCACCAAAAGCTGAATGTCCGTGGGTGCTTGTATAGTGTGTTAGTGGATAAAACAAGATATTTTTTATTTTATTTTATTTTAGTGAAACGGTGAGCCTAAAAAATGATGACATGCCTTACTGGAGAGGTGAATTTCTAATTCAATTTTTGATGCCTTGCCCCAACATTGTATGGAATCTCAATATCACCTAAATAAAGGGCTTTCCTCATCTGGTCCCATATTTCGTCTATGGGCCATCGAATATGACATCACATCTCAGAAATGACTGCACTGACTGATAAGTGTTGTGTTTTTCAGATTAGAGCAGACTTGAGTGTTTCATTTTGCTCTGATCTCTGAATTCTACATGTTTTAAAATGGTCAACCGCTTGGTGGTGGCATTGTTTTGCTGACCAAACGTACAAACACGTACGATTATGGATTTATTGATGTTTGTTGTGCTAAAACTTGGAGGAAAAAAAATTAAATGTCAAAGTAATTCAAGGATGTTCTAAACTGAATTGATATACATATAGTTAATCATATAGGCTTTTACAAGATTTTAATTTGTGATCTGTTTAAAAAAAAAAGCAACAGCAGTCAACATTAACAAACTGCACAAAATTGTATTACTCAGATATTTGACAACAGTACCATAAGATTCAACCAATACAAACCAAACGCATGGCATTAAACGAAAGTCAATATAAAATGAATCTCACTTGAAGGTAATTTATGTAAAAACTGCTCTATGTGTGACTTATGGAGCAGTCTGTACTGTTGGCGTTTTGTTGTTGAGTATGAACAGTGGATCTGCGAGCTGCAGCTCTACAGAGGATGTGAGGAATGTAGGAATGCTGCAGTCTGGTGTCACAGCAGACAGAAAACTTTTGGGTGGGTCATAGGTGAGCCCAGATGGCTCAGTTAGCTGACATAATAACCCTCTGTTTTAAACTCAACTTTGAACCGAAATTCAGAGACAAGTTAGAGCAAGTGTTTTTCACTCGACCTGTTTTGTTTTGGCTTAAGTTGATGTTTCCGGTTCTATTTTTTTAACAGTCTTTTGGAATCCTCAACCTCAACATGATATGATCTATATCTTTCGGGTATTTTTCAGAGCAGCGTTTGCGTTCGATGCAACCTGAAATCCAAACTTCTTGTGGTATCCGGCTTATTCATCATATAGTTGAGAGACTCTTCAAGTTAAAAGTTTTATTAACACATACAGTAACTGATCATCTACAGATTGTGGTAGCATGTGTCATACTGGGCATGCTGATGTATCATCATCTCCATGGATGGGTCTCAATGAAAGAAGCAACTTGTTTGATCACTTGCTGCAGCAGAGGTTTATTTTAGTTATGAATTCAAGGGACAGACATGTTTTTTGTGTAGCGTACAATTATAAAGCTTTGTTTCAACAAGAATGTCCTCATTGGCCTAAGTGGCGATCCACGTTGATGTAATGTCAGTGCTCAGGTGTTTAGATTCATATCAATGCACTGTGAGAGGTCAGAGGGTAAGAGCTGCGTTTACTGAGGACTGTCAGTCTCATAGTTTGGCACTAATGTTGCTACATGTGGATTTATGCATTTTTCTTTTCTCAGTTCTGATTTTGGTAGCTTGGCAACCCTGGGTGTTTACTGTGGCCATAGAGGCAACCGAACTTCTCCTGTAGCCGGGGGATACCCAAGCTGCTGTGACCCCACTTCTTCCTGTATGAAACTTCCTCCTTGTTCTCTTTTTGCTCAACATTATGTTCACTATTCTAACTGAATCTTATTTCCAAAAGAGGAGAAAGCAATAATGACAGAAACATAGTATCAGTAATGGTTTACCAATGGATGACTTTTTAAAATACTGATGGTGCTTCTTCTTTACCTTGAATGAAATATCTCCCCAAAACTATAGAGAAAAATGGAAATGTTCTATCTTTTGAGTTGCCCTTTAGTTAAAACTATGATAAACATTTGTCCGTGACTCACTTTTGTGTGTAAGGTCATGAGCTCCTTTGTGTTGCATGTAACACCCGAATGCAAGGCGACCACTGAGTGTGCTGAGTAGTCATTTCTTAATCAGAGATTCAACAACGCAGATAGTTTCAGTGAAAGTTTTGGAATTTACTTAGTTCTCTTTTTGTCTCTCCTGCTCTTTGCTTAATCTCTGTCTGACTCCCTGTCACAGACACATATGGCCTGGCTTCTCGAGCCGTGCTGTTGGTTCAGTGTCAGCTGTAAAACGTGATGCTCAGCTGGCCTGACAGGTTAAATCAGTCAGAGGCTTAAATGTCCTTAGAGGTGTGTTAATGGTAATTGGTATATGTTCTTTTTCTTTTCAAGTGTGTGCGTGTCTGGAGTTGGTATCAAAGTATCTTTGATTGTCCAGGTGAACTCACTGTGGAAATTGTGCGGAAACTAGCTGAATATTGTTCACCAACAGGGTTAGCAAGGTTAGGTTTGACTAAACATTTCAACACCACAGCTGGGCTGGATGTGAAAAAACCAGCAGCAGGTCTGGTATCAGGGGTGGAGGCTCTCTGCTATTCACTCACAGCATCTGTAAAATGTGGGCTTGGCTCTGAACCATGCTCCACTCCACCTGGAGACTGTGGCATGCTCTCAAAATACACAAGTGCATTATTCTATTCATGTTTTACTCGCCCTTTTGTCACACTCCATTAGAAATACCCTTAACGGATATCAATCTAAAGCAATCTATAAAATCTAAAGCTATATCAAACACCACTGACTCGATTAGACTTCACCAGATAAGGAAAAAGCAGCACAGCTCAAATATTATATAAGGCACACAGCATGGCCACATTTAGGCCCTCAGGCCTGCAAAGTAAAGGGTCTCTCTCCCTCTCTTCTAAATTATATGTGTGAACTGAGTTTTATTTTTGCAGGGTTGCCTCACCTAGAAAGCATCTAACATTGCTGTTGCTGCTGGTAGTTGCCCAGGTGATCACAGATATCAACAATGCTGGCTCTTTTAGCACTTCGCTGTCAGCCAACAGTCACGCCATTCAGTTTGGAACATGGAGCTGAGCTCTCCCATCTCTGGCAGTGTGATGTCTATATTTGAGGTTTATTCTGGAGCACTGCGTTGTGCGCCGTTCGAAAAACCAGGCAGTGGTTTGCTTCATGTCAGCATATTTTTCTCTCACTAGATCGTCATGGAATGTGTCGTTTGCCCACAAGCGGTGTGCTGGTGAAATGGAGATGTTACTGTTTGTGGATCTTTATATAATTACCATGTGTTTTTCATGCGGACTGCATGTGAGTGACGTTTCTCTCTCTTTCTGTCGCTTCCTCCCTGCAGTCGCAGCCCAATCAGGCAACACCCAAACCGGCAGCTCAGGTCTCCACGGTGAAGCCTGCACAGTTTGAGGTATCAAACATTCCTTGTATAATGCAGTTTAACCTCTGGTTTTCCTCCACCTCTCTCCAAAGAAACTCATTTCTTAGCTTCCTATTTCTTACTCCCCCCCCCCCCCCCCCCCCCCATTATCCTCATTATCTAAGCTGTGTTCAGACTTCCTTTCCTGTTCCAGCCCTGTGTTGTGTTTAAAAGCTGCAACGTCTTTTGTTCGATTTTCGGGATAGGCTTTGGTGTGTTCTCAGAGACGCACTGAAAGCAACATTCCCCTTTTCCCTTCGTTCAAACTGCAGGAAACACCCAGTTTAAGGAATAAAAGCTTTGAAACAATGGCTTACTCTTTGATTACCAGTAATTATATTTGTACAACCTTTGTTGCTGGAAAACAAATGGCAGATATCAAATAACGTAATTTGTCCCAAACACACCTTTTTATGGTTTCATGAGTGAAAGGGCTGCCTCACAGCTCTGTGCTGTGATAGCTTGATTCCCTCAAAGGACTTTGTTTCATACACATGCAGTTTGGGTTTGAACAAAGTGTTTTAAATTGTCTATTATCAATCCGACCTAAAGATAAAGATATATTCACTTATTGTGACAACATTAGATATTTTTTACCTGGTTGTTTAAAGGCATAGCTTATCATTAAAAAAACTTCAGTTAAAAGTGAGTCTTGTCTGCTTTAAGACCTGTTCAGGAGCAGCAGGAAGCTTATTGGGGGAACAAATATACATTTATTAATCTTAAATAAATAAGAATAGGGACAGTAACAACACCTCCTGGGTTGTTATAAATGTTCAAAAACATTGGGGGGACATTTGCACTCCCTTGACAAGTTAACAAAATGTGGTTTTAACAAGCAATTGAGAATTCTCAAAGAAGTGTCTATACAAGACAAAATGCCACAGAAATATATACACGCAGGCATTCCCAGAGCTGTGAGATCACTGTTATTGATGGACAACCTCTCCGAACCTGATGCTTTGCAGAAAGCATCATCACAATCCACCATGGCTACAAAGCCTGGGGTGGTCCCCACATCAGCAGGCGGAGCCACAGCAGGAGGAGCTGCTACAGGTGGAACAGCAGTGAAGGGGCCGTCTAAAGCCAAAGCGGAGGTAGATGGACTTTGGCTGTCATGGAGAAAGTGGAGGGGGGCCTTTTGAATGTTGGGTGTAACACGAATCTCGGCCTCTTTCTTCCTGGTCTCAAAACTGGGCGTGTGTCCGTCACGAGGCAGCACACCTCTTCTTTACTTGCTCCATCCAAGTTTTTCATCCTGCAAAACAGCCTTTACCTGTCTGTGTGAGACACCTGTCTAACTCATCCATACACACATCTTGGTTTTTCGGGGTCCATCCCAGCCCGAGCAGTCGCTTTGTGACATTATTCTGCTCTCAAAAATTCACGCTTTGGATGAATGCTCATCACTCTGCTGTGCTAACTTCTGGAATAACTTTCATGATTTCCTTAAAACACACTCTCCTTGGGTGAAGACTGCTGACTTGGTGCTTTGTTCTACTTTTTGGCCTAAGCATGACATAGCACCAGAACCTCAACACTTATTGATCAATGGTTGGACCTGAGGGGTTGAGAGGAAAATGACTGCTTTCACTGGACTGACCTGGCCGGTGGTTTTTCTCACCTCTGTAACATGTGTGTGCTCTTCAGTTTTCCTGTGATTCATTCATCCTTGTTTTTGGAGTAACCATTTGGCTACATGTTTGTAGACTATACCCGCCTCCCAAGTTAAAGCCTCAGCTACAGTTCCCCCTCCTGCCTCTGGAGCAGCTGCCAGCACTGCTGTGAGCAAACCTAAAGAGCCAGAGAAGGTAGACTCTGAGCCTTCACTATGACTCTCTTGGTGTTTCTTTCAAGGCCGCTTTGCCTCGCTGTGTCTTTTCTTCATCTTCTGTCAGACGCTTTTATCAGTTTTTGTAACAAAAAAACCCCAAAACACTCAGGTTTCTGCTTTGGACCTGGCTTAAATGGTTATCATTTATGAAAACTCGGGTTCGGCCGTCTTATTTCTACTCGACAGAGGAACTTTTTGATGGTTTCATGGACCTTCTTCATTACTCTACAGCTCTCTCCTCAGCATGTCTCTGTTTGTTCGTGCACTTTAAGACACATGCTTAAACCTGAGTCATAGAGGGGAAAGCAATAAAGAGGAGAGGCCGACGGCATTTTCATTTGCTCTCTAATGCAACATCCACTGACATCATCCAGGTGCTTGAGGCTTTTCGTCTGCTGAAATCAACCTCTCAACTTTCCTTTCGTCCATTTGGTCCTTGCGTACTGAAGCTATTAGAATGTGCATGCATGCACACAGCCAGAAATGTACTTGGTCTGTAACAGATTCAAATTCATTACATTGTAGAGTGTGGCGCCCACATCAACAGTCAAAGCTGACCTGCCTAGAGCCGATCCTGCTAAAACACAAAAGCCAGCTGCAGCAGCCGCTGCTGGAAACAAATCTGTGCATGGGAAGAAAGAGGAAGTTAAAACAACCCAATCGAAGGTAGCTGATGCGTTTACCCTCTGTCATGGAGGCTGGCTGGCACTTTTTTCATCATCTGTATTTCATCTCAAATTTTAATTGCAGGATTGAACATTTTCTTAGTGAAAGATATACCAAAATAAATAAATAACCCAAAACAAATCTTGGCATTTTGAATAAGAAATGGTCTCTAAGTGGAAACATGGTGGAAACATTCTTTAATCTGCAGTCACTTCTTCCTACACACAAATCTACAGTATTTGTTTTGAAGTGATGCTTTACTTTTCCAGTATAGCACTAATTGTGGGTCTGTGTTGCAGGTGCAGGTAGAGGTCCCCTCCCCAGCAGTAAAGACTACAGAGGTAAAGACCTAGGGATGCTTTGAAGAGCATGGTGCTTGCCCCTTTGTGCTGAGCTGTGTTGCCTGTGCAGGCTGCTGCTGCTGTGGATCCGTTTGATGCCCTGGCTAGCATACTACCTTCGGCGGGTCCTGCGGCCCCCTCACAGCCCGTTTATACCGGGCCGGAGGTCCAAGAGGTACAGCCCTGCTGCAGCTTGAATGCATATGTGTCTGTGTGTAGTGAAAGTCGAAGAGAGAGAGCGCTGATTGACGAAGCCGCACGCATGTGGAGTGTCTTAACCGTGAGATGCATGTGTCACAGCATGGCGTCACCGCTGAGAAGGGGCAGAAGTGTGGAGAAAGAGACGACACTCTGCCTCCAGGCTACAGATTTGAGGATATGGTCAGTTTGTCACGGTTTCTGCTTCCTTAAAGAATTACTAAATTGTCATATTTAGTTGGTTTATCTACTTTCTTTTTTCTCTTGGTTGGAATTAGCCCTGTAAAAGGTGATGAACATTCAGAATTATTTTCTGACATCTTAAACCAGAACGGCATGCCGTGGAAAAAGTGCTCCCCTTTTCACAGATAATCACATCATAAAATATCATGTGTCCCTTTACCAACCTCAGAGGAACAATGACGCACAACATTTAGGAGCATATAATTATAACAAAGAACAAAACTGGGTGAAAGAACAGGTACAGTACACCTCAGGATTCAGTAGCTGGTAGAACCACATTCGCCAGCAATGTCGTCAAGTGATACGTTTTTCTTTGTGACATGATTAGTCATTGATGAAAAAGTTGTATGGACGCCTTTTTTAACACTAATAATTTAGGACAATTTGAATATACACTTGAGTGTGGATTAAAAGTATTATAACCTTTTTTTTTGTCTGACTCTTTTGGACAATACAATAATAGTATTTTTTTACATTATTTATTTTCATCTGGGTTTTTTTACTCTCTTCACTTTTTCTTTTTTTTAAACAAGCAAAACACTTTTTTGTGTTGAAAAGTGAAATGTTAAAATTGAAAAAAGTACATTGGTTTTGTTTTTTCATAATGTCCCTTCAGTTATTTTGGGATTCTGCAGAAGCAAAAGGCGTTGGCCTGATTTTAATTTCAAAACCAGATCGAGGTCAACATGCGGAAAGTTCTTAAATTTTTCAAAAAGGAATTCAACCTCCAAAATAGTTTTACCTGCTAGAATAAATTAAGTGTTATAATTTTTCTTTTATTAAAGTGTTTTCATTCTTTTTTCAGCCTCCAGCTCCTGTAGATGTTAAGCCCAAGGATGTACCTGTAAGTAAGGCTTCCACCACTCCTTTAGTGGATGCACAGCCTCATACACATATTTTAGTAAAAAAATCATATTTTCCCAACTCGTGTGTTTGCAAACAAACACACAAAAAACATTACTTTTATTTTTATGGAAATTAATCATTGGCATAAAGGATTACTGAGGCCCCTACACTAAACTTGACCACAACATATTTCTAATATTTAGCATAAGGCCATGTTTGACTATAAAAAAGAGAAATTCTCTGAACATGTGGGGCTTGATCCAAAAGAACATGTTCGGCAACTCATTTGTTTGACCTTGGACATGTAGCTGTACAGCCTCACAAACGAACACAGGAAGCACTGTTGTTCCTCCAGAAAGGGGAATGTTGAATTGCAATGGGGGGTGTTGGCTCGGCAAACAGTACTGGACCTACCTCATCTGTTTGAGCCTAGCGACTCATGTCGGCCAAACCCAAACGGCCACAGATACGTGGGCTCCAAAACATACGCACATGCAGCAGTGCATCTGTGGGTTAGAGTTTACTCAGCCTCAACACGCCCAAATTTGTTTGTTTTTTCAAAGTCTTTTTCAACGTTATCAGGTTTTCCTGGCATTAACGCTCTCAACCCCAGATAATTCTACTCCCGTAAAAGTTTAGACTTTTGTTTTTGATAAAGCAACTTACATTTTTGGGGTCAAATAAGTTGGGGGGTAGCATTTATTTGTTAGTTTTTGGTCTCAGTGGAATGTGAACAAGGGTGTGTCTGTACTTTTCCTCCACTGTTGGCACATGAAGTCCGGTCTGTGTTATTCTGCCCTTTTGTTTTCTTAGTTAGCTATGCCATCTAGTGGAGGGTTATGTGGCTGTCTTGAGAAATCATCTGAAGCTTTTATGTTTTAAAGCTCGTATTACATGATCTACATTGGATTTGGTTTAAAATGAGCTTTTTTGATTAGGAGTCATTCTCTTTGTTTTTCTTCCCAGAAACCACTGAGCACTGATGAGGCTTTGGATTCCCTTTCAGCTGGTTTCAGCACATCCACTGTTCCACCAGCGCCCAAAAAGCAAGAGGTCAGTCGTTAATCATGTGGCACTCGGATGTGAAACCATCCAGAGTAGCCTATTGACACGTGCATGTGTTATATAGTGTTAACCCTGAGAGTGTTCTTATGTGCATAATTAGTTGGGCTGCGCCTTTTAAAACTGATGTCATGCATAATGAATCTTAATCTGCCGTGTGTTTTCTGTTGTAGAAAGTGGTAACTCCTGTGGCCGCTCCCCCTGTGGCTGTGTGTCCTGCGGCTCCAGCTGATAAAAAGGCAAAGATGGAGAAAGTTTCAGATGATTTCTCACTGGCGGCTGCAATTCCCTCCACTGTAATTTCTTGCTTTTGCTGTTTTCTGTTGTTGTTGTTATTCGCTTTAATAATAGGTTTGTGTAAAGATTTCAATCAGCCGTAGTGCTTAAAGCAGTTATGTGCAGCTGTTGAGTAAATTGTAACTATAACGAAATGGATATTTTACATGCTTAAAACAATGATTCTACCTCATTATAACCAGACTTGTATAAACTATATTTCTTTTTGGGTGCTGTAGAAAACAGTTCCTCCTGTTGCTGTGTCTGCTGCTCCCCCTGCTGATAAAAAGCAAAAGATGGAGAAAGCTGCTGCTGGATTCTCACTGGAAGCTGGATTGGGTACCAAAGTAGACACAAAACCCAAACGTAATGAGGTAACCAAATCTGCATATATATACACACATCTTTTTTTATTCAAGTCATAGTTGTTGTTGCTCATACATTTTTGCCCCTCAGGGTGCCTCCATGTCTCTGGATGCTCTCAGTGCTCTTGGTGGCACATTACCAACAGATGAACCAAAACCTGAACCACCAGAGCTCAGACCTGAGGACATTGTTTCAGTAAGAGCTGAAAAGCCTTTCAAGTTTGATTTATACTTTATTTTATTTTGCCTTTAATTGCTTTAATAGTTCAAATGCATCACAAATCTCAAATAAAAATATCAGTTTTGGGTTATTAGCTGCATTTGAACAACAACATCAGCAGTGGCTTCTCCAATGCTCTTTTCCCATTTCAGGAGGACAAATCAAAGAAGAAGAAGGGAGTGCGTGTAGGAGAGAGGGAGGACGCTCTTCCTCCGGAGTACAGGTTTAAAGAAGAAGATCTCAAAAAGCTTCCAGCTCCAAAACCTGAGGTACGACAAAGAAAACAATCATATTAAATCCTTCTCAAAATTACCATTGGACATATGATAATACGATGTTTGGTGTCTTCCGCGTTTCTCCATGTCTTTTGGTTTTCTTCTCTGCAGCCCTCCATAGGAACTGGTGAAGCTTTGGATATTTTGTCTGGAGACTTTCTGACCTCCTCTGCAGCTCCTGCTGTCCAGGCTCCTGTAGTGTCCTCCTCAGCCGCTCGGGCTCAGGTACGTGATGAAGCCATTGCTGATCACAGCAGGCCAAAGTAGGCAGGGTCTAAAACCTTGTTTATCTCTCGAATGTTGTAGAAAGCTCCTGCTCCTCCTGGTGACAAGAAAGCCAAGAAGGTTGTAGCTGTGGATGATTTCTCTCTGGAAGCCGGTCTGTCTGCAGCCAGTGCTAAGGTACCATAAAACCATGTTCTGCCCGTTTTCTTCCTTTTTTGTGGTTATGTTATGTTGTCTGAAGAAAACAGATGCAGAAATAAGAAAATATTTCTGCATCCAAAAAACCCAAATCTTAGTAAGAATCCAAGTTTTCATAAAGATATAAGTGTGAAATATTGGAATTTACTCTGGACCAATTTCTATCACACATTTGCCTCAGGTTGTCACTTTTAAGTTGAATTGTATCTGTGTTGTGTACAAAGTGGATTTTCCTGTTTGCCCTGCTCTTGCTGATAAAACAAAGTCAAGGTACAGAAACCTTCATCTGACCAAAAGATCCATTGAGAGGGTAAATGGATGTGTGCAATTTCCCCTTTTTCCTGTCCTGTCAAAGAGACATGGTGTTTCATCAGTTGAGCTAACAATGGGTAACATATTGAAATAAAACTGAAATAAATCTCCCGCTCTCCTTTCAGGGCGACTCCATCCCTGTAGATGCTCTCAGTGCTCTTGGTGACACATTGGCGACCGATGAGCCAAAACCAGAACCCCCTAAACTCAGACCTGAGGACATTGTCACGGTAAGAGATAATAAAAAAAGCCACTCAACAGTTCAACTCCTTTGGCTGTTATATGTCAATTGCATGTACAGGTGTGTGTTTAAAATCTTCACATCAGCTTTTCACTTTTTCCAGGAGGACAAATCCAAGAAGGAGAAGGGCGTGCGTGTAGGAGAGAGGGAGGACACTCTTCCTCCGGACTACAGGTTCAATGCGGAAGAACTCAAAAAGCTGCCGGCTCCTAAACCTGAGGTTAGACGAGGACAGGTTTGATTTAAAGCAGCACTATTGAAATGTAGGAACCTGAAAACAGTGTGTTGGAACTGCTCTGGAGTTGCCACACTGTTACCCTAAGTGTTAAAGACTGGGGGACCAAAAAATACTAGTAATTCTAGTACACTGTTGAAAAGATCTTTGAGAAATAACATCAATGGAATCAGAGTAGTAAACCTGCCACAACTGTAGGGGGAGTCACAGAGCAGCACATTGCCAGGTGACGGTCTATAAGTCATGCTCCTGAACTCATCATTCACTCTGATCCTCCTGTTTGTGTCCATGTGCAGCCCAAAATTGGAACAGATGAGGCTATGGATATTTTGTCAGGGGACTTCATGACCTCCTCTGCAGCTCCGGCTGTTCAGGCCCCTGTTAGAACCCTCCCAGCTCCTCCTGCACAGGTACAGTACACTGTAGTTAGATCCTGCACAGTTTATCACACCGGTCAACACACACTGCTTTACAGGTTGATGTTTTTTTTTTTAAGTGTTTGAAAATATGTCCGTTTCCTAGAAAAAAGCAGAGGATTTGTCAGCTCTGGACGTCCTCGCTGGAGACTTTGTAGCTTCAACTAAAGCTGCTGGAGTTCAGGCACCCGTCCCCCCTCCAGCCAAAAAGGCCCCAGAGGTAAACCCTGAATGCGTGCACAAATGTGCACATATATATTCATCTGTTTCCAAGCAGCTGGTGAATTTTGCATTCTCCTTTTGACTTATTTTTTTAGATGTCCAGTCGTCATACTCAACAGCTTGTCTGTTTTTCTGCAGATAGCAGTTTGCCCACTAGAGGAACAATGCAATCTTGAAGCCCTCCCTGCAGAACCAGAACCCACAAAACCCAAAATTGTGAAGGTAACAACTGTCTTTTCAAAAGTTAATTTCCTTAAAATCATGTCCGTTTATAATTCTTTTTACAGACTTGCACGTATAATGTTTTTCACAAGCTCATCCATGAAAAAACCTCTTCCTGCTCTCTGCTCAGGGCTGCTCTTTGCCTCTGGATGCTCTCAGCGCTCTTGGTGACACGCTGGCAGCAGATGAACCCAAACCTGAACCACCAAAACTCAGACCAGAAGATATTGTCACTGTAAGGAGCCCACATCTGCCTACCGCTGTTTTAATCTAGTAAAATCGTGGGATTCAGGGGTGGGGGTTGCCTGGCGTGCCTATAAGAGCTAACTAGCACCAGAGAGATACGTTTGCATACTCCTTCACATCTTTTTTTTTTTTTTTTTCCCCAGGAGGACAAACACAAAAAGGAGAAGGGTGTGCTGGTTGGTGAGAGGGACGATACGCTTCCTCCAGAATATAAGTTTGATGAGGAGGCGCTGAAAAAACTGCCTGCTCCAAAACCCCAGGTGAGACCAGGATTGTTTCCCTTCAGCCAATCAGACCACTGTTTTAGTAATCTAGATGGACTCTTCATATCCAGCACACAATGCAGCTAACATTTTAAACATGAACGTCTGAGTTCTTAGTTTAACGTGTCTCTTTTGGCAGCCCGCTATGGGAACTGGGGAGGCCCTGAACATTTTGTCTGGAGACTTCCTGACCTCCTCAGCAGCTCCTTCCGTACAGGCCCCCGTCGTCCTCCCCCCAGCTCCTCCCGCACAGGTGCAAAAAACGGTGGAAATAAAAAAATAACAACCTGTTGCTGAAAGTCAGTGATTCCGTCCAGCTCACTTCTTTCTGCCGCTCCCTCAGCCCTGTGACTTTGCTCTGGATGCGCTGGCGGGGGAATTTGCCGCCTCCGCCGCTGCCCCCACCGTGAAGGCTTCCCGCTGCCCCCCAGCAGAGGCTAACCTGCAGGTGAAAATCCCAGCGCGTGTCTGAGCGTTTTCCCCAGACACCATGTTTTCCTGCACCTTCGATCTGGACGTCATTTTGCTGTTTTTGTTCGCTCAGCTGCCGGGCGAAGCCGACAATGCCCTCGATGCTCTGTCAGACACACTGAGAGATATCACGCCTGCTCCCCAGCCTGCTCCGGTTCCCACCAAAGACATCGTCAAGGTAGGATCCATGCTTCAAATGCATGATGTCATGCACGCGTAGAAAATACAGTCACTTTATCTGACCTGTTGTGTGCGTCTGGTGGGTTGCTGCAGGAGAAAGAAATCGTTAAAGAAAAGCTGATCAAGATGGGAGAGAGAGACGACTCACTGCCGCCAGAATACCAACCCACCGAGGAAGACCTCAAGGTAAACCCACTGCTCATGCAAAAAGATGGCGAAAGTACATTTGCTCGTCTGTGAATAAACATTTAGAATACACATTAGAAAGAATGTGAATGTGTAAAAGTATGAGGAATGCATGCATGTGATGGTGATTCTTGAACAAACAAAAAACATCCAGCAGGTTTTTTAAATTTGCATTTTTTTTGGTAAGCTCTAAGAGATAAGAAACGTGTTTTAAAAAAAAGAAAAAAATCAGTTGACTTGTCACTCAAATGATGATCAAAATACTGGTGTGACCCCTTTACACCTTTCGAACATAAATTCACCTCCCTGTGTGTTCTATAAATGTCTTTCTAATCCCATAGAGTATGTCGAAAATGAAGGTCAAAGCAACTGCAACATCCAAGCAGGTATGACATCATATAAGGGTGCATTGATAAAATCTATCAAATAAAGAATATATCTACAGATATGAAAGGAGGTTAAGCTGCTGTCTATGTTCTTGGCCCTGCAGGAATCTATGGATGATAAAACAGCCCTGGACCTGCTTTCTGGTGACTTCTCTGCTGCTGCCCAGCCCCCTGCACTGGTCACATCATCCACAACAACGCTGGAACCTCCTGCACTCGATTCAGAGCCTCTCAAGGTAGCAGAGAAAATGAATTCATGTGATTTTGGTAATAAGGCATGTTTTTATTTAGTTAGTTTTTCTTAAAATAATTTATTTGGAATGTATTTGCTTTTTCTTTCCAAGCCAATGGCTGGTCCTGTGCTGGACTCCCTGGCTGACACACTCCTCCCAGAAGCCTCCAAGTCCAAAACTAAAACAGAAAAGCCTAAGGTAAGCCTATGGGTCCCTCTCCATGTATACACAGAGGTATCCGGATCTTAGACTATTGCATCAGATTACAATTCTGATAATTAGGTCATAGTGAAAAATCATCTTGAAGCTTGGCATCTAATGGTTGAAATCCTCTACGCAGAACAATAGATACAAAAAAATGCAGGTTGTTAACAATCATAGAAAAAATAGAAATAAAAATTAGTACACAGGCCGACGGAGAACAACTCGCATGCTTAGCTTCCGGTCCTGCACTGTTCTAGTTCAGTTAACACCACACAGATTGCTCACCAGCACATGGAGCAGTTGAGCATAACCAGTCTGTCAACTCTGTTACAGGGCAAGAGCAAGTCAAAGTCGAGGTCTAAAGTAAGCCAATTGCTTGCTGCATGAAGTTGAATATACGTAGAGTGTTCCACTTCTTAGGAACTGTTTGCTTCACTGAATCCAAAAAAAGGGAACCAAATATTCCTCAGTTCCAGCATGCATTGGCATGCGATGACCTACACACACTTTGTCTCTCTTTTTCCAGTCTGAGCATGCCCTGCATCAATAATGCTTCCTTTTTTAAAACTTTTTCAACTTTGTTTTGCAGACACAACATGCTGCTGAGCCTTCCTCCACTGGCCTACCAAAAGCTCCGCTTAGCTCAGATGTTGTTCCATCTACAGCGCAGGGAGGCAAGAGCTAGTGCTTTGGTAAGTTTTGGTGTTTCAGTGTAAAGTGCTGATCATGATGAGGGACATGGCCTGCTTCTATCCTCTGACTGTTTCATATTTCACACATTGCAGGTGATGGGTGCAGTTCGTCCTCCAGGCCAAAGGGACGCATCGGCGAGGGGGGGGGGGCGCTCTTCGGTTAATGATTCTATTTTTCTAAATCGTAAAGAATGTGTACTGGATGACCGACAGACCTAGACATGGTTCAGATCAGTTGCTCAACACACCCACACATAACCATATCTGCGAGCACTGCGTTTTACTTTTGAAAATGAGAACCTGTGGGTTCTTTCTTACCGAGAGACTTTTGGGAGGACGGAATCAATGTAAAGACTAAATAAAAAAAAAATAAAAAAAGAAGGAACAAAGGGAAAGTGTGGGGAAACAGAGGAGTGTGAAACACAAAAATCTTTCATGCCACTGAAAGCTTTGCATCTACATCTCAGCTGACATTCTCCAGTCGCACGCTAACATCGCAATCCAGCTGTTACGTAAGCCAGGTGTTGTTGTGGTGCTGGTGGAGCCCTGGTGGCTGTCAGCTTGTGTGGGAGCAGTGCGAAGTAGGTGTTTAGTGTCGGGATGTTTGTGCAATCTTGCTGTACAAAGAAACAGAAAAAATGATCATGACGTGGCAGGAAGCCTTTTAAGACACTATTGTACAGATTAGTTTGCCATATTTTAAACAGTGCCTAGTTTACATTATTAAATAAGTGGAGGATTTCCAGGAGATGTTCTGCTCTTGTTTTTTTCCTGTATTCAGAAAGCTTTTTGAAAATGCTTCTTTCTTTTCTGTAGAGAAATGTCTGTCGAAAGAAGGGCCTTTTGTATGTATTCGGCTTTCTAGGGAAAAACACACCCTGGCATTCAGAAGTGCTCTTAGCAAACTGAGGTATATGCAAGCTTTGCAAACTGCCAATACCCTGTCAAAAAAAAGAAAGAAAAAAGAGAGAACACTATATGTAGTGTATGAAACATCAGATTAAATGTTGAAATGTCTTTTTATGGATGGATACTTCAGAAATCAAGAGAAAGTAAAAAATTAGAACCAGTAAATCTGGAACTTCAAGCTGACATGAACTGCCGTAAAATGTAAACTGCTGTAAGTCAAATCAGCAGACATGGTCTTCCTGAAGGCACAAGGGAAAAAGTGTGTATTTGTGTGTGTGTGTGCGTGTGTGCTTGTTTGCACATTAAAGTGAAAGAGAACAGAATCTCATCCGAAACTGTTTCTCTACTCCTGACGTGTGGTTTTTCAGCCTGCATACGGTTGAAGCGGCCCACTTCCTTCTCGCTCACGGGGGGCTTAAAACAAATGTCTTCTTCTCAAATATTGTACTTTTCTGCCAAGAATCTGAATGACTGATGGGGCTACAAATGCGTGGGTTTTATGTGTGAAAAATAATTCAATAAAAAATTCCAGTTCACTTCAGCAAGAGGAATCTGAGTGCCTTCTTTTTCTCCCATTTTCCCCCTGTTTTTGTAACATACAAAATAGCATTTAGAATTTTTTTCTGTCTATCATTAATTTTCAGCTTTGGAAATGTTTATCGTTATCATAAACACTTTAGAAATGTAAATAGTAAGCAATTTGATCATCCCACTAAGAAAGAAATCTACAAAAAAAAAACATCAGGCAAAAACATGGAGCTAGCAAATTTATTTGAAATATGTGCTTTATTTAAAAAAGGTAAAACCAAAAGAAAATGCAGAATTGAATAATTAAAAGGGCATTAGAAATTATTACAGTTTATTAATGTTAACAAGATGAATGCATTAAGTATGTACAAATTCTATTTAAATTGGACTGAAAATGAAGGTAAAGATTTGTATTTTCTCAGGATTCTGTTCAGCTGTAATTGTTATACATGAGAGCTTGGTGTATCAGATTTTTCATGGTGGGATTTATTTTAAGAATAATCCATATTTCTAATCGGTTATCACGGCACAGTGATATCAGCCGCCAGAGTACAGCTTGGTAAAAACATGTCAGGTAATGTGTTGAAGTCCCAAAGCTAAAAATGTTTTCTATCACACGGTACATTAGTTGATAGTATGCAGACTGGCTCATTTATTTATTAAAACCTTGCAAAGCTTAAACAAAAATAATTTCTTACAATAAATGAATGTTTGGGAAAATGGAAAATTAAAGTTAAATTTAAGATCACATTGAGATCACATGTTTCGGTTTGTCATCATTAGCTTTTCAGGAGCCCCCGTCCTCGGCCTGCACGGGAGAGAAATGTTCAAATTTAGGTTAGTTTAGATCTAAATTAAGTAAGAAAATTGCACCTTAACTAGAATTAAAAAACAAACATATACAGAGATTGTATGGGCTGACAGTTATTGCATGTGTCCTCAATATGTTTACATGTTAATGTGGCGCAAAAACAAATGGATTAAGAATTCAATCTTTACGCTTTGTTCCTGTTCGTAGCAAGATATTTATCGTTTGAAGAGTTTGATGGAATAAAAAGACACAAATACAAAATCACAAATTCAGAACTAGGTTGAAACAGAAGTGACATACTAATAATTAGTAGACCTTGTATGACGGACACATAATATGTATATGAAAGAATAAATAAAAAATACATAAATTGAAATAATCACTGAACAATACACTGAATAAATATCTACGCACGTCAGATTCGGTATTATGTTGTGTTCCGTGTTCTTGAAAAGGAAAAAGAAATGTTCAGATTATGGCTACGGCCTTTATGGAAATGTGCTCTGACCAAAAGAGTAAACAACTTACTTTCTCTTGTAATGGTGGGGGCACCTCCGTGTTCTCATATCTAAACAAAAAAAAATCATTTAAAATCAGCAAAAGAGTACATACAAATTTCAGCAAATGAGTACATACAAATTTCAGCAAATGAGTACATGCAAATTTCAGCAAATTCGCAAATATATTTAAGGTGCACAATTACAAAAAAAAAATCACATTTCCGGATTAATCTTGTGACAAAATTTCAATTGCATTAGATAGATATACAAGAAGGCTGTTGTTTTATCGGTAAAACATCTGATGGACTCACGGTTGCAGTATAAGGTGATGATGAGAAGTAAGAGCAGGAGAAGGAGACAGCCGCCGACTAAAGGGCCCAGTATGATTGGAGTGCAAAACAGGGAAAGACTGGATGGTTCTGCCAAACAGACACACTTTCACCAACAGTTCCACATTACAGTTATATTGTAACGATGAGGACCCGTTAATCGGTTGTGTTTGGGTTTGTACCTGGCCTTCTCTGGTCTCCACAGGGACACCTCCCTCGTGTAGTCGTCGTTGGGGTTTGCATGCCGGTGAACGGCGGCAGTTTCTTTGGTGGCTCTTCCTTTTTTTCTGTTGAAAGAGTTTTGGAAAAAATTTATTCCATCCAAAAAGTGTCATATCATATGTGTAATGGACAGCAGTTTGGAAACAATAATCACCTTCAAGTAGTCGTGTGACTTCTCCAAAACTCAGCTCATTTCCTTTTATAAGAAGGCCACAGCTGTAGATGCCACTGTCACTGCTTTTGAAGGACTTCAGCGATAGAGTATATAGAGCATTATCATCAGATTTTAAACCTTTGTGTGAGAAGATGGATTCATAGTTGGTCATGCCTGACTTTTTTGAGCCAGCGGGGCTGAATGATGCGATGAATTCCATTCCAGAGTGATCCAGTACCCGAAACCAGATGACCATGGTCCCAACCCCTTTAACCTGACAATTAATGTCAACCATATCCCCAACTTTGACAATCCTCTCTTCAGCAGCTCCTGGGGTGACGTCTTCAGAAAACAAGAGCAATAATTATTCACTTCTCGATAGTTCAGAATATTACACAAAAGAAGAAAGCTCATGCAAAACAAATATAAATCATTTTAATACAACTTACTATGACAGCACACCAGAATCAACAGAACCTGAATCCAGTTTTGGTCCATTTTTCAAAATCTCGCAGACAACAATTGCTGCTAAACGTGTCTTTGGGCTGTCTATTGGATTCTGCTTGCCGATGGTTCAGTGAGATATGAAAACCACGCCCCAGCTGTAACCTTCTTCTCTGTTGTGTCAAATGGCAGCATTGCAGCGGAGCGTTTGCAGAGCCCTCCTGCAGCAAGCTCGTGGTCTCTAAGATGTTTGAAATGGAGCCCACTTGATTTGTATTTTTGCTCTTCTGCCTCTAGTATGAAGCATCGAACAGCACGACCTGATCCACAAGATATTGGCACAGAAACACAGTCGTGCACTGAATGTGGGAGAAGGGGAGGAAGTGTAAAAAACTGAAGTTGGTTTGGCAGCTGACTTTACAAAACTTTGCATTGTTTTTGTACAAATCAAATACTGAAGAAGTTTCCAGGATCCATGAAAATTGCAGTTTCCAGAAAAAAAGACATGCTTATGTGCTTTTATGGGTTTCTCTTTGTGACTGGTGTTCATTTTCCAATAAAGACGTGTGACGTCTGGATGTAATCTCCAACACAAACTTTAGCCACTGTTCATGCATGTGAGCAGTTAATTTGACCAGTTTTACTAGTCCTCTACCAGTTAGTTTTATTTTGTAATTGCAGACTCATTACTCATCAGTAAAGTTCATCGATAAATAATGATTGTTTTGAATATACTGCAAAGTTTTAGAAATCTGATAACTGCCTTTACGACCCCCCCCCCTCTCTCCATATATATAAATATATATCACTAATATTATGAGAATCTGTGTTGTTACAGTTTACAAGTTTCACACCATGTCAAAGACAAAAATTTAAGGCACTAGATGGCAGCAAGAGCAGGAATGACAAATGTGAAACTTATTGAACAGCAGATGACCGAAGCCTGTGCAAGCTTAACAAAAGTGTGCTGTATTTGTGTCATCACCCCCGCCTTGACACCACAGGTGTTTCCATCTTTAAAAGAGCTAAGGAAAGTTCAGAAGAAAATACCTGCTTTGACGCCCGTGGTTGGGCTGTGGGCTGTGGCTACACACTCACAAAGCTCGTTTGGACCAACAAAGAGTCAAACTTGGTAAAAATTTTAAAGAAAAATCAGCCTTTTTTATGGCTAGATAAATCACTGTGGGAATAGATATGGTGATAATGTAAAAACTGCTGAGACTGTCTGACGAAAACAAAAAGCTTCATTAAAATAGACACACAGAAGCAGATCAAATGTATTCATTGTTTAAATGAGAATCAAACAAAACTGGAGCGGGAGCATTTTCCATACAACCCGGGGAGTTGATATTAGTAACTGATCCTGCTTTGATTAAAACAGTTCCCATAATCGATGATTATGAGAGGACACAGTCCTGTCACTTCACATGAAAGATGCTAACATTTTCAGGGAAGTGAAACTCTCTTCTGATTAACTGAGGAGAGTTTAAGCTGCTATGGCGCAACTCAAAGCCCGTCACGTTTCCTGTTCTGTGATGGAAAAAAAAAAAGAATCAATTTGGTAATAGGCAACGAGAGCTGACATTTTGCTCTACTGTGGGCGATTCATGTGTTCCACGGGTGGGAGTTGATAGACTGTAACAAAAGACGGTGACAATGAAATCAGACAGATTTAGGCAACTGCTGTGTCACTTTAACCTGTATTGCAATGATTATTTCCTGTCACAGCATCCCTTTAATATAGTGCACTACATATTTAGATTTCTAATGAATTACTCTGACATTTGTTTAAAATCAAACCTAAATGGGAACCGGGCCAGTTTCCTCCCTAACACTGGTTTCAGTAAGCAGGGGATTCTGTTGATGCTTTGTGTCAGAGGGAAGACCCAGTCAGAACGCACTCTATTAGCCCACCTCACCTTTCCATATCTCTGTTTCAGAACTGAGTCACTCACAAACACACCTGCATGGGCTTCCCTATCTTAGTCATACAGGGGGTCTCCAACCCGAAACTTGCACAAGGGTGTGTTTATGTGGTGGGTGACCAGGGAAAGCCAGAGAGACAATGAGTGTACTCGGCTCATGAACGCTGAAAATACAGTCGGAAGACTGCTTTACACTCTGTAAAAAGCAGCCCCCTTAATGCCAGTGAATCAACACCAGAGCTCTTTTCTTGTTCGCCTGCACTCTGCCAGTTTGCCTCATCTGCTGCTGGCACTATCGAGTATTATGGGACAAGAAGCTGTGGAAGGTAGACCGAGAGCACCAACAACAGTAAGTAGAAATGGAAAACTCTAATGGGGAAGAATAGAACAAATGCAGATAGATGCGCTCATCATTTTGTCTGTTTCAAAGACTTCCTGTTAGGATAGTACCAGCAGCACCTTCCGTACTGGTGGAAGAATACAACATGACCGCGAGCATCTTTTTGGCTTTTTTCTTTTAAGATATGTCCTCTTGAGAATTCCAACCTGCACAGATAAGAAAATATACTATTTAGAGAACCATGCCTGCTGTTTTGCAGCCCTAGTTTACTTGTTGTTCATGAACCTATTCAATTTCTACAAAGTTTGGAAGTATTTTGACCTCTTTGAGAAATACACAAATGGTGTGTAGCACAATCAATTAATTTTGCCCCTGGATAGTACAGACAAAGAAAAAATTAACGTTTTTTTAATGCTAATTTCTTATATTATATGCAGTTATAAACTGCTGTTGCTTTGACTAACCAAAAATAACCGTTGTTTGACTTGTCAAGGCTGCTTCATTTCCAGGGCTAATAACACTGGAAATAAAGCAGCCGATTGTCCAAATATTGAGAAATATGGATCTCTGACTGCACCCTGCACCTGGAGGCCGATTGTGGTAGCAGACAAGCTTAGCCTGGGGTCTGATTCTGAACAGCACGCACCCTCCATCTTGTAACGTCTTTCTGTGACACGCAGTAGAATATAGGTTTTGTAGGTGACCTTTGAACACCCCTGTTTTAAAGCAGGGCACCATATATGATTTACTTTCCACTGAAGGCTGTTCAAAATAGTTGCTTCAGTCATCAACATGTTGAGAACACATCTTAGTCCTCTATCATCGATCACTCTCTACGGGACAGCTCAGAGACATACGGGGTTCTGTAGGTTTTAAATCTCTCTTAAACCTTTCTCGCAGAATGAAAAGTTTGTCATTTAAATTTGTAACATTTCAAGTCCAATTATACAGCTATAAATAAACTGTTGATTCACCATGTCAAATACATGTTTAGCTGTTTTTTGTTGTAGGGTTGTGTAATACAACATATTTGAAATAATGTTCGATTAGGGTCAGAGTTTAGGGCAAAACATTCTTTCAGTGTCAGAATAATACATAAACACAAACAATTTAGAAAACATTTTGTATAATTAATTTGTTATTTTTATTGTTGTTTATTTTATTCATTAACGAGTCATCTATTCACATGTAACATGTCAGATTTTTTGATCAGAAAAAAAGATGAAGTAACTGACCTGCAATGTGTTATTTTAGTTTTTTCCACGTTTGTTCATACAATTCCTGGAATTTTTCAAGAGTGAATATTTTCAAATATATGCACAGAGTGGTAACATTCTGGAAAAAATGCTGTCCGCCAGTTCAGGAGACATTTAGCAGGCTAATATAATAATTTCACCTTTAAAAGTGAATTGGTACTCAACTATGAAGTTTTGGAAGCTTTTCTATTCAACTGTTGAGATGATTAAATTATCCTGTTAAGTATGAATGTAAATAACTCGAATAAACAAGAAACTGAAAATACTAAATGTCTGCTTTTTTTTTCTCCCACAAGCAGTAAGTGTCACAATGTGTCGGCGAGTGTGTTTTGTGAAGTACCGGCACTTGTTCTACTTTTCCTGTCAAACAAAATCAGTCAATTTTTCCTCCATTCTAGGAAAATAAAACATCTGAGTTTGTTGTTATAATTCACCCATAATTTGTGTTTGCATGTGCAGAGCTTCACACAGACACTAGTCTGTGCATTTTTGCTTTGTGGACTGTGCATTCCAAATCCAGTAAAGCACAATGGGGCAATATTTTTTCACCTTTTCAATACTTTTATTAAAAACCATATCATATCTAAATGTTCTTTGTGTCTTTTCTCTTTCTGTCTCTCTGAGTCTGTCAGTGCTTGTGGTTGGGTCTGTGGTACTTTTTGCGGTCGTTTTGTTTCTGAGACGAGATGAAGAGCTCAAAGTTGAGCGAGGCGATAGCATCTCAGCGAGCATGGCTCCGTCTCTTCTCTTCCTCCAGCACACAGGAAAGGGTTGCGCACACTCCCTAAGACCCGGACCACCACCAAGTCAGTCGAGCCTCGGCGCTCCCCAGACACACAGGTGTGAGCTGAAACTGCAGGAAAGTCACTCTTTGCTGTTAAAGACTAATAACAATATTAATAATGATCATTTAAAACAGTAAAGATTAGTTGCTCACCGTTTCAGCAGAATACTTTACACAGACACTGAATATTATGTGAGTTTACACATCAAAAGTAAAGAAAGAAACCAAACCCTGGCACTCACCTACTCAACTTCCGCTGAACACAATATTGACAATGGAAGTACAACACCCACGTTCAAGACTCTCCGTACACGTGCACGGTGCATCTCAATGCAGATTCTGAAGTAGAGGACTGCTATCCATGCACAGGTTTTTTTCTGTCATATGAATCTGCAAAACTGCTCTAGGTTATCAAAAAGAAGGGACTGGTTTCTAAATGTATCACCACTCTGTAAATGCTTGGACATCCACAGCTTTATTGATTGAACAGGATTACTCTACAGGACACAGAGGCGAACATGTGACACATGAAGTGAAAAAGCACAAATAAATACAGGAGAGCGCAAAGGTGCACAAAATCAGCTCAGTTCAGCTGTTCTTTCATTTTCAAATTTGATAAAAAAGAAAAAAATGAAAAAAACTTGCTATTGCTACTGAAATGGTACAGATACAAGGATTTAATTGAGCCTCAATCTAATTACTCTGCTTTCCCTGTAAAATGACCTGAGACAGTTTCATTGTGAGCTGGCGCCATATAAACTGAACTGACAGGAATAAAGGGATTCTGATGTGAGAAGAGCTGAGAGTATTTGGATTTTCATCCTTATTCCACAATGATTAGAAAAAGCTAAAGTCTCCTTAATAGAAAAAAACTCCCTTTATAATTGATTCTGTTCTATTGCAAAATGATCAATGACAAAAATATTTTACAACAAAGATGGCAGGTTTCTAACCCGGTGGAACAAACAAAATTTACATATCACAGTATTTTACATGGCCACCGCTCTTCAGCGGCAAAGCGCACATTTCACTGGATACAGAGTAATATACTTTTATTAGCAGAGCACAACTTTTTGTTATTCAAGCTCCACACGGAAGACGTCTTCAGCCAAACGCCTCAGCGTCTGCAATCACAAAAGCGGGCATTGTCATCTTAAACTCGCTTATCTGCTCTATCAATCACTTTTTGCATCAGACTAAAAATGTACTTACTTTTAGATAAAAGCCACAGATGCAGCTCTTTAGGTCATCAGTCTCTTCCTTAATTAACATGAAACAGTTAAAGAACACATTAATATCTGTCAGTGAAAAATGTTCCACAATTTAAATGAAACTTTCTGATCCTACGGCAAGTAATTCTAAAACTATTCAAAAAGCAGCTCTATTCACTTACTTCACAAAGTGGTGTTGACATTTTTTGGGCAACCCTGTAAATGGGAACATTTCAGACATCAACAAATACATTCTAACAATGGTACGACGCAATGTGATTGAAGAACTGGCTGCGTCGCTGGACCACAAAACCTTTCTCTGCCTGACTTTATTGCAATTAGCGCAATGGGCAGAAACAGTACTCACGGCTGAAGTAGTAGAGCACGCCCAGGATGACAACGGCCAGGCCAGCGGCCAGTCCAGCCAGAGGCCACAGGAGCAGGGAGCTGCAGCCGCCTGGAGCAGAGGAGGACAGGGTGTCATGTGTTGACCACACATGTATACAAGATCCATTTCACACCTGTATCGATACGCTGAAGGATGTTCACGTCACAGAGAAAATCTGAGTGTGGTGAGTTTATGTGCAGTGCCTGTAAAAGAAAAAAGAAAACGTACTGCGTTTAGGATTTCTGGAGCAGCGGCAGGGTGGTTTGGGCTTCGGCTTAGGGGTTGTGCGTGGCGGTGGAGGGGTCTCTGTGGGACAAAAAAAAAACAAAAAACAACAATTGGCCATCAGGACAAAGAGACAAACAGCAGTAAAGCACAAACAATAAAAAGCTCTCTGAATGCAGATGGAACGGTGGACAGATTTACTGTGCAGGAGCATGATGACTGTAACTCTCCAAGTTTTCTGTCAGTTTTTCATCCCTTTGCCTTAAAAGTGGGGAGAATTACTGAGGTTCTCTAACACAGCCATAAGCTCTACGTGGCTGTGCCAGAGAAGCACCGGCAAACTAATCCTGGCTTGACGCAAACATTTTAGTCAGATCTACAAACTCAGCAGAAAATCCTGAATACACATTCTGAATGGTTAGATACCTCCATAGGTTTCTACAGATTAGATGACAAAGGGACCGTTCCTGTGTGTGAAATAAGACCAAGTCAAAGTCCTCTGACGGCACCACAGCGGTTTAATGCACAGTGGCATGTGATTACTTTAGATCTTCATGGCTCATTAGGCCTTGTTCTGTAATTCACTGATGTCAAAATACAACAGATAGAAAAACCTCCCCGCTCCGCTGCACACTCCTCCATCTGACACTAAATACAAGGGACAGATTGACTTAAATTGTCCCCAATCAGCTCATAGTAAATGTCTGTTTTATCATACAAACCTCCCGGGCGAAGTAGAAAGCCGGGCCTGAACTTCTCGGCGTCGTTTCTGGAGTCCCTCAGGATACAGGAGTAAATCCCTGCGTCCGCCTCAGTTATGCCAATGATGCGCAGCACAAAGGACGAGCTGCCCCTCCTGCTGAATTTATAGCGTGTCTGGTTCACATCTCCATACTGAACGCGGTCAGCTCTGTTGCATTTGGCCAGAAAACGCAGCTTGCCCCGGGCCGGGTCCGTGTGGAACCAGAACACAGTGTCGCATGAGATGTTCACACATTCACAGTCCAGACTCTCACTGCTGGAGATGGCTGGATAGAGAACATGGACAGGGTCCCCTTGGATGAACTGGCTTGAGCCTGGGGAGTGGAAACAAAGGGGCCATGGAGATCTTAAGAAACAGTTATTTTCACACTGAAATGCAACTGCGGCTTACTCTGGGGGAATCAGGTTATTTGCTTAATAATGTCTAAAACCCAACAACTGCAAGTCAGCTATAATAAAAAGGCTACTAAAACTTGTTAAAATGTCTGAAGCTGTCCGTCTTATGGCGCTCGTGAGGTTTGGCCTCGGTCCTACATGTAAAGTAGTACTGTAAAAGTCATCCTTCAGGCAAAGCGGAAAAGAACCGAAATGCAAACGCCGATATGAAAACACTACGGCCCCAAAGCGAGAGGGGCAACTAACAAGAAACCTTTAGAAAAAAAACAGTAGAAAATGTGTAGAAAAAAATCCCTTTTTATTAAGTATGTTTAGACAGCAGGAGGCCTTCATCTGACCGTAGAATCGGTTCCAAAGGTTACTTTGGTTTAAGTCCAGTTTAGAGGCAAACGCTGCCCGTAGTAGAGTTCAGAAATATCTGACCCTGTCTGAATGGCTCATGCAAAACAGCGCACTTGGACATGCTGGATTGACGTCTTGAAAAGATGCTAAACAGATGAATAACTACCATGTAAAGCTGCTGCATGTGTATCATCACACAGATGTAGCAGCACAGACTCAGAGTGTTACCAAAAAACCATCCAGCCAAGAGCTGAGGTCCACGGCTTCTTTAAACTGTTTCCTTTTTTTTAGGAGGGGGGGTTGTTTAAATAAATAATATCACCCGAGGCTGTGTGTGTCTGAAAAATACCTAAGTGACAGTTAACAGAGCGGCACCAGTTTGGGCTGGGGATGGCATCCCCCGGTGAAACGGCCCCAGACACACACACACCATGCTCACACCCCTGGAACCCCAGCGAGTAACACGGAGACTTTCTTACCGAGAGTCCAAACGAAGGCCGTCACCAGGGTCCAGGCCAGCAGCGGGGGGCTCATTTTATCAGGCCAGCGGTGTGTGGAGATGTGACTTGAAGCTGAAGGAAGGTGCTGACACTCTCTTTTCCTGCTATCTATCAGTCAGAGATGATGATGGGAGGAACCTCGCTGACTGAAAGGTAACACCCCGATGTGACACGCTCGGGGCCTATCAGATCGGCCCGTGTGCCGACTGTGGAGAACAGGGTCGACATAACATGCACTGAGGACAAAAAAGACATCTCATAGTTTGGCACGTGTGAACAGAAAGGAGCAAGTGAAGCTGCGTTCTCAGAATGAGTGCTGATAATTCAATCTTAAATAAATGAAATGTACTTTACAGGCCGGAGCTGTTTCCTTCACATGCATCTCACACACAGGGCAAAGACCCAGTTCCACACAAAGCGCACAAACAGCTGAGACCTGTGGTGATGTTTCATCAAAGCAGACGATGCAGCATATCAAACAATAAAAAAAAGAAAAGTTAAAAAAAGGTTGTGTATTCCCGGAGCTGCTGTTTGCAGCGCTGTAGTCTCTGCCCAGGTGTGTGACCCAGCAGAGCGCATGGGGGGGGGGGGGGGGGGGGGGGGGGCAGCACTGCATGGAGCCCAGGCTCATGACATGGCTGACACAACCTCTGAGCCTCACATTTTTACGCCGCTCCCGAAGCGAGCAACGCTGAAACTTTCAGACAAAAGCCTGCACAGTTTTAGCATGTTGCATTTTTCTTCCGTAAGAACCAGCTGTGGAACTTTTCAGTGTATAAAAATGGAGCAATTTTGCTCCTTATTGGGAACACATCGCTCTTCTTTAAAACTTCTCACAAAGGCACGTTGTTTTAATTGACAGGATGCTATTAGGCTCATGTTGCCTTTTAAATCGAGAGCTTTCTTGACTCCGTGCATCGATAATGCCTTCTCAACCCATCTCGGGTCTTTCTCGTTTTGAGGAACTACTGCAAAAAGAAGTGAGATGTCTTCTTTACGTCCCATGTGAAAAAGAAGGGGCAACGGGGACCATTTTTTCCTCAGCTAAACTAGATTTTTCTTAGATTCATAGGCCCTTTTGTGCCTCCACATTTAAAGTAACACATGGTATGACTACACTCACTTTTCATCCACTGACTAATCATCAAAAATCTCTCCCCATTATGCATGAATCCACACTCTTCAGTTATTACAGATGTTGGGTAATCTGATGGAGAACGTGTAAAACACAGATTTTTACAAGCGATAGGGTCAGACACACAATGCAGACTTCATTTTAAGTATTTTTTCCACCACTAAAGGCAACATTTTCATCAGACTGTGTTCGGGCCCCTGAAGCCAAAGTGATTCTGATTCTCTACTGGCTCCATATTCCTTTGATCTGGATTTCTTTTGTGCCTGAATGAAAGGTTAAGAGAACTCAATGGTCGTGCAGGGGTCTCAAAGTGAGAGGATGTGGGCAGCCTACAGCTTTACGGGGATGGGGGATTCGAGCGAGACAGGGAACGAGACCACAGGATTCTTTGAAAACAGGAGATCTCAGGGGGCTTCAGAGGTGCTCTCTACAAATGGCAGAGCTGTGAAGCCTTTGTTGGTCTCTGCTTTAGCGCTTCAAGTCAAAAGCGGAGAGGCTTTTTGCCTCTCGTGTTATTTCCCCACTCTTGTCAGCCAGTTTGGTAAGACTTTCAGTTAGCTGTTACACAGAAACATCTGCATTCACACACCTATCGCCATATCTTTCAAAGATACCTTTATTTGGTTGTGGGTAACAGTCCCTTTAGGTTCAGGTCCCCGGCCCGTGCTTCAGATGAGGCTGACTTTAAAGCCTTTAAAGGACAGACATCGCCACCACAGGCCCAACTGACACCGAACACATTAAATCATAATCTCACACATTGCTACAAACATGCAAACTCTTACAAAAAAACGGAAAAAATCAATAAAATGTTCCACTTTCAGTGCATCTGCTCTCAATAGCGCAGGCCAGGCATAATTCATAGGAAATTGGAGGAGTTTAAAGATAGAACTGCTATTCTCATAAATTCATAGTAATGTCAAACTGCTGACTGGCAGTTTGGAGCATTTGGGGCGACCCCCTGCTCTCAACACCCTCTTAATATGTGGATTTGTGTGTGGCAAGAATAATGTGTAACTTATTTCAAAAACCCAAAATGTCCTTGTTCCTTTTGGCACTGAGCGCTACATGTGTTCAACTAATAGCAGACAGCTTTTACACTTGAATTCTGAGGTTTGTGCTGTGAGCTGTCCTCATTTTAACCCGAGCACCTGTACGACCCCAGACACTGGAGATGCAAATCCATCCACAACACATGAGCATGCACACTGTGCATTGTAGGGTAAGGAAATGCCTTGGCACAGTTTTTTTGTCTTTGTTTGCCTCTGACCTGCTGCGCTGTATCAGGATCAGAATTTATTCATTTTGTTTTTCATACATGCAGCACATGGTGAACCTCTATCCACTTCTCTACAGCCTTCCTTCAGCCTTTGAATCTGTGAGTGACAGCACCCAAAGCTTTAAAAGGAATGACATTACTAAGCTTACAGCGTCTCTGGTGATTTATTCACTTTCCTCTGCCTTTCAACTTGGCTCATCAGCGCCACCCACAGACAGGTGCAGGGATTACACTGTATAAAATTACTGCCAAAGTAACAAACTCTTAAAATTCAAAATGGCTCATTGTAGTGATGCGATTCAAAGACTAAACATTTTTTGACAAAAAGATAGGGGATAGAAACACTGCAATTTGCTGTACACAATAATTGGAATATATTAGCTGATATTCTAGTAAAAACTTAAATATGATAGTGTCTTATGAAAATTTAAATGGTTGTTCAGTGAACAGAGCTCACCTGACCCCTCTAATTTAACAACCCAGAATGGAGTCGTCCCACAGCTTCTCCTCCTCTGTCCTAGTGTCTACTTTGTCTTTAGTTTTCCTTTTCTCTCTCTTAAACTTGAGTCTGGCAGACTTGTCATGTCCACTCTCATGTAAGTTAAGGTCTTTCACTTCTCTCTTCTCTGTTATGTGCTTTGTCTCCTCCCCCCTGTCCACATCAAAGTTGTCATGTTGGCATTTTATTTCTTTTTGAAACTGGTGGCCATGACTTTTAATCTTTTTTGTGCTTCTCTCCTCCCCTGAATCCAATGACTCCTCTCTTCTCCCCTCTTCAGAATCAAGATCTCGCTCTGTCCTCTGTCTCTTTCTCCTCCTTTCCTCCCTCTCGGACCCCTCAGCCGCATCCCTTTTTGATATTCTCACCTTTCTCTTTTCCCTGTGTCTGTGTTCACTACCCTCACTGTCACTTGTGTGAGAGCTGTAGAAGGAACACGAAGTGGAGGATGAGGTGGAAAATGTGGAGGAACTGGAAAGTCTTCTGTACCGCTCACTCCTTTTTGGTGCTATAGTAAAGGATGAGGAACCTGAGCATGGGGGGAGTGGGGGAGAACAGTTGTAGTCCCAGCCATGGGCGGGCCAGGGTGGGCCTGGAAATGAAGGATGCCATGTCCCAGGGTGGGGCTGTTTCGGGAGACTGGAACTACAGGGGATAATAGGCACAGTTTGCTTTGTATCCATCAAATCCCACGTTTCTAAAGCTTCCTGTTTTCTTTCTGCCTCCTCTCCATCCTCCTGTGGTGTGCCATCTTGAAGAGGAACTTGGTTAGGCTTTGGGGTGATCCCACGTGCCTTCTGAACTTCAATGTAATCAGCCAGCTCGTCTGCAAACGTACTGTAGACTTTTGGCTGGGATTTGCAAAGGTTGCTGACCTTCTTCTCCCTGCTCAAAAAAACATAAGCTGAAATTAGAGTCTGCCTTTGCTACATTAAACCTTTATTTAACATTATTTAACACGTCCACCTATTTTGCTCTTTTAAATCCAGTACTACATATGTTTTCTTACATGTTTTAAGACATAGTTCTCCTGTAAGATTATACTTTTATCATATCAGTACAGTAATGGATTGTTTTTTGGCTAAGCGTACCCAGCAGAGTTATAGTTAACTTTATCAGTAAGACAAACTGTTTAAGCAGGACGTATTATGGAAGAATTTCTTCCCGCTCAAAACCTCCAACATCGACTAACCCAGCTGTTTGGGCCCACATAGGTTTGGACCACATTCACAAAGTGACTTAGATATCTGAGACTGAACCAGCTCAGAGCTGATTCTACCGATTCATCTTTGTCTCCAGCCAACTTCTTCAAATCATGCTGCAGTTTCATTGAGTTAGAAATCCAAACTCTTTCTCTTACATTTTTACAACATTATTGGAAAGATACTAAAATTAATAAAACCAAACTGTCAAAGAGATACGCTGAGGATTTACCAATCAAGCAGCTGGTGCTTAATAATGACATGAGATGAAGTTTGATCTTACCTGATCTGGTGCTTGTTTCCCTGCATGTGAGCCTGGTACATCTCCACGGAGTTTAGTTGCACATCGCACATCTTGCACATCAGCGAGTTGGCTGAAAACAAAAACGTGTGCAACAAAAAGTTATGCTTAAATTATATTCCAAATCATTTATAACTCGTCTTAAAAACTGCTTAACATAGAAAGCCTTTTGGATTCTGTTTAACCTGACAAAGAAATAAATCACAAGTTGAAACTTTGTTGTTCTGCTCTATAACTGTAGTCTAACTAAAATGGCTGAATTTAAACACTGGTGTAGAGTAGCACAGCTATTAATGTGTCCAACACAGTATCCAAAAAATATTCTTCTGTAACATCAGTGATGCTTCCAAATTGCCCATTGCCTGATTTACCTTGATGTACATTATCCCGAAGCTTGTTGAGCAGCTTCTGCCTCGCCTGCTTCCTCTGGTGTTTGCGTCCATTGTAGTGCTGCAAGGCCATCTGAGGGTTGTTAAAGGAGGCAGAACAAAGGGAGCAGTACTTGTTGGGATCCGTATCGGTGCTCAGGGAAGCTGTGGCAGCTACTGGGTCAAGATGAAGCTGCTTGTCACCCTCTGAAGACAATTTCTGGTCAGAGTTTTCAGGACCCTTAGAAAGGCGTGGCCATGTAAGCACTTCTGTGTCTGTGAGTGAATAAATTACAGGGAGTTTGTGTTCATACCTCTGATAATAACATGAAGATGATTCATCAATCATGATCAGATTCACCACTAATCTGTAAATATGATAGTCCAAATCACCACAGTTTTTGTCAGTAACATAATGAGCTCTTACTGGGCTGATGAAGACTTAGTTTCCGTAGATTTTTTGCATGGACTTTGCCTTCATAGTGCGACTTTGCCACCACGGGGGAACTAAAGACCATGTTGCACAGCTTGCAGAAACGGTTTTTATCATTCGGCATGGTCTGCTGCAAAGAAAAAGATAATTAAGACACTTCACTGGTGCAAAAGAGAAAAAAATAAAGATGTTAAATCAGTGGAATCTCCTAGTCTTTGTGCCCCTTAAAGAACTATGACAATTACTCTCATAAACCTAACAATAAACCTACTGAAAGCTCACTGCAGTGCATCTCAAATATGTCAAGGAAAGAAAAAACAGCTTAAAGAGAGCACCAACCTGGGATCCTTCAGTCTTCTCTGCTCTCACAGCCTTAAGGTATACCCTGACTTTCTGAGCATGTCTCTTTCCCTAAAGCAGAGGGATAACAGAGGTATTATTATAAAGGCTCCCATTTTCGTTAACATGGATCCACAGTTATGGAATCTAGTGTGGAAAAGCTCAGCATACTTCATAGTGGGACTGGCGGTGAGAATCAACCAACAGCTTGGAGCAGCACACATGGCAATAACTGTCTGTGAGCAGCCCCTTTAGAAGCTCCTCATCCGTCTTTCCTCCTGTAGGACAGCAGGGTGGATGAAAAGGAAAGGTTGTTTACACATAAGTAAATAAAATGCCAATTATTAAACTACACAGAACTGGTATGTTTATTTTGTTTTTGCTGTACAGGGGGAGAAAAGGTGATGGATTCAAACACTTTGATGAAGCTCTGCAAAGTCGAAGCCTACATTTATCTCTTTGTTGCTCTAAAATCTTTAATTTAAATACATTTTTACATAGAAACAAAATCCCATCTCAAAGAACTTTATCATAAAATCCAATAAAAGTTAACCAGAATGTAAAATGACACAATAACGCTCCTTTTGAAAAAACAAGAAGCTTCCAATTAAACGTTGAACTCATTGTTCAGATGTGTGGGGAAAAGTTTTCAATCATTGTCAAACAGCATAAACTACAAGGATATATATTTTCTATAACTTTAGATTTAGTAAGCAGCGCAAATTATTCTAAACTAAAAATACCTGTATTACAGCAACTAAACATCAAGTTAGTGAAGTACTTTATCACACACCAGCCGAGCGTCACGGAGAGAACTGGGGATTTAACTGAGCCCATTCATGTGTTCATAATTCTCCACTTCTCCAATGATGCTTCAATCTCGTTCTTTGAGGTATTCATTGCTCCACAACATTAATTAAATCAATTTATTGATAACCCTCATTGGAACTAATTTGTATATGTGTATATAAATGAACAAATATTCATGTTGTAATAAATAATTCAGGTCTATAGAATACTTGATAAAAATGAATAAAGGATTGATTAAATATTATGTATTTTTATGAAAAAGATAACATCCTGTTAGTGAGAGCTGAATACAGAGCAGTGATGGAAACTTCAAATGACCTCGTTTCAAATGAGTGTTTACATGAATAGACCTAAGTCAAAATAAAAATGAAGTATTTTACAAAAGTAGTGCGTCCCCACACAATCTGCTATGCAGGGTCTATACAGGCTAGAACTCCCATAACATAATACACATACTCATCCATCTGCTGATAGTTAGAATGCTTTACTTACCAAGTGACAGCCACAGTAGCAATTAACAAGAGCAAATTGTCCTACAGTGGATGTGTAATGTTGGAAAGAAAATTGTGTTTGGTTACAACTTTTGGGGGCATTTGTTTCTATTATTAAACCAGAACACGGGACTCATGTGGGTCTCTGATCCCTCACAGCCCACCTGATGACACTGTGCCTTTACACTCTTATATTTGCCACTGATTCTATAGTTCCACTCTATTTTTGACTGAACATAAATTAAATGGATAATCAACTAAATGAATTTCCCCTCCTAATATGTTGTGGTCTATCTCCTCCTTAAAAGGAGTACATGGTTATATTGGATAAAATTACCGTGGAAAGTTTTATTGAAACGCTTAGGGGGTTTACTTCGAAAACACAAAATTACTAGACGGAGTTAAGACAATTCATATCTCAAATGTCTTTAATCGTCATGATGGTTAGAGGGTAAAAACTTAGCTGAGGTGGGCTATACTGTCACCGCTCTGTGTTTTACATCCATAAAACACTGAGACCACACTCTCGGGTGACGTTAGCCTATTAAACTAAGCAGCTAGCTAGCAAGTTAGCTAGAAAAGCTAACGCTGGCGCGACAGTAAGGGTACACAACAGCTTACTTTTCACGTTCTAGACACAACTCACCTTCAACCTGGGGACTAAATTTTTTAGTGTTTATTATTGTGTCAGCATCTATGGAAATTGCCGCATTAGGGGTACTATTAATGTTCTTTTGGGCGTCTGACTTCGCATTACGCGAAGTACAGACACTTCCATCCTCCATCTTTCTCCCTAGCCGCCTGGCGCATGCGCACTGACGTCAAAATAGTTTTGCCGTTTCTTTGAAAAAATGCATTGGAAAGTCAGGCTGAGACAAATCAAGAATTTGTTGAGAATGGATAAATCATAGAATATCATCAGTGTCCGTGTAGCAGACCAAGATTATGAGTTGTGTAAGTTTATTAGCCTTTCTCTATTTCCTTAAGAACGCTTCCTATTACCTTCCCTTGACCAATAATGATTTCCATTGAGATAAAGGAAAATAGGTTAAGAACAGGTGAGAGATTTACGTTTCTGTTATTCATCCAAGACACTTATTTCACTTTAAGCTGTACATATGTGCAATCACAGGAAAAAGTTATTGTCTTATGAAAGCTGGGCCAGCATTTTAAATTAAACATTTTGTCACATCATTCTATTAGACGTTCATCATGTCACATAGTTTTTCTTTGCTTCATATTATCTCAGATTTATGTTAGGGTCAGTGCTGGGGTTAATTCTTTTGGAATAGATTAAAGTTTTGATGCGTCAACTGTGCATCATCTTTCCATATTCTCCAATGGGGTCCCCTCCTTTGCTTATCCTGACACATTAATGTCTCCTAACATATGTAAATATAACCTTTGAGATAAATCTGACGAGAAATAAATATTTTTTTCTTTGGAGCATGTATATTTTATTTCTAAACTATAATTAGATGGCATTATGATTTAATCATGGGATTTTTCATAATTTTATTTAGAACTCATCAACTTTTCATGCGATGATGTGGCTTCAGCTTTGAATAACTACAAGTTGCTTATTTCTCAATGCCATTCCCCTAAAGTAGGTTTTGATATTTCTCTTCTGTTTCTCTCATAACCGCCCAACAAGTAGATTCACTTCTTTAGCTGATCGGGTCAAAAGAGACAGCACATCCAATATCAACAGTACGCACTTCTATGAACACAGAATAAGTCTACTCTTTATTTAATATAGAAAATGAATAATCAAATCAACAAATAACATTTGATACAGATACAAACATTTAAAAAACAAAAAATTAAAACTTGACATTAATAAGAGATGAGTAGTCCATCATTGTAATCATATCAGAGCAAACCTGAAATGACTAGTTCAATCATCACGCTTTACATGTGTGCTGTTCAGTCACACTCCTAATCTAATAAATGCATTTTGTACCATGTTAATATCCCTTTTCATCATTACCTCTTCAGCTTGGGAGATTCTATTTTTCCACTTAATGCATAAAATCCACACAAAGCCTATGCCTGTTCTGTACACCAAAGAAGAACAAATCAAGAAAAGACAAGAAGAACAAAGTCAAAATCAAAAGATTTTTTACAGGGCACATGAACAAAAACAATTGCCATGGCAAACAAGAAATCATTGCTGAAAATAAAATGTACAGACACGTGTAATGAAAAAAAAAAAAAGATTTCTCCAAGGCAAAGAGGGTGAAAACAGAGAAGCTGTCACTTTCTCTTCTGGAGCTCTCTGGCCAAGGCATCCAACTGTAAAAGAGACATTTCGAATGATATTATACTGATGATGATCAAGTATATAGAACAGAACTGTTCATACCAAAAACTTCACAACAACACAAAGGTGCTAATAATGTAAGAATGGTTTATTTATAGTTTCTCATTTGCTCACTTACAACAATATTTCTCAGAACGTTCCTCCTCTGAGGTCTTGAGTAGCTGCATTCCCCTGCCTCACATAGCTTTATCTCCTCTGAAATCTGATTTACAGAAAAACAAAGTGAGATTTACATGTTGACAAAAGGGTAAACAGCTAAAGAGCATCCTTCAGCATGAGAAAAACTGACACCCAACTGACCAAATGATGCACATACACAAAAAACACTGACCTCTGACATGCCAAAGGAGTCTAGATCCCTCTTGCCTCCAGGGTACCAGCCATGAGACCAGTGCTGCGCGTAGGAGAGCTGAGCCCCCACAAATAGAAGCAGAGCAAGCAGCAGAACCAGCCGAGACATGATATTCTTCCTAAGTCTGTCTGCAAAAGGTTGTCATATAGATAAGTTTAAAAAATATGTTCTTGATTTTTTTCTCTTCAGTAATTTACATCAGAATATTTTTAGTTATATTCTTAAGAAACACCAGCAAAGAGACCATAATGCAATGGACATATGTATTGTACTGTAAATGTGCAAATCAATGTATGTTTTCAAACTGCCAAAGATCTAAACAGGTAACTGTGTTTGGACTGACATTAGAGTTACAATACTTCCAGAACTTTTAGCAATATATCCAATATAAAAGTTTTTTCCCCCCATTTTGTGCTGCGTTGCTCAAGATGAAAAGAATATACTGAACTGAAATGAGGGAACATCAAAAGGCTTCAAATACAAAATAAAAGGACATTTTTTACCTTGCTCTTGAGTGTTCCTTTCTGTCACTGCTCACAGCTGGATTTTAAGTTGATCTGCTTTTTAGGTTCTCAAAATGCATTTATACTGCAGGGATTCCCCTCATCCTCTCTCTCATCCCTGTTAAATGCACCAGTTTCCAAACCACCCCTCCCAACATCGAGGCCGACTCATCACTGACCTCGGTGGTCTGGGTGAAATGAACCATCCCTGGGGACAAGAGGTAAAGAAGACCTCACTTTGTTTCAATTATCATGTGCAAACTGAACTGACACCTATGGTTTGCTCATCTCTGTTTTTTTAAATGCTTTAATTATGATTTGACATGATGTCAACATGAATCTGTCTTCTACTTTCTTTCTTTTTAATGTTTCAGAATACAAAAGATAGATAAGAGGAACATTTAAAAATGCTTTAAGAAGTATTAGTCTCCGAGTTGTAAAGGCTGGGCGGTGTCTGAAATCAATCTACAACTCCAATTTGATCCTGCTAGACTTAAGATAAAACTTTTCATCCATTACCTATACCTGCTTATTCACTGGGAAACTTAAGCCTATCGCGGCTGTCATTGGGCGAGTTACACTCTGGAGAGGTCGCCAGTCCATCGCAGGGCCATCATGCTTTTTTTTTAAATTGACGGTGGGAGGAAGCTGGAAAACCCAGAAAGAACTCCCACATACAACCCAATCACATAAAACTGCTGTAAAAAAAAAAAGAGGAAAACATCAGATTTAAACACAAATAGAACGTAGAACCATTTTTTTTGTCGTTTGATCATAATTATTCATCAAACATCTTCGTCTGCTGACATCACAGCGAGGGAAGATTCAGTGACATCTGAGCATCAGACCAGCACACACAGACAATTCCCAATAATGGCATTTGCAGCAGTGCCTTTTTAGAGTTTTCGATACAGACTCAGGTACCGACTTGTTGATGTGTGATGAGTTTCCATTTACTCAGGGAACCTGCTGCCTGAGACCCTTTGACACAAACGTCTCACTGAAGAAATAGTGGCCACAAATGCAACAGCTCATGTTGGCTGCATAAAACAACAAATAATGGAGAAATCTAGAGTTGACATTGCTGTTTTGCCAATGATGCTTGGATCAGATCAACACATGACCCGCAAATACATTGTGCACTGTCCCTGCTCCAGCTTCAGATGAGTGACATGAAGGGGACTGAGATCAGAAGGGCCTGTCCATTATGTGCCTTTTCTGCTGAACGGGCTGTACTTTCTCTTTCACAGTAAACAACCTAGCAGCAACTTTGTGAGTGTGTTTCCGCAGCAGAGACAGCGGTGTAGTAAAAGAAAAAAAAACACTCGGGCTACCCCTCTTATTCTTTGTTCCTCCAAAGAACATCTTGCTGCCATCCCTACAAGCACTGTAGTCTCCATCGGCCCCCTGTTGGTGGAATGAGCTATCAACTGCTACCAGAGCAAAGGTCCCCGTCAACACATTGAGTGACATTAAAGTTGCAACTGCTGGTCCTCTGACAAACTACTTTTAAATCTAACTTGCAAACATATTTACCTCACAATCATCTAAATTTAACTGCATTTCAATAACAAAAGATACTGAAAAATTCCTATTCATGTCAGTTCTTTGTTTTTTTGTTAAACACAAATATAGTTTACTTTTTGTAGGTCCCAAATTTTCCCACTTTTCAGGAGCTTGTTCAAATATAATGACTTTCGTGATAAATAATGATAAAATAATACAAGTACTCATTTAAATCTGATTAACTACTCAAATGATTAAATATATATATATTGTTATCGGTTTAGGGAGTTGATACGCCTTCATCTTCAGTGTGTGTACTTTTAGTACATCATTTGTGACCAGTCAACAGTTCTGTGGTTAAATTAATTGTCAAAGACAATAAATACAGACAAGTGTTAAAATCTCAAGCACTTTATTACATTTGAACAGCATCTTGCTTAGAAAGGCCATTTGGCATTATATAATTATATATAATTTCATCATATATATAATTATATACACATATATTCAAAAGTTGAATAACAAAACAATAGAAACAAACTCAGGGGGGGGGAAAGGATTAGCTTAAGACAATTATACCAAGTCTAAAATGGCCAGGAAAAAAAACAAAAACAAAAAAACATCTAATACATTTCAAAAATGGTCCCAATACAGTTCAATATACATGTTAAAAGAAAGAAAATGAAAAGAAATAGGGGGCTGAAATTAAAGAAGAAAAAAAAGCAAGGCTGCAGGCAGGAATGAAATATAAATAACCTTACATTATGTACAAAAGGGGTAGTAGTGAGTGTTGACCACTGAGGGAAATGGTCTGAGGTCAAAGTAGAAAAAAACAAAAAGCTAACTGTGCCTGGAGTTGGATGAGAAACATGAAGGGCATAAAACTGTAACAAAAAAACATAGAATACAGCTTTAGTTTTAAACAATCTTCATTTCTTGACATGAAGATGTATTGTGTATTTTCAAAGCATAAAAATTGCTCCATTGGGACAAAAAATGGGGGTCATTACTTTCAAGCTAAAAAGAGAAGGCAAAACAATCTTTTCTTATGGGGGAGAAGAAAATCTACACAACTTCAGAACTCACAACTGATTTCTTGTCATGGTCCTAACAGAAGTTGATATGGAATGAAATGAGGCTGCTCTATTAATATAGAACAATTACAAAACAGCCTCATTGATACACGGATCACCATTTAAAGATCCACAAATACAAAACTGAAAGGAAAAGAAGACCCATCTGCTCTTAGTTTTGGCCCAGTAGACTTCCCTTACACAGAGGATTTGTCAAAGGTCTGTAGGTGACAGCTGTGGAAATGCATGCCTGCTAAGAATAAGAGAGGGACGACCATGGTGCCTGTGCATGCGGTACTTTAAGTTTGCGGAATTCATTTGCTTAGAAAAACCTACACGTGAGGCACTTTTCAAATCTCGATTGGTAATTGAGTCCTCATGGGTTGGCACAGTGTTTGGCTGTAAGACTGCAGTGGGACATTGTGATCCCGTCACATGCACAAAATCAACCCCATGAAAGTTTAAGCACAGGTGGAACAGCAAAGCATCAACTCCTCCTCCAAACCCAGTCAGCGGCAGAGCCAATAAAGGAAGAGGATGATGGCACTTAACCATGAGAGTGGGCACTTGTGATGCTTTGGAAAAAAAAAACAGACGACCTGACATGAAGATGAGGATACACACACACACAGCCAAAAGTGTCAGTGAGCGGTCAATCTGCTACTTTAAGCCCATGTGGGGGGCCTTCCAGGCTGGTTCTGCGGCAGCTTTAAGACCTGAAGAAGCTTTTGGAAAATTCAAAACACAGTTTCCAAGTTTTTAAATTCAAGTCCATACCATCATTCTGAGCTCAACTCTCATTTGGTTCTGATCTTTGAAGGGCTTTGCTTTGGGTGCAAATAGGGCATGAGCCTGAATTATCTTGGTGCTCTCTCAAAATTCAGAATGTACTCTTGCATGACATCCAGAATAAATACATTATGATTGTGCTCATAGCATTATTAAAGGTTAATAAATATGGGAGTGTTGGTGTGGTGTAGGTTGTGCACACGGGTGGGGAAAACTCTTTTTTCTTTAGTTTAAGAAGGATTGAAGTGGCTTGAAAATTCCTCAAAGAATTAATCTTCTGTATTGTCGGTATATAAAGCTCCCTTGGACAGATCTTATCTGAATACTTTTGCTTTGGTAGGAGCTAAAACAGCTCATGGAAAGAAACCCAAGGTAAATTTGCTCAATCAATATATTCAAACAATGCTGGCTTCAGTCATTTCCTGAGCCGACGGAGCTGAAATTAGGAGCAACCCAGCGGTTAACTGACATCATTTATCTTTCATTACAATCACACAGGGCCTGGCCTCAATAATGGCCACGGCTGGAATAAACACATTATAGTTCAAGTGTCCTCACAGGGCATTCATGATAATAGAAAAAAGAAAACGATTTTTTACGTGGCATCGCACGCCTCCACCATGAAAGTAAGATTGTGTCCATTTTTGAGGAACACGTTAGCAAAAAGTGAAATGAAAAAAGAAGATAATGTTCTTCAGCCTTAGTTTTCATGGTGGGGAAATTTAAGGGCCTCATTCTCTAAGATGGCGGCAGGCAGAGTGGGGTGATGATGGTATAAAAATATACAGGGGAGAGAGCCTATCTTTGCACAGTCAGAGATAACCCACACACAGGAGAAATTCTCCAGACACACTGGTGTCTGCCTGTAAACAAGGAAAGCATGGTGGGTTTGGGGGATTTGCTGCCTCCTGTGATGCAGGAGTTATTTATGACTGTGTTTCCGGTTTGGCTCTTGAAGACAAGACTTGCAAATGAAAAAAAACAAAGACAGAGGCTTCATATACCCAACTTTTATGGAGTACAAAATCAATTTTCAGGATTCCTTTTTTCTTTTTTGAATGATTGAATTCTAATAGTTTCTGTTACAGAAACAATAGATCAATGCAGTCATGACTAAAACTCAAGAACCATATGCACTAAATGAGAGAAGGGCTTTGGTACGTCGTGGAAAGACGATAGTGACGTAAGAACACTTCTCTGCCAGCTTGTAATCCAGTTAAAACACACATCCTCCGAAATAGCTGTCTGCTGATATTTAGCGTGTAGGTTGGTGTGTGAAATCCTGAGATCATGGGCTACAATGCAGAAATTCTGCTCTCCAAATGTGTGAGATCTTCCAACAGTTGAGCATAAGAAACACTGTGAATGTTACATTGTGTTTTAACCGAGTTTGTGGAGATAAAACTGTAACTTTGTGTATGAATGGTAGTAGTAGGGTTGTAGGTTAATGTAGAAACTTCTGCTACTGCACACATGCTTCCATTCGCTACAGCGAGGCTCAGTCAAAAGTCAAAAATATGAATTCTCTGTCACTAAAAGTAACCCCCCCTCCCCCTCCAAAAAAAAAAAAGAAAAATCCAAACACCATCATCTTGACTCTTGATGTTGCACATTAGCCACCCAAACATGATTTATATTCATATATATATATTTATACTTTTTTATATATCTTTATATACCAATAAAATACATAACAGGTGGCACTCAAAATTGCAGCCAAACTCCAAACTGTGTCTAAATCCAAAGTAATAAAAAGCAACACAGTAAGTATATATACATATTGTGGAGTGAAGATGTCAAGCAAACAAAGGTAATGGGGGGGGGGGTGTATTAACATCATTACAAAATATTCAAGAAGGCATCTCAGTTATTTTCTGTCCAACTGCTCCGCCCTGTCCCTCGGACGTTGACCTCTGTTCCCTTTTCCCGCAGACAGTTCATCCCATCCACCGGTCAACTAACGGCGAGTGTCTCTGAAAGGTCCACCAGGCGGGGAGCTCGGAGTTCTCTGCACGACAACGCTATGGATGTGTTCTGGTACGCGCTAATGCTTGTAAGAAATGCATGTGGTTATCCATCCGCCAAAGGCTAGTCCCTACTTGAAGTTGGCGTAGTCGGAAAACGCGTCAATATACTCTTGGACCACTTTGTAGCAGAACTCGTACTGCTCCTGAGGGTTGGGAGAAACAGCCACATCAGCTGAAACCACCAATCTGATTCACAAGTCCCTGATCTGTAGGCTGTATCTCATTAAAAACATTTCCAACATCAATTTCAGTCTCTATTTATTTATCTCTTAAATAATAAGATAGAACTATCTAAATAATAATAATAATAATAACTATATATGAATATAATAATAACTTCTCTCAATAAATTCTTCTCTATTGATAAATCGAAGCTGGTGAATTAACTTTAAGGAATAGTTCACCAGTTTGGAAAATATACAGCCTCCGTTTCCTGGTCAGTGTTAGATTAAAAGGAGAAGGGAGTAAAACAAGAGGAAGGCCCTAACAAAGACAAGCTCACTGCCTGATGTGCTCCATGAACAAGGATTCATTCAGGCTTGATGGGCCCTTACCAGTGTCTGCACCATGTGGGGTCTCTGCAGTCTGAGGCTCTTCACGGTTTGGAAGACATCCAGGATGCCCTCCGCCTTCACCCTCTCCAGAACTGTACTCAGAGCACAGAAAGTCCCTGTCCGGCCAGCGCCAGCACTGCGGACGCAGAGCAAGAGATGTTACGAGAATAAATTACATATTTAGAGAAGAAGGGGGAGGGAAGCATAAAAGTATTTGATTTTACCAGCCTCAAAAGGCAAAGAGAATAAGAAATAAGCGTCTTCTGAAAGTTCCTGCCACAGGTGTCCTGAAGTTGCCCTACCTGCAGTGCACAGTGATGGGGTGGTTGCCAGACTGCTGCTGTTGTTTCTGCACAGCGGCAATAATGTTGATCATGCCTTTGCCGTCCGTAGGGATGCCCACCTCTGGCCAGCCGTGGAAGTGGAACAGCCGCACAGCACGGGCCTTGTTCTCCTGGACCGACATGATTAGAGTGCCTTAGAAAACCGCAATATTAATAGATAGCGCTGTAATCTGCTCCATCGTCGGGAGTGTCTGTGTGTCTGGCACCGGAACAGTTGCATGCCTGTTCGACCTGCTCTGTAGCAGCCAGAGCTGCGTGCCTGTGTAACAGAGAGCTGGCCAGGAGAAAACATGTGGGGCTAGAAAACGCTGTTAACCATCACAGCTGGGATCCCACAACACCAAAAGTGTGGAGAGTAAACAGGAGCAAAGCTACGCTGCCTGTGTTTCAGACAAGGAGAAAGATGGAGTCTTTCTGGAATGATAGCAAGATCACTATGTGGCTCTGGTTTCAGTGAAGGCAGTCTTACCCTGTTGTTGGTCACCAGGAGGTCACGCACTGTGTAACTCTCACTCTCCTCCTCCCTTTTAATCTCAATAGAGATGTCCCCATAGACCACCGATCCATCACTTGGCCAGTACTGGGCACACTTCTCCTAATGGACACAGTAGGATGGCAAAGCTCAGCCACACTGAAAAACACTCAGGAATTCTTCAAAGCCAGTGACATTCTAATTTTGGAGAAATTTCATTTGCCTACATGCACATCAAGGATGTGAATATTAAAATAGTATCGGTCACCGGTATCGGTTACATGAGCACAGAGAGACATCGACACCTGAACCACCATGTTTGCTATAAATAACCTCCAATCCCAATATTAATGAAGTCAGAAGGGATTCAATTTACAGATGCTGAAAGAATATGCAAGTCAAGATCATATCAATTTGCTCAGATAATGTACAAACAGGATATCAGTCAGTTAGTCTAGACCCTCCTATTCAGCCATTATTTTTGACCGGATATATAATACTGGTGTTTGAGCGCACACACACACACACACACACACACACACACACACACACACACACACACACACACCTGCCCTCTCTCTTCCAGCTCAGTGAGCATAACTATAGAACAGCTTCTCCACTCCCAGATCATCCTCCAGAAGTCCTCTATGGTGTGCTGCAGGGGCCCTTGACTGGCCATGTAGGCGTCCTTCTGACGGTAGCCCTGTGAGGACAAGGAGAGCCGTCCCCATGGAAGAGATGGGAGTGACAAAGAATAAGCAAGCGTTAGCATATCAGATAGCTAATGGAACGATCCCATGAATGAATTGAAATGATCCCCTCTGATACAGGCTTTACTCTTTTGTCCACGCCCGATACGTACATCGATGAAAGAGGCGTTGACATAGTCGGTGTTCTCCTCCCCTCGTTTGACTGGAATGATTACTCTGTTGAACTCATCTGTTAGAAACACAGAGAAGCATTTCCCCTGACTGAACGGTGCTTTGACATAAGGACACCTGGAATCATATCATGTGGACCTTGACATTAGTGGCTACGTGTAGACCCAGGACTGTGACCTGGTGCATCTCTTACATGGAATGATCTGTAGAACTCTGTTCTTTTTCATGTTGACAGGCAGGTTGCCCGTTCTCATTTTATCATTCTGAATCTTGATGGATGTAAGCTTCTAGAGGTGACAAGATCACAAATTAGTTCACGCAAAGTAAATAAACAAAAAACGAAACAGTTCAAGTGACATGATCTCATAAGCGATGAGCAGGTAAGACGATGAAGAACATTTTAGAAGAATGCAGCACCCAAGCAGACCTTGAATTCTGCCTCCAGCCCACTGCAGCCAGCTCCAGGTGAAGGGGCGTATAGCTTAGCCAAATGGGACTCCAGTGAGGTCACCTCCAGCTCTGTGTCACCATACAAGTAGTGCTCTAACAACGCCTGGAAGATGAAAACGTACTGCATCTGTGGGAGAGCAGACACAGATCACTGTCAGATGCCGAAGCCTGGTGATTCATGTGAAATAGCTACAGCTCTGTGGTACTGTGCAACATTCCTCAATCCTTATCATGAATACATGCGGTATTTGTCAACGCGGGACTCACATCTGTCTGCACCATCTGACAGCGCTGGGCTCTTATTCTGGTGACAAAGCCAAACACGTCCACCTTCCTCTCTGAGTTCATCATGTCTAACATGGCGTCAATAACTATAAAGGTACCCGTCCTTCCCACGCCGGCACTGGCAAACAGAAATGCGCTCCTGTAAGTTGTATGTAACACACAGACAGACACGAGGAAGGCACAAGGAGAAGAAGACACTTACCTGCAGTGAACTACAATGGGCCCGGCATACTGGGGGTTGAACGTCTTCACTTTCTTTAAGAACTTCAGCATGCCTATGGGTGTGAAGGGCACCCCGAAGTCTGGCCAGCTAGTGAAATGGAACTGGGTGATAAGCTTCTGAGGCTTCTTCCCAGAGACGTCTCCAACCTGGGACACAAATACAACCAAAATCACTGGACAGATCAACACGTTTTCACATTTAAGACACGGGGTTGTAACAGAACCTGCTTCATCACTATGGTGAAAGCATTTGGTGCTTCAGGCAGAGGAGGCTGCCATTCTCAGTTTAAGTTTGGACAATATATAGGTCAGGTCAGACACATAACGAAAGTAAGGGTTTTTTTTTCAGAGATTGTACCACACAAAATGAAAAACATATGCCGAGGTTCCACATGATTTCCCTTTTCCATATAAATGAGCTGCTCGTGGTACCTGTTGGATGTAGAACTTGCGGATAGTGTAGTCCACCAGAACCACTGTGTCCTCTACAGACACGCGAATGTTCCCATATGTCCAGCAGCCCTGGTCCGGCCAGTACTGCGCGCACTTGCACTAAAAACGGGTTCGAGAGAGATGAGTTCACAGCCTCCATTCACGAGGAACTAGTCTCTGTGTTTCACAATCCTAATGGAAGAAGCACCACGCTCCTTCCAGCTCTACCCCTCCTACCTCTTTTCTCTCCTTCAGATTGGTCACCATGACAATGGTGGCCGTATTCTGCTCCCAAATCATCCGCCAGAAGTCATTAACCGTCTCCTCCTTTGGCCCTGAGAGATCAGCAAAGCAACCAGGAGCATTAATAACCGCGTTTATTAAACAACACCAGCACAGTTGTTTTTATTGCTACAACCCAGGTGTCAAGCTCACCTTGAGCAGCAATAAACTTATTCTTCTCTTGGTAGCCCTGCAATATAAAAAAGAGAACAGAAAGGGTGATGTTGGCAATAGTCAACAGCCACTATCATATCAAAGAACTATATTGTGTAAAGAGAAGATGTACGAACATTAATAAAAGAGGCATTGATGAAGTCGGAGTCTGGGACTCCCTCCAGAGAGGAGAGATGCACCCTGGAGTGATCATCTGAGAAAGACATGGCAGGGGATATAAGGGTAAACAAAGGAACAGCAGAGAAACAAGGAGATCATACACCATAATGAAGCGGAACTCATTCTAACACCAGCACATGATGAGGTACATTTTTTTCCCATGAAGGCAAATTTAAGACCTGTTAATTCAATCTCTGTTCTAAATGCTTAAGTCAGAATATAAGAGCCACTTACATGGTAAAATGTTCACATATCTGTTCTTTTCTTTATTCTCTTCTTTGGAGGCAGCATCACATGATGCCTGGATGGGGCAGACTGGCAGTGCCTAAATAAGAAAAATAAAAAAGGAATTTCAACCACGTGGATGCACATCGGGTTAATAAGTTTGTGTTACACTGTACATGAATCTTAATTTATCATAGGACTCTGCGTCAATCTAAACCAGAGAAAAATTTAGAGTAACAGGAAAAAAGTGAAGAGACGCTATCCTTCAGATATGTCTGTTCACATCCTGCATCCAGCATTAACGTATGCATGTCCTGATCTTCGAAGATCCAAAAATGACTTATTTAAAATCTCTTTGGATGGCTTTTTTTCCCCTCCCACAGACAAGAACTTGGCTGAGATTTTAGAATATCCTCTGGGAACTCATACGTGTAAGAGGCCTTGGTTATGAATCACTCATTTAGGATGAAGAGCTGCAGTGTGCTACGGGTGGATGTCAGAGTGTGCCATACGTTAAACTCCTCTCTGAAGAGCTTGTTGTCGTCAGCCATGCGACGGTTCATTTCTTCCTCCAGTTTGTCCACGGGAAGGGGTGGGTACTTCCTGTTTGTGCTGGGGGAACGGGCCAATAGTGGTACACTCTGGAGTTCTGTGCCAGCGAGCAGGAAGGGAGGAGGCAGAAGCGAGGTGGGGGAAGGGGGGGGTGCGGTCGGAGGGTATTAAAGGAACGGGCAGGATCAGAAAGGTGGAGATGAAGACATGCGATACAGTGTTACAACATGAGATTGCTGCTGTCCCACCATGTGACACCAGCTTCAGTCCTCAATAACGGCCAGCAGAGGGCGGACTGACATCACAAATTAACACAAGGGAGCCAATTGCAGCTCTTTTGATTAGGTAATAGCAACAAACATTACACTGCTAACACTCAGATTGGGAAATGTTATCAGCGGGGGAGGGAAAATCAACAGAAGCTTATCAGGGAAAACTAATAACAAGTCTGGTCAAGTTTGCCGTAAACATTTACCTATAAGCTCCAAAACAATTAAATGGAGTGTTCAGCATGTTGTGTCTGCTGACAAATGCAAAGCGTGCACACAAACACACAGACACACACGTCCAGCTGTTTTACCTGTTTCATCTGACCTGCCATTGGTCAGTCTGAAGGAGGTTGAGTGGCTCCCTGCCTGCTTGTACTTCTTAAATCTGTCAAAGATCAAAATGCATATAAGCAGGAAAGCACTAACAAACAAACAAACAAAAAGCTCCACCAGTAAAACCAGTCCACATTGGCGTCGGATCTCATTTCACCAACCTGAGCATGTAGAGGATGATGACGATAAAGATGATGACCAGCAGGGAGGAGAGGGCCACCATCACCGCTATGATTGGCATGTCATCGGAACCATCTGCACCAGATTGAGAAAGAACAGGCTCAAACCAACGCATGACGCAGCTGCTTTAACAAGAGATGAGTGGTGGGCGAATAAAAGCTTCTTAAACCTTATGTTGGGGGGGTTTATTCAAAACTCTGAGTAACACCTTACATTTCACACCCTTTTTTTCTCTCTCCGACTTTCAGATTTAAGTGGTGGCTCTAACCAAGAGGTGTTTTTGTCCTGCTGACCATTGAAATTGCAGCCATGGCTCTCTTCACCTTCATTTAGGTAGGGACTTTGTTTACCCGAAATAACTGCCAGGAGGCGTTCCTGAGGTGTCTGCATAGAGACTTCATTGACACCACACTGCCTGTGCAGTGAGACGTAGGTCCACCGAGCAGCTGGCCCGCTCAGCAGGAAATCTGCAGACGGGAGGACAGCTGGACCTAGGCAACAGGTCGTTTACCAGACACATATTCACGCCCAACATCCAAAAGGGAAAATAAAGTTATCTGTGAACGTTAAACAGACTAAATATAAAGTGTTAATTAGTCAGCTTTTGGACAGGCCGGCAGGTAGACTGTGACCCTTGGACTGATCCCAGTGTGGTCATCTTTTTACCAGAGGGGGACAAATCTGTCCATCAGATGTTAGTTTATGTTATGATATGACTGAGATTTTCGTACTTGAACATGACAGTGTAAGAATGTTGCTTTGTTTCAATGAGACACCTTAAAATGCTGCTTTGGGGGGAGGAATAAAACAAAGGACAAATCATGAGGAGGGGGGTGGGGTGGGGGTAGTGATTTTATCAGATGATGACTTAATTATTTGCACCCAGCAGTAAATAAAAAAAGACTCCCGGTGAGTGCTTTCCGTAAACTTTTCCCTTTTTTATATTCACAGAAAACATGGCTTTCATAAGTGTTAAATTTAGCCCCAGCTTTTTTCAGCAACAGCCTCTATCCTTCTGTTCAGTGACTGGCATCCGTGTTAATATTTAATCAGTTTGAAGAGAAAAAAAAACAAAGAAAAAACAAACCCAAAATAAGCAGGAAAGACAGAGTTCAGCGGGCTATCAGACAGAGTGTGCAGATGAATCACAGTTTAACTCGGAGAGGGTGAGCCCTTTGCCTCGGGACTGTTACACTGGAGCTGATGGCACACACAAAAACGCTCAAACATTTGGGATTTGTATCGTAAAATTCAATCTAAAATATTTAAACTCTGGATGTCCGGTGCTTTCAGCCTGTCTAAAGTTGTGACAGTGTTGCGGCCCTACGCTTTTGTGTGTGACTGGCGGGGCAGGATTGCAGTCACGTCGGCTCCCCGTTACAAATCAGACATTACACAGGCCAGATCATCTGGAAGCCCCCTGTTGATAGCTGACCGGTTTGTCTACACTTCCACCGTGTGTGCGAGTAAACTGGTGGAAGGCAACCCGGTGGTCTTCCCGGTGACCTTTTGCTGCAGCAGATGGAACAAAAGACACGAGAGTTGTCCGGACAACGAGGCCCGCCTGCCGTTTGTGCACCGATGGCCGTTCAATAAGACTCATTAGTGGGCAACAAAAGGACCGATTTTTCCGGAAAACCGCCGGCGGTGCTGACAATAGAAAGCCAAAATCAGCTGTTCCATGGATAAAATTCAAGAAAGTTCTTCACGTTACGGGCGCATGCTGCAAAGAATGCTTCACTTGACTTTGTGCTCTATAAGCGCTTTCTGGGAGAAGGATTTTGGACCGCCGCCCAGTAACGTTGCAGTTTCGCACACAATTCCAGGACTTTTCAGTGTTCTCACTGGGACAATATGTACATTGAAAAGAGCGGGGGCCAAACAGCCCGTGGGTGTCATGTGGAGCCGGCCTAGGCCGGACGGACCTAATGCCATTTGGAGCGGCTCGCGGCTCAGGCCAGACTCAAGGATGCCCAGACGGAGACAATGGAGCAATTGCATAACACCTATGAGCTAACAGCAATCGAGTTATGTAACGGGCGCTATACAGAGCAGCCGAGCCACATATGTTCCATTCATACCGATGGGTTGATACCTCCACAACATCCTCAAATGCTCCCTGTTAGAGTAACTCAAGCTAATGATGGAAGTCTTGCAGGGTGATTAAAAACACATGGATTGCTATGACATTCCATAATAAAACCACCTTTCCAAATCAATCGGCAAGAGAATTCTTTATGTCTCTATGTGAATAATTAATGTAAAGGAAGATTGTGTGTGCACGTGGGTGTGGGGGTGTCATGTTTCACCTACAGGGAGATTCCAGGCTGCTGGCAGCGCAAAGCTCTGTTAAAATAAAACTAAAGGATTTGAAATTCAAACTACTTTCCACAGAACCACAGTGCTTAAGATGCACACTGGTTATTCATACATCTTAAGAGATTATGTGCATGATGTCAATGTTTATCACTGTGATTGGATCTGCTCCACAGCATAGCTGACCTCAAAGAAGGGCCACTTCTGTCGGAGAAAACCTTTTATTTCTCATTAATGTGGCTGGTACTCTCTGTAGATGCCTGGTCAAATGCAGGTGAGTCACGCTAGGATATTGGCTGCACTGCTACAATGGAGTCTAAAAGCAGAAAAGTGTTCGGCTGCCTAAAATATTAAAGCTCGACTTTTGACCAGACGCTTGCTTTTATCTCTCACTTGCTCTTTTTAGCCCCCGTCGCATGGATAACACACAGCCTACGTTAATGTTTCATATAAAACTCCTCTGGCCTTCTCTGGGTGGAGAAACTTCTCATTTTTGGCTGGCACTTAAAACATATCTCACGTCTGGAGAAATAAAGGGGACGCATCAGAATTTATGAATTATCAAGCAAAACTGCGGAGTAAAACACCACAAAGAAAACACCTCTGACTAAAACAGGTGGACATGTCGCTGATCTCCTGCTGGGACACAATCTCATCCTCTGGTCAGCCTGAGCAGGGCTTTTTTTAAAACCTTTTTTTTTACCGTTAGTCCTGCTTATCTAAATAAACAAACAGCTGTGGTGACTTCAGACAGTCATCCATAACATGGAGAGATCTTTGTTAGTGAGAACTTTTTCAGTCAAGATAAAATGACATCTTCTGATCACAGCCTCATGTCATCCAGAGTTTTAGTGGTTCTACTAAGAAACAATAAACATTAAACAGAGGAGCTCCTTCACACCGCAAAGATGACTTCCAAACATTGGCCACAGCCTATGATCCTACACTTGTGGAAAAAGAAGCTGCAATCCAATGCAGAAGGAGGTAATAGTATGCATGAAATCTATCACCATGGCAACGGCAGCTGGATACCTGATGTGCTTACGGAGAGGTTGGGTTTTTGGGATGGCAAACCATGAACAGGTTCTCCCACCCAACCAACCAGTTCTCTCAGAAAAGTCCAAGTGTGTCTTTTTATTCTAAAAACGAAACATTGTGCTTTAACTCATAGAGTTGCTAACAGGTGCTAATCTGAGGTGGAGCCAGGCGACCAGACGCTATCGTGAATATGTTTCTGATAAATCACGTTTATCTGTTAGTCTCCAGTTTCCTGACCTCTCCCGATCACGATCGGTGCCATGCTGCTTGCTTTAGAGAATTAAAAGATGACAAATGAGAGGATACTGGGTGGGACATGTAAGGTCAGTCCTTTGCTGTCTGTCATCTTTCTTCCATATAATAATCTGGATGAGAAACAGCCCACAAGTACAGACTGAAAAGACAAAGTGGGGCAGCACTCACCGTGTGGGGGGCTGTCTGAGGTGAGCTCCTTTGGATATGTGGTGGTCTCTGGGGCGACATCCCCGCTAGTGCTACTCTCCACCGGTGGTGTGTCTGTGGCCGAGGGTGTGGTCTCAGTCAGATCCTCGTGGTCTGTGATGGTGGGGGGAGGGGGGGGCTCTGTGTCTGGTGGTGCGTCGGTGGATGGAGGAGGTGGAGGAGGAACTGGCAGCACACGCACAGATGCATTGGTGCCAGGAGGCTGGGCCTGGTCCTGGTCTCCAGCGGGGATCGCTGCAGTGGTGGAAGCTGTGGTTGTTGTTGGTGTTGGTGCCGTTGTTGTTGTTGTTGTTGCTGCTGTTTTTACTGTTGTCCACGCACCGACTGTGGGCGGGGCTGTTGTGAGCAGGCTGGGGGCGGTTGATGGTGGGACTGTGGCGTTGATGAAGGGTTGAGCAGGAGGGTCCGTGGGCTTGGCCGTGATATTAGGAGGACCTTGTAAATAAGATGATGAAACCGGGTCAGTTGACAGTTCAACACTCTGTATAACCGGGTGTTGGAGTAAAGGCGTTTAAGAGGATGCCCTTCTTACTTGTGATGTAGGTTGCATCCTGGGCCGAGGCCCCGAGGGCTAAACCCAGCAGCAGGAGCAGGGGACACACACCCATTCTGCCCTGTACGGAGGAGACACAAAAAAAAAATCAACCTAAAATGATACTTAAATCAGTGTCGATTCTGAACCTGATAAAATAAAAAACGCAGATCTTTACGGTTTTGCTTTTTTGTGTTAAGACTGCTTACCTGAAGAAGTGAAGGTGGCATCAATCACTCATTCGCACAGTGTGGTCCTACAAACCAAACCAAGAGAGAAACAGAAGACACGTAAGAATCCCAAAGGGGCCCCAGCATGGCTGTTAACCTGTGATCATGCAAAACGTGCAGCCCATCCCCTGAAAGGGTTAATAAAATGCAGAATTCAGGGGCCCAAATGAATGATTCCATGGAAATATCAGTTAAAGGACAACAAAATGAGTAACTGAGGTTTAAACATCACCCTTTTCAAACCGTGATGGTGGGAGCAGCGTTAGAATGTGAAACGCAGACAGGTGTTGGTCGTAATGTTCACGTCAGAGCATGTGAGGTCATAACGTGTGCATCAGCAAACCGGCATTTTCCTGGCGCTGAACCCGACGGAAAACGGAATTAGTGTCACACCAACATTCCTTTGGGTAACAGTGTATCCATTCACCGGCTCCGCCGCTAACTTGAGGATGAGCGGCAGCCGGTCGGACTTGAGGAGAGCCTGATGAAAGGCTGGTGGTCGGCCTGGCTAAATGTCAGTCGTTTGTGTAATCCCAGCGGCTAACTGAGCTGTGATAATCCCTGGATCTAATCCCATGGCACTGAACCTGGCATGATACAGCCCGCTGGCCTTTGCTTACAGCCGTATTCCAGCGGCTCCGGCCCTGGACGGCGCCGGACGCTGGCACACGCCGGCCGGCGCTTTACATCACGGATTACTGCACCAGCGGGCAAAGCATACATCGGACGCTCGGAGCTCTCATAGTGTCGCTTTCCAATCCTCTGCTGTTGTGAACTGAGCTCATTCATGGCGATACTTACAACTTGGGGAGAGCGATTGGCTTAGTGAGCCAGCAATGTGGTCAATGAGGATGCTATTAACCTACAAATCTGACTGCATCTCCTACTCCCTCTGTCAGCCATCCACGCAACCATTCTGCATCCATAAAACCATTTAATCCCTCAAAATTAGGGATTTACGCATAGTTGATGTTTCCTCTGGAGAAATTAATGACAGGCTTTTGGGAAAACCTCTTTGGCTTCTTGTTCAAGAGATAATGGGAGAATGTTAGTTGCGCAGGGACAAATGCTCGGTAATCCGACGTATTGTATGGATTTACGTTGTGCTAAAGTGCTAAATGCCTTGATTGAGTAGCATCAGCATCCGCTTGGCCTCGAGTCCTGTGTGATGGCAATTAATCCACCCTCGCCAGTCCGTGAGGGTCTGTTAGGTCCGACTGGTCAAATATCTGTACCTGTGCGAACTGAGCGCTCAAAAATGAAAATGAAAATCATTATATTAGCATGACATGCTGTTAATATAAATAGGATGTGATGGACAAAGCTCGCTAAAAGGTATTATCATCAACGAGCATTTTGGACTGACCTTTCTATAATGAAGCATGACTCATCGTTTTCAGCCAGCCATCCACCCACTGAGCCTGGGTGTCCCCCCCCCCTCCCCTCTGCGGGAGTAAAAGCTAGAAACTAGGCCTGTTGCTAAATTTCTCTTCGCGTAAGCAACATGAATCTGAGAGGTTCTAATCACGAGACGGTCTACCAACAAAGGGAGCACTCACCAGGGATGCATCTTAACGCGTATCGCTCTCCTGAGAGCTTGTCATCTTCCTGTGTGTGTCCGTGTGTAAACGGATGCAATATTTTCAGCCGAATTATACCTTGGATGAAAACATCTTTAATTTAAGAGGTACTGGCAAAGTGCTTCTATTTGTGCCACTTTGAGGTTGTGTGCAGCCTGCGTCTGTGTAACTGGGACAGATGCAGACTGCAGTGATTACAAGAGTTCAATACGGCAGGCAGGTCAGGACTTCCATTAATTAGCGGAGCATCACAACTGATCTAAATTACACCCGTCATCTTCTGACCGAGTTCTAATTATGCTGCTCCTATTTTCCTTATTTTTACAATTTAGTGTTAGTGTTGTTTACAAGTTCCCGGCAGGAACCGTTTCATTGTCTGTGCTCAGATCTCACCTTCTAAGAGAAGCTTTCACCTTAAAAATTGACCACCGCTGATCTAAAATTCCACAGCAGGATGTGTGTGCGCGCATTATTTATGACCGACTCCAAAAATATTGTCTCTGTACACATTTCCCGTCAGAGGCCAGCTTCTGCCGATGGCCGGTTGAGATAAATCTGAAATATCTGTTAATTCTTTTCCCCAGCCGAGAGATCGCTGGCCGCGTCGTAGGCAGTTATCTTTTTCATCTTAGCCTGAGGGAATTTGCAGAGCCACGGAAGCAAATTATTCTCTAAAACCTGGCTGAAAACAGTAGGTTTCTTCTTCTTCAAGGATGGAGAGAGAAGAACAAGTCCTCCTATCCCCTCGCGCTTCGTCTAACTCCTTTGACTTGAGTGGACTGCTCTGCACTCCGATGGGAGCACATATTAGAGGAGTAAATATCTAACAGTTTAATCAGGCTGCTCCCGTCAGAGGGAGCATGGACGGGCCTATCTACTGATGAATGAATGTGAGGTAGTCATGCAGCTCGCCCTCCTCTGACTTTGGGTCCGTGCCGTGCAGGCATGTGAGTATTTCTCAGACAAAGAGGAGCACTTAGGGATAGTCCCAAACAGAAAACACTTTAGGGACTCAGCCGTCCGGTGGCACAAGGACAAAACTCCCATCGTTTCCTTAACACTGACAAGCAGCAGACAGAGGCACAGATAGATGGTCCACATGCAAGTAAACAACAAAAAACACTGACGTTATGTGAGGGTCCTCTTTTATAGAAATAAATATCCACGTGTTTTCTTTTCTGGTAGAGAGCACAAGGTTCTGTATTTTGGCAAAACCAGAATAAATATGACTCCACTGAAAAAAAAAAGCGGCAATGACTGGCTGCTGCTCATTTGAACTGTCTTTCTGATTAACTATGAATATACATTGGACACCTTTTGGTCAACGATGGGAAGTAGGAAGGCGATGACTAATCGGCCGATTAGCTATCAGGGTGAGCAGTCATGACTCAACAATCACAAGTCGTAAGACGGGCCATTCACACAGTCACACCGATGATGACATGTGTGTTTTCATAAAGATTTCATAAGATCTGCAACGCTTCCACATACTTCTGTTAGGCCATGATTGAGGAGAGTACATACTGCACCGGTCTTTTGGCACAGCTTTTTTAATTAATCATGGAAACACACCTTAAATACAAATAGCATCCGTATTGAAAGTTTAAAACTGGTAGCAACAACTGGCAGACCAAAAGGAACAGGACGGATGGATTTGTCCCGTTTTGAGACAGTTGTGGTAGTTACTGACCTGGTTGTGTACACACTGAGGACCCCCGAACACTCAAGGTAGATGAGCAGATCCATGCAGTAGGAAAGGATTTAAAAGCTTGTTTTACAAGCAAAACCCCACGTTTAAAACAGCTACTGTGGGTGTCAAACATGAATTACAGTGCAAAGACACAACAGCTACAACTGACAGACTTAATTAAAGAAGGGCATGAATTCATGTTTATGAGTTCAGTTTTAATGTGACGTTTCCTCCCATAAAAGTTTAACACTTTTGTCAGTATTTTTTTTTCTATCCACAGGTTTAATGTTAATTAAACCCCAAAAAACATTTGCATCAAAGTTTGCACCGATCTGTAGCCAGGAGACCAGAATTCTGGTTCTGAAAGAGTTGTGGCTTTTGTTTGTAGCCCGCGTTAAAGGCCAATCTCAAACCATGTCCTTTGGTTTTCATTAGATTTTTATTCTTATTTTTATACTAGTCATTGCTTTCGGAGCCAAGAAATAATCAGAGACAGGTTTTAAGACATATTACAACTGAAAGGTGTGGATTCTAATCAAACACGGCAGCATCTTTTTTTTTCTTCAATATAATGTGTCACTTAAACGCAGATCTCTGGGCTTAATGAGCTCCACTAACTAATGTAGGTGCTCCTCTGCCTCACTGAAGTGGAATCACACAGTTTGTGAGGCCTGGGCTGTTCCCTCCCCATTTCATTGACTCAGTGAATAGGTAGAACATAAAGGAAGGCCAATTATATCTCCATGACAACCAAAAGGCCAAGACATAAGATCAGCGCTGGGCTGTTATTTAATATGTCGAGTTCTGGCTCGACTGTACATTTCAGCTATGCCTTTGCATTTATTTAAGAGCCTAGATGAGATTTTAAAAGTGTAACAGTTATCATCTTAGAATGAAGGGTAAAGTCAAGCGTTCTAAAACAACCCTCTCTTATTGCTGATCATGAATGAGTTTACTGTGTGCCATTTCAACTAAATTTGGCAGAAACCCAAACACAATGTGGCCAAACATTAGAACTACTAAAGTGGCAAGAACCTCTCTGTTTTGGTTATATTCCTTAAAAACAATTTAAAAAAAGAAGCAAAAGACAGCACAAATATAAAAACTGCGCGATGCCTTAATAGGGACGACCCAAGGCAAGCATGGGAGCGAGTAACCAAACAGACGCCGCAGGCCTCAATGATGTGACACCGCTGGTTGTGGGTTCAAGGGGATTTCACCATTCATGCAAAGGAATATTTTCCTCTGGCTTTTCTTACAGGGCATCCTGCTGCCCTGGCTGCTGCAGAGCTGGATAATGCTTGTCTGTCTGTCTCTATTCATGGCATATTAATACTGTTTCTATGTCTTCAGAGGGGGGGGGGTCTGGGGCAGCAGGAGCACTGTGAATGCCTCTCTTCACGGGAGGCTGCAGTCGGGCCCGGCTCAGGCCCGCTAGGACTCCTGCTCCACAACAGACCACAGATTATACGTCCCCAGTGCCACATACAACAGCCACAATCCTCTGGACTTCCTTTTCTGAGGGATACTACTCCACGCCGGTGCGGTTTGCGTTCCTGCCGGCTTCATTCATGAGCTGGCGAGTTGATGAAAAGACGAGGAGAAACATGGGATTACTGTGCTGGTTAATCACAAGGGGGGCAAGAGTGACCGCCGCGCGCGCTATTAAGCCTGTAATGATGATCTGGGTGCATCGGCCTGGAGGGATCAGGACAACCGGGATGAATGGGGGAATGTGGCGGCCCTGCTCCGTGTCTGTGGCGGGCTGGGGTTTCTCACAGAGGATGCCAGGGGCCCCTTGAGCTTTCCCACAGTGGACACACAGAGGATTCTAGAGGCGCAAAGCACGGCCTGCCCACAAAAGCCACAGTGACCTTCAAGTGCGGTGTGGGGCCAAACGGATGGCTCAAGGGCCACGCTGAAACCTGATTCGCTGTCACCCCGGGCCTTTGAAACTCAAGCACCATAGCGGATCTGGAGTTAGGCCCGGCATCGGGCCGCCATACATTTCTGTAAACAAAATGTGTGAAAAAAAGGAAGCCCGCAAAGCCCTGAAAGCTGGCGCTGACCCCACGCCAGAATCAGAGCCTTAATCTTTTATGTGTGTACACTCTAAGGGGGACAGCTCCACATTCAAGTTTCAATTTCAGCATCTTAGTTTCATGACTGGACAGCTGGTACTGGTTTTTAGTAACACATTCAACTCAAATGGATTCTTCTCTAGATGTGTTTGAATAAATAACTAAACACAACCACTGATTTATTTTAAAGGTGCATCCTATTTCATTTCTAAGCTGTATGTCATGGTCGTTCAACAACTTTCCAGTATTCAACGTATCCCGCTAAATAAACGGCAGCTCGGCTGTAATCTGTAAAAAACAACATTGCAAACAGTGAGCTCACAGCTACTCTGCTGGACAAACATTTGATGATGCCATTAACCCCGAATGGATTCTGATCCATTGAGAAAGAAAACATTTGCACTGCGAGTCCCGCTATCTGTAGAAGATCAAATATCG